TTCATAGAGTGACGGAAACAAAAATCGATTCTAGTATTGCTCGCCTTGGTAGTTGGCATATATCTGTTTCTTGCGAAGGTGCACGGGGACTTGGCCGGCTGGGGTATCGGGAATGGTTTTCTTCAGGCCCTATATAAATCAAATCCATATCATTAGCAAAAGCAGTTCCCCAGCGTTCAAAGACGACACAAACTGGGGCAAACATACAAGCTTTTCAAAAACACACGTGTTAAGCTGGTTCTCGTTCTTTCGGCAGTTCCACAGCTGATGGTTGTTCTGCTCCAGACACTCCCAGTGTGCCTTAAACTGCTGCATGCAGTGGGTGTTGATGTCTTTTATTCTGTATCATCCACACGTCAGCATCCCTTCCACCAAACAAACCAAATATCTCCCGCTTCTCAACCGATTATCTCCTCGTTGGAAAATAGTACGTACACGCTCGCAGCACAACGAGTGACTTTACGTCCTTCCCTCAAACACTCCACCTCTCCCCGGCCGCCCGCCTCGGCCTTACACTTCATATAATCATCGTTAAACGCCCTGCATCGGTCTCCGATGAAATATGACGCACTCATCAACGGTGCCGAGGTGGCTCCGATCTCCTCCACCTTGGGGATGTGGTCTGGCAAAGGCGTGTTGTCCGTGAGGGACTCTTGGTTGAACCTGCACACACGATCGTTAGTGGGCTATCGGGCAAAATGGTGGGTCAGCGTGGGAGAACGCACTGGGGTCTTCGTGCGCCGGACATCTTGCTGGCTCAATGGCTCTTTGCGGGTTGAAGCTGGCGGTCTTGAAGTTGCGTCTTTGCGCTTTGGAAACAGCTTGAGTGCAGGATGAAGTCAATCGCCGATTTCCTGATTGGTCGAGAGTCTCGGACTATACTTGTTCCGCTTCCCACTGCTGGCTGCTCAAGGTGGTTGATTAGTAATATAGTTAGAACCAATCAGACCATCTAAACTCACGATTTGATTAAAAAATTGGCCAATAAAACTTGATTGTTTTGATTTTAGCTATCTTTATTTTTCTTGCTGTATAAAGTCAGCATGTCAAAAACTCAACTGTCCAACAAATATGCCTTACGTGCTTCATAGGAGCCGGCAGCATATGTATGATGAAGCGGAAAATATGAGTGTCATGTCAGTTACCACGTTAATATTGGTTAGGGGATTCCAACCTTTCATCAAGCTGCCAGATACCATTGATTTTGATATACCAGAATCGCCGCTTTAACATGCTGCTAAAATGGAAATTAAAACATTGGGTCTATACTCTTGAAATACAACTTCAAGAGTATGGTTGTTAAAAGTGGCCATTGATATATTGATATACCATTAGGCTGTAGACGAAACTGCAGCAACTCTTCGATATCAACTTGGCCCGGCAGGATAACCCATGCGGGTGGCTGCATTTCTTTTTTTCATGTATATCCATTATGTTTCAATGATATCACCTGCAAACCAAAGCTTTCATGCTTGGTTGCATCTGTTAGTAGCTTTCAAACGAAATATCTGTTCCGTGCTGCTGTCCTGCATTGGGCATTCACTTGATGTGGTTGGTGCTAAGCGGGAGTGAAGACTCGCTACGCTGATCTTCATCCTACTTCATCTGCTACTTCCACCTTCCACACCACACAGACCTCGCCCTAGAAAAAAACACAGCCACGTTCACCACCACACGGCCTTTCTATCCGTAAATAGGTAAAACACAGTTTGAGACTCTCGAAAAGCAATACCACGAGTCATGGAGTGAGTGTTTCCATCCAAATACAACCAAAAATCAATGTACTTCTCGCTAATAACTTGACAGTCACGAAATCTCAGGTGCCAAAGGTTAGCAAAGTCACAGCTTCGTTGAATGAGCTAAGGCGATTAACAACGTTGATAGAATGGTGCCTTGAAGAAGAAAAGCCGGAGGATGTACAGGAAGAGGAGGTTTTCTTTGATTGCGAGCAAACGCTTGCCCCTGAAATCCCAACTGAGCCAAAAGCTGCGCGAGTGAGTAGTTGGATTGGATTCTCGAAATACATTACAAGCAACTAACCAAAATATCTTTGCAGAATGACATCAATGGCTCCGGCTCACTGCCACATCTACTGGATCCAAAGCCTTTTACCACGTCCACTAATACCAGCACTTCCGGTGCGCGCTGCCCTAAACCTCCTGCATACGTATCCGTGAACAGAAGCCTCTGGGCATCTGGTGCCGCACCTTCAGGTGAGTTTGACTGAGTGATAGACGTCTAGCTCTAGTTTAACCTTGCTACTAGGCTCATATCGGCTTCCTATGTCTTTTGGGGTACTAAAAGAGAGGTGGGTATTAGCTACTCATTAGTGCTGTTTGATCTGCCATACTAATGAAAGTACCCCAGAGTTGCGGAGTATATCAAAGCATTAGGGCCAAATTGTGGGAATGTTAATGACTTCTTGTTCGACAAGATTAACTATGACACAGGTGCATTCATTCCGCACCCGAGAAAGCTCTCTGAACAGGTATATTCAACTTCCTCACCGCTACTTTCCATAGCTAATATACATTATACCAGTGGCTGCATATCTGGGGCAGTCCAACCCAAGTAATGGCTGCAAAGAGTGCTCTCATGCGGCTACTCAACCGTTGCTCCGATAATGGACTACCGAAGAAGAAAAAGGCCTTTTTCGCTAAAGTTTCTAGTTACTCTCAAGTCAAGGAGGCACGCCTGGACCTGATTGACAAATCTAGTACTGTCATTGAACTGCTTCGTCAGAGGCCAAGTCCAGCCTTTGAATTCTTGGAAACTGTGCGCTAGCTACCCCTACTCAACTAGACTTGTGATCCTAGGTACTAATATTTGGGACTTAGCTGCTTTTTTTATGGCCAACGGATGAAGTACCGTTCGATTTATTAGGACCTCAGCTAGAGGCACTCGATTCTATTCGCCGTGAGACTGGTTGCTTCATTTATGTTTACGACGAGCAGCCGTCCTTTATCAAAGTGGATGGCGACGATCATGACAGCATCATAACAGCCGTGCACAGACTTCGTGCCAAATGGGCTGAAATCATGGCAAAGATCCATATACAATCTAAGCTTTACCTTGTACAGGCAGCTTCGTCAAATGTTCGAAGCAAGGAGGTTGCGATATCCCGAGTGGCCCATTCTGTGGGAGGGTTAGGGCAGGTGTATGCCACACCAGTGCTACATGAGATACCCTTGACATCAATGGACCCAGACACTGTGCAAGGCCGAGAAGAAGGTGCTCTTACCACTAATGAGAGCCGCCTCCGGGAGACTGTTCAAGAATCACTCCAGGGACTTCGATTTCTCCGTGGACATGTGCGAATGCGGGTTAACTTTGGAATATTCATCCTTGATGACTACAGGGAACCCAAGAACTCAAAAGCTCGATATTCATTCGATGAGTTTAGAACAATGTTGCTCAACTCTAGAACTCGAGGACATCTAGTGCAAGGGTAATATGCACGCCTCCCCAGCATTATATTTGTGCGATACCTACTAACAACTTGATAGACTAGAGTATGCTTGTGGAAATACCAATCTTTTGGCCAAATGTAGTTCTGCAAGTCATATCCTGGCTCCCATAGCTGGGCCTGATACGGCACCTCTAAAGCAGCCAGAACCTTTGTATGCTGTTATATTTGAATTTCATGGTAACAGCGCCCTCCTGAGGCTGGAAGTTGAATTTGCGAAATCCCCTTCTACCAATAACTTTGAGGTTTACCAGAAGCGTTGGATTCGACCACAGGGCGACGATAATGCTGGAGACATCCGTCCTCTTCTTCAAGTTGCAGTTATTGACTTTGAAAGGTATTGCTATTTTCGAGCCTATAATAACGATACGGTACACTGACTATAACTATAGATCGGACTGGCAATTAGAAATCAAAGCCCTTGAATTCCAGGAGCCTTCTACCATCGAACAATCTCTCAGAGAGTTTTCTCATTCGGTACATTTTAACCCTGAGAAAATGCCTGATCTGAGTGGTCCTGGGAAACAACGTGTGTCTTTCTCAAACCTTGCCCCAATTGCTCGCATTGTGGAGAAGTCAGCCCTACGCTACAGACTGAAAGGAACGAACTATATTTTTGAACTCGCCCGGTACGACGAATATTCTCGTGCGCAATTAACAGCTTCTCAGCTTCTTTTACAAGGCCCAGGTTTCAATAATATGTCACCAACGCCCGTGACGTCTTGGGGTGCGTCCATTTTCGACCTCCAGTGGGATAATATGCTCGGCCAACACGCGAATTTTGGAGCTGGGCATAATGCAAAATGGAGCCCTAGCCTGAACACCTTCTTTCCTTGCTTTGGAGACGCTGACCCGTCTGATCTTCGAAGCGGATTTAACTCCTTAATTCCTCTTATCGAGCAAGTGTCAACCTTGCTTGGGCAGAATCGTGAGAATGGTTCTGAGGACCAAGTTGCAGAACAGCAAAAGGAAGAAACAGAAGACAAGGGTTGCTCTGATAGCCCCGCCTCCAGCACTCATTCATTTACATGAGTTCAACCCAGGAGCTCCCTGTAACTAACTATTACGATTAGGGCTTGAGGTCGGAAAAGTGCTAACAATCTACCATATCTTCAATGGTCACCAGGGACTTTATGAACTGAGGGCATCGAAGGTTGCGATATTTCCTTGTAACCCAATGCACTCTAAATATTAGATTGGAGGGTTCTAGTCTCATGTCATTGTCCTGACAACATTCAGATACTAGGCGTATCATCAAAGGTTACTCTAAATTTATGTAGAAGAGAAGGAGGTTAAAAGATAAAGAGAAAAAAAAAGACCAGAGATTACTTTTTATATGCCTAAAATTATGACAAACCTAGTAGCTTATAGGGCCTTTAAGATACAAATGACTGCTGATGTTTGTTCATCACAGGTCCCAGCTGAAGAGTCTGTACGGTCTTAGAGGTTCGGCCAAATCTTCATTCGAGAATCGGCGCTATCTTCGTCCCTGCACTCTGGCCTCCGCGATAGCTTCGGCTATGTTTGGCCCTGTCGTTTTATAGACTCAGGGAGCTGCACGTCAATGTAGATATGAGCATTTCGCCCTGCATTCAAGCTTGCACGGCTCCGCTAGGTCCAGCCTGCGCCGCGCTGCCTTCGCCCGCGAGAAGCTTTTGGCGCAACACTACATCATCGTTGTTAGTACATAATAGTTATAGAACCACACAATATCGTATATGGGGCAGTACCTTCTTCAACCACTCTTAGATTTGTGCTTTTCCCTGCCACGATCTTCTCTAGCTCACGCAGATTTGTTCCCAGCTCCCCAACTTTTCCGTTATAGAATTCTATAGCTTTAGCCGGCGTCTACCACAGCGATGAATTAGCACTGTAAATCCCCATATGTATCTCCTTATCCCTCAATTGATAGGTATGGGGGCGCAGCCCAATCGTGCCGTACCTTTTCGACGTAGAATCCGGTCCCTACGTCTACAATCACTTTTTCCCTATCCGATAGCTTCCCTCTGACATATAATGAGTTGGTCAATGGTACCAGAATATCATTCTCCTGTCCTTCTTTTTCTGGTTTCGCGAGAATGCCGTCGTTTATGGAGCGAATACATTCTCTGAATTTCGATTGCGCTGATCGTAGCTTGGTATGTGAGGATGTGAGGTGCTCGAGCTCAGAGCTTAGGCGAGACTGGAGAGAGCGAAGCTGAGGTACGGATAGCGTAGCGACGTCAACTATTACGTTTCTTAATTAGTATGCGAGTCATTTGTGTCCATCATCTTGTGAAGAGATGGGTTGAATTCTAAACAACAGAGCGTGGGTGCGGGGTTGTAGCGACGGACCTGCGCCGGGAGCTGCAGCCGAAGATTTCTGTGAAGAAGACATTTTAATTCTCAATCCGATACTCGAATATCAAAAGGCGATGGATGGTATGGTTTGGTAGATCTGTTGTGTTGGAGATTGTGAATTGTTGATGTTAGCGGACGGAGAGTGACGTGTGGAAGATTTAGCTAAAAGTGTTTGACCAAATACGAACGTAAGTTTTGTTATAATTAGTTACCAGTGACCAGCTCGGTTCAATTGAATAAGACGAAACACCCTAAGGAGATCTTGAACATATAGAAAAGAGATTTCTTCAATATCAATTCTATCCCATCACTGTACACAATACCCCCAGAACGCCAATGCTAGTACATACAATATATTACAAACGCAGGAATCATAAGCTGTGAGGGAAGTCCAGGAGGCTGCTATAGTTTGCTGAGAAGAGATGAAACGAGTTCAGGGACCTCCTCTAAGGAAATTTTCGTTCGTAGGTTCCCTAGTCGCCGACACTGGACTTCCACCTTATTACCGGCGCTCCACGAATTCTTTCCAACGGCCAGGATGACAGGATACCCAATAAGGTCCGCATCTCTCAATTTCCAGGCAAAGTCCTTCTTTCTGTCATCCAATATTGTGTCTATCGGCTGCTGGGTATTTCGGGTAACGACGTCATAGACCAACTCGGCTTCTTTCTCGAGACCCTTTCCGGGCACAACGGCCACTTGGAAGGGAGCAATAGCTTGTGGCCAGTTAAGGCCCTTTTCATCCGCCAGAATATCTGATACCGCAGATATCATTCTAGAGACCCCAATACCGTGGCAGCCCATTTGTATCGGTACCGGTTCTTGTTTTCCTTTTTGTCCTGCATTGGCCAAAATCGCTGGGTTTATGGATACGTTGGCTTGTAACACATCGCTATACCGTGTGCCGAGGTGGAAGGTGTGTGCAAGCTCGATGGACTGGTCTATTTTGAGAGACGGGCTTCCACAACTAGGGCATTCGTCCCCTGCCCTCGCTCTAAGTAGATCCAGGCAATCATCAGTTCCAGGAAATCGGTCAAGGAGTGAAGACTGAATATTCAAGCTGTTGCTAGGTATCCCATCTAGAAGATCTTTGATAGGTGGTCGATTGTAGACGCGGACTCTGGAATCATATATATCTAAGACACGTATATCTTGTTCAGAGGTTTGAGGTTGTTTCTGGATCTCAGCTTTCCATGTAGCAAGAGGATCCTTGACGCCTATATCAATGTCTATACCGTACGCAGAAGCAATTGCTTTCAAAGAATGTTGATTCACTTCTCGTTGAGCTGGCTCTGACTCTCCGTTAGTTATAAGGAATTTTGGGTAAAATGCCCTTACTAGAACTTTTTTATCTTTCGAGATAACCGTCCATTGACCTGTTGATATAGCTGCTGCCTCTTGGCGACCTAGCCCATCAGTTGAAGCATCTATTTCCGGCTTATTTTCGGTTAGTTTGTTGGAAGATTTTCCACTGGCTAATTCCTCGTTAAAGACATATTCACACTTGGAGCAGCTGACGACGGTATCCTCTCCTTTAGGACTGGGAAAATGAAACTCGTGACTTAAATTGCCTCCCATATTGCCAGATGAAGCAGATGCCACGACATATGGTATCTTCAGCTCCTTAAAAAGGCTTATATAGGCGTCTTTCACTGTATTATAAGTCTTGATTGCCTCTCCTTCAGTAGAGTCAAAAGTGTAGAGATCCTTCATAACAAATTCTCTACCACGCAAAAGGCCATGCCGCGGTCTTGGTTCGTCACGGTATTTCCGCGCTAAATTAGGTAGTTAGCATGCTGATCCATGGTTAAGTTATGAGGAATAGCTTACAGATTTGATATACACGTAGGGGTAAATCTCGATATGATTTGATCAGCCCAGATACAAGTGTAGTGATCTCTTCCTCGTGGGTGGGAGCAAGAAGAAACGGAGTCTTCTTTCTATCCACAAATCGAAATACCTACTTTGAACATTAATATCAAATTACATGCACATAAAATATCAATCTGCTGCGTACCTCGGAGTCATCGTTGTGGAGTCTCCCTGACTTTTTCCACAGAGCCTGAGAGGATAATGATGATAGTGAGAGTTTTGAGGCGCCTACAGGAGTATATTAGCGGTGGATATATCAACACCAAGAAAATCACTCACTTAGTTTACGCATATGCTTATCAATAAGCCTTTCTAATTTCTCTTGAACTCGGAGTCCAAGCGGAAGAAGATGAAATACCCCAGAGTAGGGCTATGTGCTGTTAGCTTGGAGCTTACTTTATTGAAGCTATGTAGCGTACCTGTCTAAGGAAACCGGCCCTAATTAGAAGGTCGTTGGAATCTACTATAAACTTATTAGTATTTGACATCTAAGAAAAGGGGAGTACCTAGGTAGTTCTGTTTACCTCCATTCTTGGATTCGGCTATTCCACCAGACGGCACCCAAAAACTAGAGGCCCTGTTCCTCGTATCATCCTGCGAAAAATCTGTTAAAAACGGCATTTATATCTTCAAAATCATATCACATACATGGTATTTCTGGAGACGTGCAGGTTGGCGTGCCCGAAGTATATTCAACACTGGTCGCAAATGAAGCGATTTTGGGCCACGCTTCAGCCCAGAATGAAGAAACATGAGATTGAACCAAATTAACAATTAATAAGAGCGAATTGATAATAGTGAATGGATATTGAAGCTGTCTTGGTATATCGCAAGATAGGAAGACGTTCAACTTTTTTATTGGAAGTTTCCCCTTATCCGATCGGCCTGCACAGCTTCTTCCGGGTGAACCATTTCTCCGATATAAAAAATTGAATTTACTTTTTTATTATTTTCTAGACGAACCTCTCTAAAGGTTCAGATTCCTTATTTCGAGCCCAACCTGGGTATACTTACGATATGGCCAAGGCAAAGGGAAAGGAGGAGAAGTTGCCTAAGGTCAAGGATGTCGCTGCCGTTGAAAAACAGCGGCCGAGCAGCGATGCGGACGCAGCACCAAGCTTCTCTGATGCTATGGTAGCTAATCTTACCAAACGAATTGAACAAAAGTTGAAGGGAGATGGGAAGGGAGATAGAGGCTCGCCGAAAGTTGAAAAGAAACAGAAATCGGAAAAGAATGAAAAGCGCAAAGAACGAAACCAGGTCGCCGAGGCGAAGCCCGCCGAGAAGCCTGTCAAGAAACGAGAGCCGCTGCCAGATACCAAACCTACCGATAAAGTGGGAAAGAAACGGGATCGGAGTGGGAAAGTTATAAAACCCCAGGTCTCTGAGAAACCATACTCAGCGGAGGAAAAGCCAAGTGAGCGTAAGAATTTGGAAGAGGAGGTATATGCAATTGGTGGGACGAAGGAAGATCTCGAGCTGGTTGCTGGTGTTGAATCGGATTCAGAGATGGAAGATAAGGAAATATCCAGCGGCGATTTGGAAAAGCTTCGAAGAGATCTCGGTAGGCTCATTAATGGTGGAAATGATCTCCCCGAGCTTCCTGATCTCCCCGCGCAGGAGACGAAACCCACTGGAACGAGGAAAGAGCGGAAGCAGGAAACCAAGTCGGCCGAGGAAAAGATAGCTGAAAAACCGGTGCAGGAGAAGAAAGCCCCTGGGAATAAAGCCTTAGAGAAGAACGAGAGTAAAAAGGCGCAGAAAAAGGATACGGCGCCCTTGGCTTCAGCTCAAGAAGCTAAAGTGCCAAAGAAAGCTCTATCTTCTTCTTCAAATCTCGTGAGTGAAATGTATCCTTTTTGCAACGTTATCATTATACTGACATATATTATGTAGATTATTCCCGAGCGCTCCGATTGGTATGCTACTCCGCTTCCAGAAATCTCTTATGATTCAAGTCGCTCTGTGAATATATCCCGCTTAGTGTTGGAGCGCGTGCGTGAATACGCCATGACATTGTTGGAAGCGGAAAATAAAGCATACACGTCGAATAGGGACTCGAAATCTTCGAGCTACAAGTTTTATTCGACCATTGTTTCTTCGGGTACCCTAAGTGACAAGATATCGGCTTTGACTCTCTCTGCGCAAGAGTCACCTCTTCATAATACCCAGGCTCTGGAAAATTTGGTTGGTTTGGCCAAAAAGCGGAGTAGAGCCCAAGCCGTAGAAGTTTTACGATCACTGAAGGATCTGTTTGCCCAAGGCACTCTACTCCCTAATGACCGAAGGTTAAAACACTTTGTTAACCAACCCGCATTGGCTGCTGCACTATTTGAAGCTGGTGGCCATTGGGACATTGGCGACAGGCTTCCGAATCAAATCGAGAAAAGCCATTTAATCATGTGGGCATTTGAAGATTTTGTTAAAGACCAGTACTTCGAGGTATTAAAGGTTCTTGAAGTTTGGTGCAATGATGAAATCGAATTTTCTCGGTCCAGGGCTCTGAGTTACGTTTACGAGCTGCTGAAGGAGAGACCAGAACAGGAATCGAATCTGTTACGTCTTCTGGTCAACAAGTTAGGTGACCCAAGCAAGAAGATTGCTTCGCGAGCGTCCTATCTTCTCCTTCAACTTGAGCAAGCTCATCCACTCATGAAAGGAACAATTGTGTCCTCAATAGAGTCAGAGTCACTTTTCCGCCCAGGTCAGAGCCAACATGCAAAGTACTACGGAGTCATCACCCTGAACCAGACGATTTTGAGCAAAAATGACGATAAAGTTGCATCCCAACTTCTTGACATCTATTTCCCCCTCTTCGTTGCTCTCCTAAAGCCCAAGAAAGAACTTCATGCCCAAAAGAAACACAAAAAGAAGGAAAAACACTCGAAGAAAGGTAAAAAGGACAAGGAAGACGATGAAGATGCCAAGGCGAGGCTCAAGAAGAAGAGCTTCGGGAGAAGCTTATCTCGGCTGTTCTGGTTGGCGTTAACCGCGCTTATCCCTTTACTACGTCCAGCTATGAACTGTGTGTTTGCCTTACTCCTATTCTTTAAGTAATCGCAAGCTAATACGATCTTACCTCTAGGCTTTCTAAACATCTAGATACCCTGTTCCGTATCACTAATTCTTCAAACTTTAACACAAGCATCCAAGCTCTTATGCTTATCCAACAGCTCTCCTCATCCCATGCAGTTTCAGCCGACCGCTTTTACAAAACGCTCTACGAATCGTTATTAGACCCTCGGGTTGCAACATCATCAAAACAGCCGATGTACCTTAATCTGCTGTACAAGGCACTGAACACTGATATTAACGTTAAACGGATTAAAGCATTTGTCAAGCGTCTAGTACAGATACTGGGCGTGCATAACCCGTCTTTCAGTTGCGGTGTCCTGTATCTAATTAAACAGTTGGAAACGACGTTCCCATCTCTGACGGCCATGGTGGATCAACCAGAAGACGCCGAGGACGATGACGAAGAAGAAGTCTTCAAGGACGTCCCGGATGAGGAAGAAGATGAAACGCTAGCCAACGAACAACCCAAAAACAAGCCCTCGATAACTCGTTATGACCCTCGAAAGAGAGACCCAGAGCAAAGCAACGCTGACAGAAGCTGTCTGTGGGAGTTGGTTAGTACTGCTTGACACCATTCTCTACCAACTACCAGCTCAGAGTTCACTAATTCTTTTCTTATTCTAGCTTCCTTATTTGTCTCACTACCATCCCTCTGTAGCTGTCAGTGCTAAGCAGCTGCTCCAACATGAGAAAATGTCCGGAAAACCAGATCTTGCGATTCATACTCTCACTCACTTCTTGGACCGTTTTGTTTATAAATCCCCCAAAGCCACACCTAGCCTCCGCGGATCTTCTATCATGCAGCCTCTCGCTGGTGGGGACACCAGCGGTCTGCTGGTAACCTCTGGGCGGAATGCAACTCAACAACCAGTCAACAGCGAATCGTTCTGGAGAAAACGAAGCGACGAAATTTCTGCGGAAGATGTCTTCTTCCATGACTACTTCAACCGCCTCGGTAAAGACAAAATCCGCCAGAAATCCAAGAAGAAAGCTTCCAAAGACGAAGAAGAAGGCGAGACTGACGAAGAGTCCGAAGTTTGGAAGGCTTTGGTACAATCACAGCCTGAGCTTGATGGTGAGGGCATTAGTGATGATGATATGGATATGGATGGCTTTGATTCTGCTATGGAAGACAGTGATCATGACGATCTGGAAGGCATGGATGAGGACATGGACGAAGAGGATCGTGAGATCGATGATGATGTTATCATCAATGATGAAAGTTCAGAGAATGATGAAGATGAGGCAGCTTCGGAGGCTGAAATGGATAAGTCTATGGACATAGACGATGAGATGTTCAACTTCGATCAATCCGATGAGGAGGCTTTCGTGGACAGTGACGAGGAGCTACCGTCAGATTTGGATGATGAGGTCGCTGAGGAAAAAGGCACAAAGAAGTCAGACTCTCAATCAAAGAGAGAAAAGAAACGAAAACTCAAGCATCTTCCTACGTTTGCGTCCGTCGAAGACTATGCAGCATTGCTGGATAAGGACGATGACGACTTTTGATTTTATGTTGGCCATGACATAGAATTCAATTAGACCGTGAAACAATTACCCTTCCTCAACTATTAGAAGCACTCGATTGGTAAAGTACATCAAGACCCGCATCCGTTATGTTATTGTACATCATTAGACGCTAAATAGCATGGATACCCTCCAATAAAAGCATTGCCTTGATCCATACCTTTGTTCCACTAATTTTATATACGCAATGCCTCACCAAACCCCTTATTATAGCTCTTTTCCGCGCACACAGATAAAACGGCATTAACAGATTCGAACTAGACAAGATTATATATACCCCTGAACTGCAATTCCAGGAACTCCCAGCACATGGCGCAAATCTCGACAGAAAGCTCCATCAGTGTGATAAGCACCATATCCAACAGCATCGTCGACTTCCATCTTACGTAGACGAGCTACAATCACCACGCACGCCTCTGCCCAGGCAACGATCGTACCAGACAGCCCCTCGTAGAGGCTATAAGGGTGGTCCGGCATACGATATTGGATGCTCTCTTCGTATGTATGCGTGTTGAATGGCTGTGTCTTTCTAGCATGCAGAAGGAAAGCCAGTGCTCGTGAGAGATATTGGTCAGCAGAGCATTTCTGTGAAGGCGGCGGTGTTTGAGCCAGCCTTTCGTTGAATGCTATTCTATCAGCTCTCGAGCCATTGGGCCCATATTCAAATAGGTTGTGAAGCATTAAGAAGGGCCATGCGTTCCCACAAATACCGTGGCATAGGCCGCCTCCCTTGAATATGAGACCTTGTTCCCAGACCCGTTGACTAGCGAGGTATATTGCATGATCCCAACATGGCTCCCACTCCTGGCTTGCCAAACGTGCAATGCCTCGTGAGCGAGCTAAAAGGACCAGGAACCCGGGGGCACCGTGGCAAAGCTGGACAAGAGGAGAGCGTCTTGCAAGGGAATTATGTGGCAGAGACGAAGGAAGATGACCTTCGTTCGCAATGACCCGTTTGGAAAGCTGTGTGATTGTCTTTCCAATTATAGGAAGGTGGTTATTTTCGGGGTTTCCATCTCCTAATTCTTCAAGCTTGCATTCAAGGAGGATGGCAAGGATGCCGCCTATATCCATGGTAAGTAAGTTGAGAACCCTGGGCTCATAGGTTTAAGAGTGATACTTACATATTCCGTGGCAGCTAGTAATACGCAATATCAAGCGTTAGTACCATAAAAGGATTTGACTGAGCAAGTCATCGGACGGGAGACTTACCTTCCAACGTAATATTTACCCCGACATGGCCACATAAGGGGAAGCGCCTCGCTCTCTCCGTGCTCTTCCACGAATATCTCCGCTCCAAGTTTACCTGCCTCTATTATGCAATCTACTAATAGTGGCACGCTTTTGAACACTAGTTCATAAGATGTTGCAGTCTCTCTATCGAGACGAAACTGGCGAAAAGCTAGGACAGAACGGAGGAGCCCTGCCCGTCCACTCAGAGCATCGTCATATCCCAGGCCATAATCCTCATCGCACGCATGATCAAAGGCCTCGCAAACGCACTCAACGTCTCGAGAATGAATTCTACAATTACCCCCGTTTCGAGAGGTCATGTTTGCAGCCGCGGCAAAGGTACGCGCAAATGCGGCGCCGAGGTGCGCTGATCCAGTTGGCGATACCTGGCCATGCTGCGGGCGTGTCTCGACTATATGCGGGCTGAGGCGCTCTTTGGCCAGGCTGTGAGCGCTGGAAATCAATGCATCAGTTTCTGCTTTGGTGCCGCCGAGGTATTTGGCCTGAATTGCAATGCGTGTAGCCATGACGGCGATTCCTATAGTTAGGGAGCTCGTCGATCAGCCAATTGCCTATGATGCTTCTTTGATGAGTCCATACATACCATTATCGCCAGTGTATAAAGAGCCAAACGCCTTGGTATCGTTTATATCTGGAGTAGGGTTATTTGCCTTTAGCAATGCAAACCCGCGCACAATGGCCTCTCTAAGCTCAGTGAGCGTGTTCTGCAGTGATTCTTTATCGATGGGGACCAAGCATAGGTCGTTTTTGAAGTACTGGGGCATGGTAACTGTACAAGCCAAATGCACCGGAGAAGAAAAGAAACTCCCTGCACAAAGCCCCTTGCAGCCTTCACTTTAGCTGTATATAGCTCCGATCATCGTCGATTAAACCGAGCTGTTCGTCCAAAGCAATTAAATCCAAGCTGCATGAGTTCCTGTGGCAAAGGCTCCTGCTGGTGTGATGTCATCCCGCTGGAGCTATTTGACTAACTAGTTAATTCATTCCGAGGGTCTCAGCCGGAAAGCTGGACTTAGGAGCGTAATAACCTGATTACTTCAATATCAAACAGCAAGCAGTATTTTATTTCTATGATAGAAGCATCGCGTACGAACGACATTGAAAGGAAGCAATTCAAGATAGAAGGGTGCCCAAAAAGTAACAGAAGTAAGTAGATCGACTAAGAGCTCGGGATATTTGGCCACAGAAAGTGTAATCAATTAGCAATATTTCTGTGTATCCCCTCCTGAAACGCTGATTCCGCAATACTGTTAACACCACTTTTTGCGGCCAACATGCTTGGATGTTCATCAAGCTCGGGAATACCAATGTATTCCCTGGCCTTTTGAACAATCAGAAGCCACATGTCCCTAAGGTTGGGGAATCTTTCTTCTAATAATGCCACAATAACTATTGTAATGGCAATTTCCAAGCTAATGGCGTCCGAAAACAAGCCTTCAGCAATGGTCATGATTTCTGATCCCAATTTCATTTTACCAATACCTCGTCGGCGAAGCAGGAAGCAACCGTCAGCTCGTTGGTAGGATACGATATGCCACACAAACTCCTCAGGGGGTGTTGTGGAAGATAAGTGCGTGGTTAGATTTCTAGGATCGAAGGTATCAGATGTATCTCCCCCCCTGCGAACCACCGATGCATTATTGTCAAAAAGTAGATCGTCGGCAGTGAAACCCGAATCCCGTATATGCCCATCTCTAGTGAGTTCGGATGTAGAAGGTGCCGCGTAGAAATGAGATAACTCAGAGCTACTGCAGGATGAGTATGATTCAGAAGTCCTGGGCTGCGAACCATGGTAGATTGGTTCGCAGGGCCCCAGAGATCTCAAAATCGGTCCATCAGAGACAGGAACTTGGGTCGTCTTGAAATTTCTTTTACTTTCCTTTTTTATTCCTTCTACGACAGGAATGGGAGCGCGGCGAGCAACTACTGGGTGTAGGAGGCCCCAGTCATCGCCATCAACAGTCTCATAACGAGGAACGTTTATTATTTCTGGTGACGGTTTCTCTCGGTCGTAAGTCCTGATGGCCTCTACAGCCACAAAGCTCGTCCATTTGGACACCAAAGACCACTGGCAGCCCAAACGTTCACCCTCAATTTTTGTCCAAGAGGCAGTATCTGCACCCTCTCTGATGCGGTGGTCCCGTTGGATCCAGCTGCTGGCCCGTTCTAGATCACTGAGAAGAGCTCTAGCAGCAAACTTATGAAGAAGTGAGTCTTTCTCTTGGAGGGCCATAACCGGAATAGTCGTACTGGATACCTTTCCATCTTGGCTAGATTTGATTTTGATTATAGAATTTGAGTTTATTTGCCCGTTCTGGGCTAAAATAAAGATGCGATTTCTTCCAAATGGACTTAATGTGGACATGTCTCCTGGGGACATCTGGATAGTGGGCGCTGATATCGCTGCTTCGTTGTCTACCAATATTAATTAGCTCTATAATTCCAGGAATATTATACGGCAAAAAGGAATCCTTACGTTCGTTATGGATATCCAAGCCTTCAACCTCAATACTCATTGAAGTCGCATGGCCGGTTAATGAAGCTCTCAAAACGGCAACAAGACGGTCCTCCCAGCCGGTGGTTTTAGCAGGAGGGATAATTTCGGCATATCCACCACCAAACTTTGCAATGCCTTCGACAAGCTCATGGGAAACGGCATGTCCAATACCAAGCGAAAAAAATCTGACCGCTTTCTTTGACACAGTGTGCGTGAGCTTCACGAAACGAAGCGTCTCTTCCAGCCTCCAAACTTCTCCATCAGTTAGGACAATGACATCTAGGAAAGATTGTTGTTGTTGCATGACAGCACGTTCCAGGGCTGGAAGAAGATCGGTGCCTCCTAAGCTAGCTGAGAATTTGGATACGTGAGTTAAAGCTTCATCCAGCGTGGTATCAGAGTACGCCTTTGACTCTTTCCATAGAAGCTCAAAGGTAGAGCCGAAGGAGCAGATGTTGAAGGGTATTGACAAAGGAAGACTTCGTAGATAAATCTGCATAGCCGAAATAAGACCAGGTATCTTACTCGACATAGACCCAGACCGGTCGACGAGGAAAATAATTTCCTTGTTATTAACAGATGCCTGACGCTGAAGCATAAATTCTGCGGGGATCTCAATCATAGTAGCCGAGTGCCCTTCAATCAAGGGATGTATCTCCAAGCTAGCGCGAGGTTTAAATAACTTGGCCGAAGAGATGGTGGAAATCCGAAGTACAAAGTCCCACTTTAGACTAGTGTGGCCGGATGGTAGCCTGACATTTGCAACAGACGGAGATCGATGGGATGGACTATCGGCAACGAAATCAGCCCAACTTTGAAAAGCTTTCTCCTTCACCCTTCTCTTAACAATAATGTCATGGGTATAACTCTCGATCCAATCAATCTTATCTGCGTTAAGAATTTCCACGGAAATGGATAGTTTTCCTAGCGGTGGCCCATTTTGGTCGACTTTGCAATCAGGTCGGCCATATCGAGGAGCAATATATCTGGGGATTGTAAGGGTGGCTATAGACGAACGCTGCGCGAGATTGTGTTTCAAGAAGAAAATGAGCGAAAGCTCTGCATTTACGGTCGTTTTGTCGGGGATATTTCCGAGTTCGGTCGTGAATATCTCTGGAGTATCCTGCTTAACAAGACCTGCAGTCTGGCCACGATTGCGAGCATTATCAAATTCTTCTTGAGCTGTATCCCGTGGTTTAACCTGGCCCTGGATTTCTCGGTTTCCAATCTTGCATTTGAAATCGACGATATTCGACCCATAAGGAACTGGAAATTGATATTTTCCGTCTCGAATGGTGGCCTGGCTATCGTTATTGAATGCTTGAACGATAGTTGTTCTGGCAATATCCTGAACAATATGGACTACCACTGAGGTTGAAGACGCAGGTAGCAGCGCTTGCCTCTCCTGAAGTAGTCGCGGCCGAGCATACTTGGGCTTATAACCAGGGATTAGATCTCGCATGCGGTTCACAAATGCCGTAAATGAGTAGGGAACCCGTTTTGCTACGGGAGAAATAGGAATCCACGGTGTTTTCAGGTAAGGATTTGGAGGTTCTACATCCTCAAAGACGATTCCAGTAAGAGCTTCCATGATAACTTGAGTTCAGCAATACAGCAAAATGCGGACGCGGGGTGGAAGACAAGCCCCGGTAGTAGAAACGAGACGAGGCACCCAGCTTTTATAAGTAAAAAGGTTGCTTACTGTAAATGTCCCAATCGGGTACATGATAGGCATGAGGCTGAGAAAGGAGATTATTCGTCCTTGTCTTCCACGAAGTTGGTTTGTAGACGCCTTTTTGACATGGGTATTTATGCATAGGCGGCAGGCATCCATTGTTCCCTCGTATTTCATGTAGCATATGGACGCACCAAGAAAACAGGCTGTCTCATGATAGCCCTTATTTTGAGGCACAAGGGGCATTACATCGAGAAGCCATCCAGGTATTCAATGACTAAAATGAAAACACATCTAGAGTCGTTGCCATGGCTTCTCCGATCAGCGTTGGCGATGCATATCTCATGGGCAAAGTGGCCTTCCAACTTGGAAGAGCATTCACCAAGGGGCGCAAGTCAGCGCCAGCAGAGTTTCGCGAAGTTGAGAATCAGCTTTACTCCCTCAGCGCTGCCTTGCAATCCTTCAAGACGGCAAGTCGAGACGAATCAGTAGATCTACGGTTCGATGCGTCCTTGTTGCCGACAAGACCTCAGGCCGGCGACGAAGCTGGTGGCGATGATGATGTCCTGAACCAAGTGCTTCGAAGCTGCGAGCAGACTCTGTCACACTTAGAGTCCATCGTCCAGAAATACGGAAGCATTGGCAAGCCGAGAGTGCACGACACTGAGCAGCCCAGGTTCAAGAGATGGAACGACGGGCTTAAGCATGTCTGGAAGACGATATCGTGGACGACTGAAGGAGGAGACCTGGCCTCCCTGCGCAGCAACCTGACGGTCCATACAAACTGCCTGAACCTCCTGTTGGGAGCTATTGTCAAGTATGCTGGCTTTATGTCTTGCTTTTGATAAACTTGAAGAGAAGACGTGGACGTTTGTCGTTAAGCTGTTAACTAAATAACTGACTGAAACTTCGGAAAAGCTCCCAGACCGGAAGAATCGAGGCCCGAGTCAACGACATCGACTCGATGCTCTATGAGATCCACGCCTGGTTCAAGGAAAACTCGAAGAATTCTCGCCTGAACGCTGATAATGCCTCGCAGAGAAAGGCCGGAGTGCCTTCGAGGGAGGATTTTGAACTCCACGAAAGCAGCAATGGGACACAGAGTCGGCTCGTCTGCCCACACGCCATCATAAATCCAAACCTCTCACTCCATGAAGAGCTGGCCTCGCGCCACGAGTTGTTTGCGTGTCAATGTTCCCTAGAATCTGGGGCCCAGTCTTCCCATCAAACAGAAGTTGCTGCTTTTTCTGGTAAGCCCGCTTCCCTTATAGAGCATAATATGGTAGTCGGCAACTGACTATAGCCTAATGCAGCCTCCCGTTATACCATTTGCACTCGCCTGACTGGCAATGAGAGGGTATTGATGCTGTATAAAGTGATCCATCGTATAACAAACAGCCTCAGGTCACTATATATAAAAAGTATTCCGCGGTCAGGTCTGTGCAGTCCTTCTGCTGAATGATGGCAATTCTTAGCTTACTCAAGCATCTTTATCAGATATGGCATGTATTGAAGAATCAATGGAAAGACTTACACTTGGTCAGGCTAAACAAATGCTTCTCCAAGGGCTCCAGACGCCTCTCTGCTGTTCTTCTTCTGGCTTGATTGGGTCTCAACAAGCCTTAATCCTAAACACAATAGGGTACGCTTCCTTGAAGTTGACCCTCCAGCCATGGCTTGAGACTATACTTACACAGTTCTAGGGACATTCGGGAATGCAAGGGTTTAGTAGAATCAGTGAAATTTTTTTCTAAATCATCCGGACAACGGACTTATGAAAGACGCTCTGTCGACAGCATTCAAATACTCCATTACAAGAGCACGGATTTGAAAAACTTTCTTGGCAGTGAAGATACCTTCCTAACTATTTTATCTTCTAACGACTACGCTGAGATAGTGATACGCTACTCTACAAGCCAGGGAGATGCCGATATAGTGGAAACCAGAGTACGATGTATGTTACTTCTATCCACTACTATGATAATGGTAACTCTAACTAATGCGATGCGAGAAGTAACACTAAAGACGAAGTGGTATTCTGACTCTGACCAGCAGAGTATATCCTTCGACCGAGTCAATTGCACAAGCTATACCGGAGGGCAAGAGGCTACCCCTGGAATCAATTTGGGGCTAACTATCTCCTTTAAGAACAATACAGGTACGGTTACGTTTGTTCCGCCATATCAACCTTTTCTATGCTGAAGAATTTGGTGATAAACTACAGCCCTTTCCATCTTCCGAGTACGAGTAGATGAAATGCAGACAGAACTATTCGTCTTAACCCTTAGGTACCCACGAACTACGGAAAAAAAGCTTTTAGCAATGTCTGATCCGCCCATCCAAGGAACGTTATGCACACCTTTCTAACGAATATAATAGCCAAGCATACGACGTCCACACGGAAACAGTTCATATATCAGATGCCGAAATCTCGATCCTCCAGGACACCGAATCCAGCGGGTTTCGCCTAACTATCATTAGCAGAGACGGCCACACGATCGTTAGCCAAGAGCGTATGCAACCCATTTATCCTACGTACCGGCCTTATCAACAGCTAACAGTTCACGGACCGTGGTTAGTTGCGGAGGACTTCTTTGACTCTTCTCTTCCTCATAAATGCTTTAGATTCAACTCCCCAACGTACATTGCTCAAATTGATTCTTATGGTCTGCGCACGATATCCAAAATCAATACGGGATTCTCAATGTTGGGCTTTTCGGATGCCGCAGGTAAGTTCTATATTCCCAGCTACATTTATATTGTTCTTAGATTTTGATTTTACAACAACGTTGTAATTAGTTGAACGACTTTTCTCTCTTAGTCTTACTGGAGTGACTAAAACGACCCAACCTCGAATTGATTTGGGAGTTGTAGGAAGTGGCTGAAATGAACACTATTAAATGCACTGCACTCTGGAACAGATATATATATATATATATATTACCCTTTGTTAATGATCAGTGTAGTGAAGGTAGTAGATATACGTCTCCGAGAGAGAAGAACTAAGCTTCACAAGCCTCTAGATTTCGCCTGGCATCTATCCATTGCCCTACAACATGTGGTTGACACCAATAAGAACGAGCTTCGTATTTGATTTCAAGTAAAAGTTGTAACTCTAGGTCCTGATTGGATGGAAAGTAATAAGACGTTAACTATGTAATACCGGGCCGGCCACGCGGTACCAGTAATTTTGTCCCGCTTGGTTATTTTCGTATTTTGGCAGCACAAAAGCTCACGGCAAATGATCGCGATATCTACTCCCGTGCTCCGTATATGACATTCTTCACAAGCTTGCAAGGCACAGCTCCTCTCGGCCAGGCACATCCTCTCGCTGGCTGATTCCATTTGGCAGCCTTGTCTTTTATCGGGCTATCTGCGAGTGTATCGCTAGCATGACAGGGTTCGGACTTCTCCTTCGAGCCCCACAGCGAGGCTGAACTCCAACAGGCCAGAACGAACCCTATTCATCCTTCAGAAAAAATAACATACAAGCTGAGTTGTGGTGTTGATGGCTTTAAAAGGGGACGGCTGTCTCCAAGAGGCGCTGGCATGGAATCCACCGCGTCTTTTTCTGTTCCCTTGATATATCAGCATCGTACTCCATGCGGAGTTCATGTTTATAGGTCTCCTTCCTCTATTACGTGTTTCCATTTCCTCGTAGTAACGAGGGCTTCTTCAATATGCCTGAGTCTGAGAATGTCGACGATGTCGACATTGATCAGATGTGGAAGGAGACTGAGATTGAATTCCAGAATTTGAGCGGGAACAGCACAAAGGGCCTGAAGCAACTAACTGTTGAAGATGTCCTCGCAAATCTTAAACAGAAGAAAGAATCAGACGCAAAGACCATGGCAAGATATGCAAGGGTGCAGAATGCCGTGGATAAAACACTTGTCTGCATTCAGACGCTGGGGTCCTTCGCTGCCTTGGTTGCCTCGAATGTAAGTCATTGCTTATAACTAAAAATATTCCGGTATATGTCTCAAATTAAGATGTGGCTATAGTTTTTCGGACCTGCAAACCTTTGCTTCAGCGCTGTTTCCATGTTGATAACTGCCTCTCAAAAGTACTCCAAAATTTTTGACGGACTCTCAGAGCTGTTTGAGCGCATTTCAACGTTTTTAGATAGATTCCAAATCTATGCAAGAGCCAAGGTGGTCGGGGTTAAGCTTGATCCTCATCTTAGAAGGATTATTCACGACCTGCTTCGCAGCTTCGTACGCATCTGTGCCCTGTCTATCAAAATATCAAAACATTCCAAGGTCCTCTTGGCCCTCGAGGTGTTCAGCTTTGGAAGCGATAAGGGTGTTTCTGCAGAACTTAGCAAACTGGAAACCTTGGTGCAGAATGAAACCAAAATGAGCATTGCTCTGATCCTGGAATCCGCCAAAATCAGCGAAGGAAAGATTGCAGCTGGGTTTTCTAATGTCAAGTCGTCTCTTGAAACGGTTGACACAAAGCTGGACACTCTTGATGGACATATGGATAATGTTTCCACCCTCTTAGAAAAACACGATCTTGCTGAAAGACGCAGGGATCAAGAAGGGCTATCTAAACAGCGACGAGACAAGATCAAAGCTGCTTTGAAAATTGATAAAGAAGTGTGGAGAACCTACCAGGAAGACTATGTGGGCAACATTGTTCCCGGAACCGGCCAATGGCTTCTCAACGATCCTCAGTTTTCCGCCTGGGCAGACCCGAACACCAAGTCACCCCCCATTTTTGGTCTCAAGGCTAAGGAAGGATATGGAAAAAGTTATTTATCGTCTGCAGCAATCAGGCATCTGTACCGGTTATACCCGCCAGGGAATCAGGACGCAAGGATGTCTGTCGCGTATTACTTCTTTGGGGGAACCACCTTTAACTCTACGGAAAAATCTGTGAATATCGCCCTCCGATCCATCATCTGGCAGCTCACTCAAAATGATGCAGTGTATCAGAAGAACGTCGCATCTGCCTGCGACAAACCAGAAGAATTTGGAGATTCATTGGAACTTTGGAAACAACTTGTGGTCAATTTCTCGCCTAAGACTAATGCTGTTTTCTACATTGTCCTTGATGGTATCGAGGAGCTTGACAGCGAGATTGGGAAACCCCTGGTTGAAGTCTTCCGTGACATATCTGCCATGGCAAATGAAAAGAGTATGATGACAGTGAGGTTATTCATTACCGGTAGACCAACCATTTTCTCTGAAGCCGAGACAGCTTCTGGGGTTTCTCTATCCACTATCGAGCTAGGTATTCGCAACAAAGAGGACATTGAAAAGTTCATTGAAATGCGAATGGACAATATGGAAATTCTCAAAAATAAGGAGAAGCCAGAGATCATGGAGCTTAGGGACCTGGTCAAAACTGGTCTTGGCAAAGGTACCCAAGGTGACTACTTCCAGTTGAACTATCTCTTAGCTGAAATAAGTAAGAAGAGGAGGAAAAAGGAAATTCAGGAGGTACTGGAACATGCTGGTGAGGATCGAGAGGCTACAATAGCTCGTGAGATCGACCGCCTCAACCATACTCTCGGATATGAAGACATCCAGGATCTTGTGGCCATACTTAGCTGGACAATGGGCGCAAAACGTGCTCCTTTCCTGAAAACCCTTGAAGGAGTTCTTTTGATCAAGAATGGCGAGGCCTCACTTATGCCACTGGAGGAACAAGTCCGGACTAAATATTCTGCATTGCTTGAGATAGCAGAGTATAACTCCGTCATACTCCGATCCAAGGCTATCCGCGAATTTTTCAACAAACAGACAAAACAAGAAACTAAAGATGCCATTGCGAATACCGAGCTACACCCAGCTGAAGTTGCCATTGTGAGGAGATTCCTTAACAGCGTTTGTGACAAGGAGTTGTTTGACAAATTTGGATTTGAAGAATTTTTTAAGTCCAAGTTGGGGTCCAAATCTGCTTCAATCCGTGTGAATATGGAGACTCTTAAAGTTCACGTCATACTTGTGGGTATGAAGTCCGTAGCGAATGAGAGAGACGAGGAGATGCAAGCCCTAAGGAATGCACACTTCTACTCCTTTCAGGAGTGTTTGGAAGAAGTTGACCTGGCGCTTACGCAACCTGAGCCGAAAACCGAGATCGGTTCATATCTTATCAAGCACTTTACTGACGAGACATACATGAGAAAATGGTGGATTGCAGATCGTATGTTCCAACGAAGCTGGTGGTCGTACGAGGACAAGCATGTTAATACGATGCTCAAATGGTTTAAGGATTCAGCAGTTACTAGGAATTTATCAGCTGAAATGAAGGAATGGGTGAACGGACTAATCTCGAATATTAACCCAAATGATGACCTTCTCTCCCATACCGCAAAGTACCTTGCAAAACAATGGCTGCAAACTGTGAACTGGGAGTCTCGATATCTTTTTTGGTGGTTACTGGGATATGTAACTAAGGTTCGCATTCCATCCCACAGTGAACTCTTGACCTTATGCTAATGCTTGGATGTCTATAGATCAAAGCGCGTAAAGGGGAAGGTAAGCGGGTTACATCAGATGTTTCCCCTACATTGGAGCAGATTTACGATGTAGAAAATTGGGCAAAATCTGAACTCAACATTGACACTGCCGATACACTCTGGGAAGTGCAGATGGGGATCACCCTCCATAACTTTGGATTTTACAAAGAATCTATCGAAAGATGCATTAAATCTCGTGGCCTAGACGCCTCAAACTGGCGTGCCTCTTACATCCAAGCTGAATCATGTTGGGAAATGGATGATACAAACACTTCGCTGGAACTGATAATGCCCGTGATGGAACGATTCAGAAATGAGGAAGCATTAAGGGTCGAATATGAAGAAAAGTTCTATCTTGGAGTCCTTGCATCATACGGAGTATGGAATACCGAGATCAAGGAGTACGACAAAGCCACTACTGCTTTCCAGGAAATTCACGAGCATGACATGGACCAATATGCACCCATATATTGGACTTTGGAACTGCTCGAACAGCAGGAGAAATACACAGCTATCATTGAAACTCTTCAAGATTTGAAGGGTAAGCAAAACAAAGAGGGGAGAAACCGGCTCACAGCAATGCATCACCAATATGCAAACAAGGACGAGTACTTCACAAGATTGAACACGGCTGGATTCCACTCCTCCAGCATAGATGTTGTCCGCGACTCTATGTACGAAGCACTTGCGCCAGAAAACGTAGTGGGAGTAATCCCATATGTCACCTCATGGTTGAACTACTTCCTCGCCAAGTTATTATACCATTATCCGAGGACTGATGCAGATAAGGCAGAAGCCATCAAAATATGGGCACATATTGTGAACAAATCGGCCCGCAAGATTTACCTTGTAAGCGAAGCTGATGTCCTGGAGGCGACTACTGAAAAGTTAGGAGAGGTATACCTGCATCAAGCGATCGATGCTGGGGTCGACACACCAGCTGCCGAGGAGTATTTGAAGAAATTAATTGACTTGCGCCCCGGTGCGAAGGATGAAACTTCTTTCTTCACTTGCCAAAACCTACAGTTCGCGATCGCTCGACTACAGTATCTGATGGGTCAAAAAGCAAAAGCAATGGATACTCTTAGGGGTCATGTCAAGGTGGCACTGGACTTGCTTTGTGATGATGATGACAGTAACGACTCGGATGCATTCTTGAGACTGACATCTATGACATATGTTGGTGATGATGTCAATGCTCTCGCTGCTTGGACCGCGCTCAGGCCATCTGTCCATACAGAGACGGCGGAGGAAAACGAAGCAGATAAAAAGGAGGAATCTTCGGCCGAGGAGAATACCGTGAACGATGATTGCAAAGAGAAAACAGACACGGACGTAAAGGAAGAAACTACAACGCCAGCCAATGAAGATGCAGAAGATGTCAAATCCGCAGAAGTCACCGAGGTTGAAATCGAAAAAATCAATGTGACAGTGGTAGCAGAGATAGCAGAGATAAAGGTGACTGAAGTCGAAGTTGAAAACGATGCCAGTGAAGAGGGCAAGGAGCCAACGGATGGAGATGAAGCGCAGGAGCAGGAGAACCAAGGGGAAGCTGAGAACGACGACGACGATGATGACGACGAAACCTTACCTGGGCCTCTCGAGTTGTTTTGCGATGGTGGCTGCGGGCGTCAATGGACCTACGCGAGCGAATTCTACGCCTGCAGCGACTGCTTGGACGTGCAGTTCTGCGCCGACTGTCATTCTCAGCTGAAAAACGACGGGAAAGACTTGAAAGTGTGTGGAAGGAATCATGCTTTTGTATTTGTTCCTCCTTATGACCCAGAAACTGCAAAACAAGTGCCAAACGGGTCCGTTCGCGTTGGAGACGAAATCATCCCTGTCTCTGAATGGGTGAAGCGGCTGAGAGTACAATGGGGAATTGTAGAGGAAGAGGCGGAACAGGAGAAGCCGGAAGAGGAGGCATCTACATGATCTATTCCATATGGTCATTTTCTGTAGTAGACACTTGGTTGTTATTGCTGAATGATAATGCTTAATGACATGTATAAGGGGGCCGTACTTCTACCTTTCTTTGGACAGCTTGCTTTGTCTTTCAGCATGTTTTCACTATTTACGACTTCTAATCAACGATAATAACTTATTGCTATTCCCGTTGAGCTGTCATTCCACTTGAACTGGGAGTCACCCGCGAAAAATGAGTGGGTGACTCAACCAGGGTGTGTAAGCCTTGGTGTGATCACAGGTAACTAGTTAGTTACCCACAGGCCCCTCATCCATGTTCCCCGTCAGTTCAAACGGACCAGGGCTGAGTCGACCAATCTGCCCTGCTCCACGAGCAAGTCCAAGCTACTGATGCTAGGTTTCCCCTGTTGTTAACTCCGGCCTGATATTGTTTTGTATGTGCAGGCATAATATTTTACGTGATTCATCCCATCTATCCCGGATTATGGAGATACAATACAATCTCCGGAAGACTCCTAAGTGGACGGGCCTGAAGCTGGAGATACCGTTGGCTACGCCGGGTAGATGCACGCATCGGACACCCTCGGGCGCTGGAAGGCCAGGCAGCAAGACGGGGCAAGCACACTGGTATAAGAATCACACCATGGACCTCCATCTTCGCCTGTCTTTGCTCTCTACTTACTTAGACACCGATAAAACTACTTTCTCTCCTCGCTATTACAAATAAATATCCAATAGAAAACCACTGCCTATTTCAGATAACCAGCGGTCAATACCTAAGATGCCTGCTCCTTACAACACCAACACCACAGTTAATGAGCTCGCCTCTGATTACGCCAGCCTGATCAAAGGCAAGGTCATATTAACGACCGGTGTCTCCCCAAACTCCCTCGGAGCGGTCTTCGTCCGGTCTATCGCAGCATCTGAGCCAGCATGCTTAGTACTTGCAGGTCGTAACGTTGAGAAACTGGCCCTGACAGCTGCAGATATCGCTACTTCTCATCCTATAGTCAAAGTGCGCACTCTGCAGGTCGATCTAGGCTCCCTAGAGAGCGTTCGTGCTGCTGCTGCTGAAGTAAATGGCTGGGACGACCTCCCTGTTATTGACGTACTGGTCAACAACGCCGGGATCATGGCCGTGGACTACAAGCTCTCGCCAGATGGATACGAATCCCAGTTTGCAACCAATCATCTAGGACCATTTCTGTTCACGAATCTTGTTATGAAGAAGATCATGATGGCCAAGGAACCCAGAGTCGTGGTTGTTAGCAGCAGCGGCCATAGATTACATGCGGTTCGCTTCCATGACTACAACTTCGATGTAAGCTCTAGGGAGTATTGTATAGTGATGAGATCGAGAATATATACTCCGTACTAACCAGGAGAAACGAATAGGATGGGAAAACATACGACCGCTGGCGTGCCTATGGGCAGAGTAAATCCTGCAATACTCTCTTTGCTCTCTCCCTAGCTCAAAAGTTGGGCGTTAAGTCCGGTTTACAAGCGTTCAGTCTTCATCCAGGTGCCATCTTCACCAACTTGGGTGCCCACCTAGACTTGGAGACGGCACCGCAGGAGCTTGGTACCGCCTCCTTTCTAATCTGAAATAGAAAAAATTGCCTATATGCGTAACTTGCAGCTAATATTACGTTAACAGCAAACGCGGATAAGGAGCTGGGTAACCCAGAAGGTTGGGAAGAGATGAAATTTAAGTCGCAGGAGGTGGGTGCTGCCACCCATGCCTATGCAGCCTTCGACCCCAACCTTAAAGGTATAGTATTTCTTCAGTCCCCTTCGCATTTCTCGGGAATGTTAAATTCTTGATCTGACATTCGAATACTCCGTAGCTAATAATGGGGCATATCTGCTTGACTGCCATGTCGCGGATCCCATGGTTGATACCGTCAAATCGTGGGCAACAAGCGCCTTTGAAGCAGAACGGTTGTGGCGGCTGAGCGAGAAACTGGTGGGGCAGGAGTTCCCATACTGATTACCGGAATCCGATAATCTCACTGCCGTGACAAAGATGGAAAAGATGCCAGCGGCCGCCAATTGATAAATATATATATGAACGGGAGAAGTATGGTTCGAGCGCTTTGCACGGAGAAAAAGGGGAAGAAACTTGTGATCCACTTAGCAAACTCAGTTAGTTTGATCAAAGCAAAATTAAGTTTTATGGTGATATCATTAACCATAAAATATTAAACATTAATTTATCTTGGATGCAGCTAAATTTATCCATTGGTGGAATAAATATAATCAGGACCAATAACTCGCGATTTCTGGTACCCCTTTTAACTACTCACTTTACACTGCTCAACCGCTTCCCGGTGTGGCCTTGTCTGTGTAATATACCGGAGGCCAAAGGCTGCAAAGGAGCCATTGTACTCCCATACTCAGATTATAAACTCTAATCGCAGAGATAGTTAGCGAGCTACCTCCTATTTATGTATCTGTATAAGTTGTTTTGTGTTCCAGCTGGCTACAATGGCAATATTCAGAAGTAGCTAGCTGAATATACCTTGGATATCAACTCCAACTAGCCCGTTCAGAAACCATCGGGCTAAGCGCTGGGGCTTGTTATGCGGTGATCCTTCTCGCTAGATCGATGCTTGAACTCCATTTACCGTCTCCGTTGGACGGGATGGGCTGATGCCATGCAGGAAACCCGTGCATACTGGGTAGCCTGGATATATAACTGGTCGGTCCTGCAGCAAACCTGCCTGGTTGTATATCAACAAACTAGCCATGCTCTGTGCTACGGATAACGTCCACTCCCCAATCTGCTTGTTCCCCAGCTGTTCCGGCAAGTGATATTGCGCCAGTGGCTCGGAAGCAAAAGGCACAGGTCATTATTGTTTGCCACCTCAGATCATACACATCTAGATGATACCAATCAGCTAGCTATAGGCATAGCATCACACCTTGCAATCCGGAACTTGCTGCACTCTATCGCAGTGCTGCCGAAAAAGTTGGAAAATCATTCAACTCTAAAAGAGATAGTCTTCTTACTGTTTCTTGTCTTCCATGGGCCAGAATATGCTTGTCATACAGTTAATCCCTTAACCTTTTTTTTTTCTCCTTTCGATCCTCGCCTACAACACTCAGGCTCAAGAGTGTATATGATGTGTATTTTCAGCAGTAAGTCTTCGGTTATTTAAGAACTTGTTGTCTCCCAGGCATATATATCCTCGTCGCTGCGCGTGTCTTTCAGCTTCATAAAAACAAGTACTTTCACGGTACGATATCGTCTCCACACTCACAATGATGAAACCAATTTTCCACATACTTGCGATTTTGTCGCTACTTTTCACCCTTGTGCTGGCTGGTAGACAGCGGCCTTTTACTCCCAGCCTCGGTCCTGGTCGTAAAATTGACCCAGCAATGCTCGTGGGCTGCTGCCAGCCGGGATACAACAAGGTATGCTCATTTGACCAAACACTGGCTTCAAGTTCTGTGGATATAGATATGCTTATACATGTTTTAGATATGTCGAGACGGCAGTGAGCCGAATCCGTATTGCGGAGTGGGAGGTAAGAATGGCCTCATCTTCACTATGGCCGCTTATTCAAGAGTCCAATGGCTAAGCAAAGGAAATTATAGCATGCAATCCATTTGGTTGTCAGTGCCGCGGGGGATGTCGCTACTAAGATGATGATAATAATAACTGGGGTAGGCAGTTTCTGATCAAATCACTAGGGCGCTTGCTATTTCGATGACTGGGTATTTACTAACCGGTGCTTTTTCCTAGTAGAGATCCTTACATCCGTTTCGTCTCTGGCTTATGGCGCTGGAGTTATTCATGTTTTAATTTATAATTGTTTAATGAGATACCTGTCCCTTTGCGCGCCATATACCAGCTACATTTCATATTTTTCAATGCAAAAGATTTCATAAACACGAGTACAATTGTTATGGTATCTAATGAACTGGGCACTACATTCTTTCCAGCAGTCGTGTCCAAGTATTCGTCGGCATTGAACATACATGAGGCCGTGAGACAGGTCGAAAGAGCAGGTGGTGGTAACGTTAGGGGGAATCACAAAGGCAGTGGTCGATTAGGGTTAGTTGTCATCATAGGTATCCATTGAAGAAATAAAGTATCTCACTTAAACGCCGGGAATAAAATGGGGGAGAAGGAAACTGGGGGATGAGAAGCAGGCCAGTGCCTATGAATCGGAGAGTATATAGAATGTTAAGCATATATAAAGGAGAAGAAATGTGGGGAAGGCCAGGGGGAAAGCAGTTCCAACGTTAAATGCCAGGAGAAACAGAGATAAAGCCGTGCAATTCTCCGCATGATAAAATGGAGCCATTCAAATGTTTTTTAAGGTATTCGACAAGTTATATAAATTCAAAACTGGCTTGAGTTTTGCCGCGTGTTGCCTAGATTAGGTGTAAAGCCGCTTCCGTCACTACTAGGCGTTTGCGGCTCTGCGACGACCTGTCTCCTAATGCAGACGATCCATTCATGCTGCAAAAGCTCCGCAGCACTGGGCCGTTTGGCTGGGTCAGGCTCGAAGCATTGTTTGATGAAATCAATGCCTAGTTCAGACAATTCACTCTTACTTGGGAGATGAGGCTGGTTTCCCTGTGCGATCTTGTACATGATCGCCCATTCGTTGTCAATGCCAGCCCATGGGCGCATGCCAGTGGCCATCTCGAGAATGACACAGCCGAGGGACCAGATATCCATTGAGCCATGACGGGAGGAGCGGTGGCTTGTTTCTCCTCGTACAAGCTCGGGTGACATGTACATGGGTGTACCTATGACAGACTTCTGATTCTTGCGCTGGTCCTTGTTAACAGCTGTGGAATCCTTGTAGTGGTCCATTGCTGCGAGAGTTTTGCCTTGTCTAGCGATGACCATTGCTGCGCCAAAGTCGACATATTTGATGACTCCGTTGTGGTCAAGTAGGATATTAGCGGGTTTGATGTCACGATGGACGATGCCGGCTTGATGAAGGTACGCTAGACCCTCCAGCATTTGAAGTGCGTAAACCATGATGACCATCTCATCCTCGATGCGACCGTGTTCAAGTAATGTAGCAAGAGATCCGCCAGAGCAGTATTCCATGAAAATATACACTTTGTCACGGTGGACTTCAATGCCGTGATAAGAGACAATGTTGGGATGATCCAAGACTTCAAGGACACCCATCTCATCTCTAATCTGCTGAGCGGCACCAGGAATGACGGATGGTTCTTGGAGGCGGATCTCCTTGACGGCCATCAAGTAACTGGTATCCAGGTCAATGGCAGCATAGACAGACCCCGAAGTTCCGCCACCAATGAATTGACCCTGCTGCCAGCGTAAGTTGATATTTGTAGCCGATGAAGAAAGTACCCTCAGCGAACGATCGGCCTCGTTGACCCCTTCCAATACTTTCCCAAGCGGCTGTCGTTTGGCATCCTCCTCCGCCCGGAAGGCCTCGATGTCTGATAGGTGCAGTAACCTTTGGGCTTGTACCTGTGCCAACGCCACCTCGTCACTAGTAATATCACTACAATCCAGATTCCGGTAGTTCCCAGCGGCGTCCGAGTGTTGCTTTTCCGCCTTGGCAGCCAATGTTGATCTAGCTCCCATAATATCGAAATGGGAAATTAATAACGCCATGCAGCCAGCAACTTTGACACGGAGTAGATCATACTCTTGATCGTTCAAAGAGATGATAGCATGCCCATGGGTAATTATCATAGCAAACTCAAGGGCGGATACGGCCCATTTGAATGTCTTGCGATCTGCGGCATCACAGTCATCGCAGATGAAAGAAATCCAATCCAGGCCTAGCTTGATAAGTTTCCCCTGGTTCATGGACCGGCGATTGGGATCCATGTACATCAACGATCTCTTGCCAAATTCGGTAGCAAAAGCAAAACATGACTGGATAAGTTCAAGATTTTGTCTGTCCGTACTCTGGCTTCTGATAATCTCCACGCTATCAATGATAGTATTGGACAGTTTAAACGCTGTCTTCTTGATCTTGTTCAGCTCTACGTTAACACGGCCTAGGTTCGCACGTTGTTCGATAGTGACGTCGAATTCGAAGCCTGTTAACCTGGAAAGTGCCAGTCGAGCGTTTTGAAGTCGTTCCTGAGATCCATCGGCGACTAGGCGAAGTTTCCCCATGCGGACATCTGTAGGATGCTCAATGATGTCAACCTCGAACCGTTTCCCGGACCATTGGAAGGGTTTGTCTGGTCTTATGACGAGGATATAAGGGTATGAGAGGTTATCGGTGACATCATCGCCGCGGAATGAAGTGCCCAGGATGGCTTGGATGTCCTTTTTACGGTCATATAGGGACGGCGAAGCAATCAGGCATACGCCTTTCTGGCCAACCGAGCTGGTAGAGACGAGAAAATGGCCAGACGCTAGGAGTGCCTCGGTAAAAGCCTCGACGTGTTCGTTACGAAGGTTGAACTCGGTAGCGTTCTCGAAGCGTTGCCGAAGGAAACGTGAGAATCGGAAGAGTTTTCGTTGTCGAACTCGAACGGAGTCAAGAATAGTCTTGTATCGTTTCTCATTGTCAGAAGCATCGTCTTGTGGTTTTGATAGGAGTTCGCGCTCGAAGTGTAACATCAGTCGCTGCAAGGCTTTGGCGGTTAAAGTGCTAAACTGTTCGGCAACCTCAATATCACCACCGTCAAGCTGTCGTCCAATCTGGTTTGAGAAATCCCACTCCTGCTCCAAAATTTCTGCTTCCTTGAAGGTGTTCTTGTTTGCACTCAGTTTCCAATTAAGCAGTTTAAAGTAGTACTTCAGCGCGTCCAGAACAACCATATCGAAATTTTCGTCCACACAAGGAGGAAGGTCCCATCCAGGTTCTGGGCGGGAGATGAGTATGTATCGATATTTGATTTCAGTAGCTACTTTCATCAGTATCTGGAATTGCACAATCATCTGATCGAGGAGAATGGGGGACTGTTGGCCTGGGTCTTTCATCTTTTTGGCATATGAGAGGCGGACACGGGTGACTTCTTGGATGAGGCGTGAAGGGAAGTTGATCAAGGTGAGCAATTCTTCGATATAAGGCGGTAAGTGACGTTGTAAGAAGGCATCGGAGTTTTCAATCATTGTGTTTTTGGCCTTTTTTATGACCTTTCCGACACCGTCAAGCATCTGATCACCACCCTGTAGAGTCTTGAGGCCGTCTTCTTTCATGACTCTATCGAGGAACGACCCCTCATCCGATAGTTCCGATGCATAGGAAGTCTTGACTAAGGGTTTTGTAAAGTCAAGTTCATCATTGCCTACCCATTTCTGTAGGATGGAAAGCTGTGTATTGATGAGTTTAGTGGTATTGTGCCATGAGAGGATGGCATTGCAGGAGTCGTAGTATTCCTCGGACGCAGCACGAGGGCATGCAAGTTGGAGCTGTCTGCGAGAGGCGAACAGGCTCTCCACTCTTTCGATTTTCTCGACAATATCTTCAACCTGTTGCTGCGGGGGTTTCCCAATCTCAGCTTGGCCCTTGATCTTGAAGTTGATAATCTCTTCTAGCATTGGACCGATATTCTTCCTTTCCTCCTCGATGATTCTAGCCTGTGTTGCGATGGGTCGCGCAAGTGTGCGAGCTTTGACGCCCAACCATATCTCGTCGCCTAGCACCTCCTTGCTTTTCTGCTCCATGGTACCAATGAGACGCTGTTTCTCTTGCCTTACAACGTCTCCTTTGAGTACAGAAGCTAGCATAGAATGCCATTCTAGTCTCTCGCGGGCTCTGGGATCCCGTAATTCCTCGAGCGTGGGCTGTAGGTCATCCTCTTCTAGGCCCAGGCGCAGATCTGGATCAAAGGTATCAGGATCAAACTGAGCCTCAGAGGAAGGTGACTCCTCGCCAACGTCAGACTCGAGATCTAGAGCCGCCGAGGAAACCGAAGACGACATTTGGCTATTGTTGCTGAACCACTCGCTGGGTGGTCCTTGCCGTACTCTCTGTACATAAGCTTTCTCCTGTGCTTGGTACTGCGCGTTGGGGTCGCGGTCACGTTCCCTGCGGGGTGTTCTCTTTGAAGAAAGCGGCAGCTGGCTGGTTGAGTGCGCGGTAATGAACTGGTTGGGCCGCCGTGGAGGAGCGTAGGTATTTGACGGTGTTCTCGCTGGGCCCAGGGGCCGCTGTGGGCGTGTGAGGTTGTTATTATTTTCTCTCTCGCTCATTGTGCTTGTACTTCCTGTGATTGATGCTGTGGCTGCTTCCGTACCACCACTACCGCTGCTGCCGCTACCTCCGATAGAATTGCTGGCAGCGGCACTGCCGGGCCATGAGGGATACGCAGATGGGGAGGCAGCCGGCGTAAGAGACAGATGCTGTGACGGCGATGCTCTGGCGAGATTGAGATTGGATCCGACGCTGGGTGTACCGGGACCTAGTTGGGAAGACGTTGAAATTGAGTTCGCGTTTTTTTTTCTCTTTTACTCTTTACAACGGGGGAAAGAAACGAAAGAACAGGGAGGAGCTAGATGCTGGACTGCAATCTTACCTTTCTGGCCTAGGCCGGGGATGGCCTCCTCGTGCTCGTCGTCGCCGGTGAGAGGATCCGTAGCGAGCACGTATCCAACAGGATGATGGCGCGAGTAAAAATAATCGCCGTTCGTGTGATCACGATCTCGATCACGGGCAGCAGGGCTCTCCCTTTCCATTATTATGAGAGAAGAACGGTCCTATCCCTTCGGGCGTCGCTGTCCGGCGAGCGGGTTGGGCAGCCTGAGGCTTGAGGTTTGGGGCTTGAGCTGTGCTCCTTTGGTATAATTAACACTAGCGGTTCCCCTGGTCCCTTTATCGTTACTAGACCTTGCTCGTTGGTACTAGTGACCCTTTTGCAAATGCCTAGTGACCCTATGGTCCCTGCTAGTCGCTCCAGGTGGCGGTGCTGGTTGTTGTTTTACGCGAATAAGCTTGCAGCCTGCTTACTGGGGTCAGAGAAGGGATATTGAAGCTGCAGACGGGTTAGCGAGTAGCAGACAGGCGGGTGGAGGAACCGTTTGGCCACATCGAGCTTAGCTGGCACAGGTGAACTGACAGGTCAAAATGCAATCTGACATGCCACAGGTCAAATTTCAGCAACGCCGATACCCGATGTCGATGCTCGATGCCAAATTCTCACGCCCGCATCGAAAGGAGCCGAGCAGCGCAAACGGATGAGATGAAGTCGAGAATATCCAAATTGGGATTAAAGGGCAGAAATGCTCGAAGGCGAGTGCGTAATGTAATTACAAGCGTACCAGAGTTGCTCCCGCTAGTGTTCGTTTTTAGTACGGTATTACGCTTACCACATGACCTTAAGGTGTGGCTCGTGCTTCGCAAAGCCAACTTCGGGGCTTTTTTTGCCTGCGTTGAACGTTTGACGACGGATAAACACAAAACAAACAAGCAGAGACTGATGGGATATTTTTGATATTTTGCTGGAGTTATATGAGCCGTCGCAATGTCGGACAGCGAGAAGCCGCTGTCTACGTTCCCTCTGCCCGAAGAGTTCGATACGGACCCGCGAGTCTCCTTCTCGAAGCTCGACAACAAGTACATACTGGAAACAGACCATGGCGAGGAATACACATATGATGACGCTCTGAAGAGATGGATACCCTCGGTAGGCATGCTCATGGCTTAGTGAGATTGAAACAAAAAGAGGCCACAGTGGTGACTCTGTCCGTGGGGCATCCTAACTCATTGTCTTGACCGGAGATACAGCTGGACGAGGCCTTGCTGGAACAGCAGAGGCAGGCGTACAAGATACAGGGAGTCGACGAGGAGGAGCCTGCGAATCTCAAGGCCCTGCAGGACAAAAAGAAGAAGCGGAAACATAATGATGTCTGTATTCCCTTGGTCCTTTCTGTTTTATCTGTATTTTTATTTTTTCGCCTTGGTGGCTCGAGATCTAACAGGGTCCTAGGAATCAAACCCGCCCCAGAAACCGAAGAAACCCCGTGTCAATACCGCCGTGTACGTAACTGCCATTCCCCTCGATGCTACCGTATCCGAGATCAGCGCTCTCTTCAGCAAATGCGGCGTCATTGCGGAGGAAATCGACAGTGGGAAGCCGCGCATAAAGATGTATACGGATGACCAGGGCGCGTTCAAAGGCGATGCACTCGTTGTATATTTCCGCCCCGAATCAGTCAACCTCGCCATTCAGATGCTGGACGATACCGATTTCCGGTTTGGCGAAAAGGGCGCGCAGGGTAATATGAGAGTGCAGCCGGCAGATTTCTCCTTCAAGGCTGTGCAGGAAGCCCCGGCAAAGGTGAATATGAGGGATAAGATGAAGATTATACGCAAGACCCAAAAACTAAACAAGTATGCGACCGTCCAGCCTGTGAGGTTGATAGTAGTGTGGCTAACTTGGGCCTGTAGTAAACTCACCGACTGGGATGATGATGATGCTGGACCTAGACAGTCAACAAAGGCAGGGAAGGTCGTTGTGCTGAAACATATGTTTACGCTGCAAGAGCTCGAGGTAAACTCCCCATGCCATTCGATTGAGTGCATTAGCATGGGGTTTCTTTTCTAACCTTGGCATTGTCTCGTAGGAGGATCCAGCCGCCATTCTTGACATCAAAGAAGACATCCGCGAGGAGTGCTCCAAGCTAGGCGAGGTAACCAACGTGGTGCTCTACGACAAAGAAGAATCAGGAATTGCCACAGTCCGCTTCGCCGACCCCGAGTGTGCCCAGGCTTGTGTGCAGGTATGGTCCTTAAGTGCCAAAATAATAGTAACAATAATTACGGCCATAGACAGCCAGGCTAACAAATGACTAGATGATGAACGGCCGCTTCTTCGGCGGCACCCAGGTCGAAGCATATGTAGTTGAGGGGAAAGTCCGGTTTAAGAAGTCGGGCGCCAGTGCAGCTGCTGCCCTACAGGATGACGGGGCCGGCTGGGAGGCGGAGACCGGCAAAGACGAGGAAGCCCAGCGCCTGGATAAGTTTGGAGCCTGGCTCGAGCAGGAGAAGGCCACCGGGGCGGCAGCCGACAGCTAGACCGTGTCTCACTACTCTTCTTTTTTCCCTTTCCCTTTCGTTTCGGTTACTATTGGACTCGTATGCACACCTAGGATAGCTGCTTAGCTAGTTTGCTGATTCTGTACTTTTATCCTTTCTGTTTGGCATCTTGGTTTTACCTAAGCACTTACTAAGCAGCCCCTGAGCGTCTAAACGGCAGTAAACAACGCTAGGCCCGATCGAGCTACCTCCTTTGCTCACCGCCCACCACGCCCGACTTTCTTTCTCCTTTCCTCGACCTCAACTTCTCAACTTCTCAACTTCACACAACAAAGCACACAGCAACGTCCCTCAACTCCCATCTCAAACACTTCACCTCGTCCGCTTTACTCTCCAACCGCCCGTCACCCTCGCCAACATGCGTGAAATCGTAAGTCTAGTTCCCTGCTGCCTTCACTTCCCCTCTATTTATGCCCAAAAAACACGACACGGTCTGCACAGGCCAAGAAAGGGGGGGAGGCGAGAGGGCCACCACACGACCATGTCCCAGCGTGAAGGAGACGGGCACCAAGTTTTACAATTCCCGCATAGAGAGCTTCGAGTATCAGGCTAACGTGTTTCTATCGTATAGGTCCATCTCCAAACCGGCCAATGTGTAAGCTTTGATCGTTCTCTGGTTCGTTATTCAGGAACCCGTTTGAGTTAACAGTTATTCAACCTTAGGGTAACCAAATTGGTGCCGCTTTCTGGTAGGCATCCACGCGTTGGAGTACGATTGTATATATTATATTGGATTGCTACTGACTTTGTGTGTACAGGCAAACCATTGCTGGCGAGCACGGTCTCGATGGATCCGGCCAGTAAGTGATTCTACAAGCACAACAAAAGGTCCAGGGCTTGAGGACAGGAATGTTGACATTGGGCTTTCTCTAGCTACACTGGATCTTCTGACCTCCAATTGGAGCGTATGAACGTCTACTTCAACGAGGTGTGCACGACCAAGACCCTTTCCTTCAGCAGCATACTAACTCATTGGAGGCAAAGGCCTCAAGTAAAAAATACGTTCCCCGTGCCGTTCTTGTTGATCTTGAACCTGCTGCTCTCGATGCAGTCCGTGCCGGTCCTTTCGGCCAGCTCTTCCGCCCCGACAACGTCGTCTTCGGTCAATCCGGTGCCGGAAACAACTGGGCCAAGGGTCACTACACTGAGGGTGCCAACTTGGTCGACCAGGTCATCGATGTTGTCCGTCGTGAGGCCGAAGGATGCGACTGCCTTCAGGGTTTCCAGATTACCCACTCCCTCGGTGGTGGTACCGGTGCCGGTATGGGTACCCTCTTGATCTCCAAGATCCGTGAAGAGTTCCCAGACCGTATGATGGCCACCTTCTCCGTTGTCCCATCCCCAATGGTCTCTGATACCGTTGTCGAGCCATACAACGCCACTCTCTCCATCCACCAGCTCGTTGAGCACTCCGACGAGACCTTCTGTATCGACAACGAGGTAGGTTTGCTTCGGTTCTTATCAATTGGCTAGGAGTTTGCGTTCTTAACAGATTCTATAATAGGCCTTGTACAACATCTGCATGCGAACTCTCAAGCTCACCAACCCATCTTATGGTGACCTCAACCACCTCGTCTCCGCCGTCATGTCCGGTGTCAGCACCAGTCTTCGTTTCCCAGGTCAGCTCAACTCTGACCTCCGCAAGTTGGCCGTCAACATGGTTCCATTCCCTCGTCTCCACTTCTTCATGGTCGGATTCGCTCCTCTTACCAGCCGCAACGCCTACTCTTTCCGTGCCGTTTCCGTGCCAGAGTTGACCCAGCAAATGTTCGATCCCAAGAACATGATGGCTGCCACTGACTTCCGCAGCGGCCGCTACCTCACCTGCTCTGCCATCTTGTAAGTCTCCTCACCCGTAAACCCCTTCCTTGCGTTTGTACTAACACATCAATAGCCGTGGTAAGGTCTCCATGAAGGAGGTTGAGGACCAGATGCGCAACATCCAGAACAAGAACTCCGCCTACTTCGTTGAGTGGATTCCCAACAACGTCCAGACTGCTCTCTGCTCCATTCCTCCACGTGGCCTCCAGATGTCCTCTACTTTCGTTGGTAACTCCACCTCCATTCAGGAGCTCTTCAAGCGTGTCGGTGACCAGTTCACTGCTATGTTCCGCAAGAAGGCTTTCTTGTTCTGGTACACTGGCGAGGGTATGGACGAGATGGAGTTCACTGAGGCCGAGAACAACATGAACGACTTGGTCAGCGAATACCAGCAGTACCAGGATGCTTCCGTCTCTGACGGTGAGGAGGGGTAGTAAGTTTTCACTCAGCAATGAAACGTTTATATCATATCAATATACTAATCATATCTCTCCCCACAGCATGGAGGAGGAGGAGCCGATGGAGGGCGAGGAGTAAATGTAACGTGCCGGTATAATTTAGGCTAAACGCCTCTTTTACCCTCCCACTTGCACTCCCTTTGAGCCATACCCTTTTCTCCCCGCACCGATGTATCACATCCCTCAAGTGCGAGCACTTGCATCCAACGGAACGCCTGCTCGCCCTTATGACACCACCCCTGTTCTCTTGTTAGCTTACTAATTCCCCAACCAGCGTGTTCGTTTTGAGGCAAGTCGATATTAGTCACTAAGTGATAACAAAACATGATCAATTGGCTGTTTGATATCCCCTCCACACCACAATATTTTTTAATCTTGCTCCTCTTTCTTTTGTTTTCGGAGAAACAACTATAAAAAAATATTTCCCTTTACTTCAAGATGTTCATTCACCTTACCTTCTCTTTGCCTAGGTAGATACTTGGCATGCTTCTCATATTCTAATTGAAGATAAAAGAGAGCGAATGAAACTCCGATTCTTGATAACTCTCATCCGTCGCCTTGTTTAATCCTATTCCTACTTGACTACGACGATCGAATTAGGAGGCACCAGCTTACGGGGGTCAAATTGTAATATTATATTTAGTTTGCTATTTTCCATCCGTCACCTCGCCACACAACGACCACCAACCACCGCCTACTCGTTACTAGGATACAGTACGCTCTCCACCGGAACGAACTCCTCCTTGATAGACCTCATACTCACAAACCTGCCCATCAAAGCCGCGCTGCCAGCCTTATCATTCGTTCCAGACGCTCTTGCACCTCCAAACGGTTGTTGCCCAACAACAGCACCAGTACACTTGCAGTTGATGTAGAAGTTTCCAGCAGTGCCTCTGAGTGCATTCTCAGCGTAAGTGACAGCCTGACGGTCCTGCGAGAACACAGCACCAGTCAAGCCATACGCACCGGTGTTATCAATGGTTTCACAGATCTTCTCAAATGCATCAGCTGCTTCATCTGGGTACACTAGGATAACCAGCACTGGTCCGAAGAGCTCGGTGTTGAGAAGGGGATGTTCTGGGTTTGTTGTGGAGTAAATGGTAGGATGAATGAAGTATCCCTTCGAGCAGTCATATTTGCCTCCAGCAAGAAGGGTGAGCTCCTTATCATTCTTGGCATCATCAATGACCTTAGCCAGCTTCTTGAATGAAGCTTCGTGAATAACGGGACCGATGAAGTTGGTGAAGTCCTCGGGGGGTCCGATCTTTAGTTTCTCAGTCTCTTCAACGAGCTTGGTTCGGAATGCATCCCATTTTGATTGTGGGACATAAGCTCGTGAACAGGCACTGCACTTTTGGCCCTGGAATTCAAATGCTCCGCGAACAGTGTGGATAGCAGCGTTATCCGTGTCTGCGCTGGGGTGAAGAAGGTGGAAGTTCTTTCCTCCTGTCTCACCTACGATGCGAGGATAGCTGCGGTATTTACCGTCTGCTACGCCCTGGGCGATTTTGCCGTAGAGAGAGCGGAAGACGGCTGTGCTGCCGGTGAAGTGTAGGGAGGAGAAGTGCTTGTTCTCTAGGACCAGGCTGGTGATTCTCTCTGCATCGCCGGGGACGAATTGGATGACGCCTGCAGGGAGGCCAGCTTCAGCGAGGATGTTGTAGATGAGGTAGTTGGATGCAATGGCGAAGGGGGATGGCTTCCATAGCACAACGTTGCCCATGAGGGCTGGGGCGGCAGGAAGGTTGCCTCCGATAGCACTGAAGTTGAATGGGGAAATAGCGTAGACAAAGCCTTCGAGAGGCCGGTATTCCACGCGGCTGTAATCCATTAACCATTAGAAACCGTTGATACACGTGGTAATTATTTTTGGTGGTCTAGATGACTGCTTACTTCCAGACTCCGGGGGCGTTATGGACTGGCTGTTGAGCATAGAGTTCGGATGCATAGTGAACGTTGAACCTAAATCCATCAGTATACTGGGTAAATTGAGGCAGCAGAAGAGTGTGAGCATACCGTAAAAAGTCACACAGCTCAGCAGCAGCATCAATCTCTGCCTGCCAGGCGTTCTTGCCCTGGCCCAGCATGGTAGTAGCCATCATCTCATATCGGTACTTGGTGCCGACTAGGTCAGCAGCCTTCAGGAAGATAGAAGCTCTGTCCGAGAAAGGCATGGCCTCCCACTTCTTCTTGGCCTCCAGAGCATTGTCGATAGCCGCTTTGATATCTTCATCGGTAGCAGTGTGGTATTTGGCAACGCTGACGGCGTGGTCAGATGGGTTCTGCTGCGTCTGTGTCTGAGAGGTGGTGATGGCTTTCCCTCCTATCATGACAGGAACCTCAAGAGGAGCTTTCTTCTTGAAAGCCTCCAGAGCGCTGGCAAGCTGCTCTCTGTCCGGAGAGCCTTTGGCGTAGTGTTTCTGTAGCCACGGTCAGTCAATACTCCTATCTTTAGAGACGGGGAGGGGGGATTGAGACAGACGTTTGGCTCATTCTGAACCGTTGGGGGCTTGAAGGTAGCTAGCTGTGCCATGGTGACGATGATGATATACAGGTCGTATCAATTGGTTATGTCTGCTGTCCCGGTGCTCCTGTACGCCTCTATATCTCCAGCGAGAGAGACCATCGTCAGGGGCCGGAGGAGAGCTTTATATACTGCGCGAGCAGAGCGGGGAAACTCGGCCAAGCGGTTCACCTTGTTTTCGGTTCTAGGGGAAGTTCTTCGGTTTTTGCTTCTTCTCCGCCTGTTCTTCCTTTCCTCCTGCTGCGATACTTTGTGCTTGCGTGCGTCTTGGACCAAGCACGATGTATCTTTCCTGCAAGATGGAAAAGCTGGGAAAGGCACGGAAAGAGACGGGCGAAGTGTTGAAAACCTGGGGCAGTCACGTGTAGATAGCTAGTCCATTTATATCTCATATATCGCTATTATATAGTTATGATATCGACAGTCTAGAGGTGGGGATATAGGGATATAGCATAGGCGATGAGGCGGGCTGCTGTAAGGGAAAGGGGGTGTTGGTGTTGGTATATAGGCGCGAGAAGATAGTAAGAGAGGGAGAGAGAGAGGTAATCATCTCATAAAAGGACACTGCCCTGTCCGTTCAGACTGCAGCTTCTTCTTCATCAGGCCGTGATACTCCTCACCCTTGCCCAAGAACCGCTGTGGTCCCACGCTCGGGGTGACGAACCCGTTCGGAGAATACTTGTCACCGTCGTCACCAGGAACTGGTTTGCCCAGCAGCCGAGTATACATCGCCTCCGGCCCCCAACGGTTCCAGAGAGTGGGCTTGACATAGTAGGGCGCGTTGTCCCAGGCTAAGACGTTGTGTGGACTGGAGCCATCGTCACCATCTTCAGCATGACGAAGCGCCCGGCGATAGTAGGGCCGGGGCAGCAGCAGATGGCGGGCCACGAACTGGCGCAGAGCCAGGATATTCGCGAAAATACACCGATATACCCACTCTGGGCGTTCATATCTGGTCACGATCTTGTTAGGGGGGCCTAGAACTTGTAATGACAAGGGCGTGTGTGGGCAAGGGACGCTAGCACATACATCATTGCAACCCGGAGACGGTCCTCCATCAGGAAAATGACGCCCTTCCACAGGATGGGGTGTAAGAACTTTGGCGCATTGTAAAGTAGCAGTTCCACGGTCTCGTTGGCCGTTTCATGGTTATTCTTGTCTGGAACCATGCACTTGTGTTCATACTCCCTGCTCCATGCATCGATCTCTTCCAGCCAGTGTATTCCGTCTCTGAACCCCGTGCTGGCTGACGGCAGCTTGTCATACTTGATTTCCATTGCGTCACCTACGCTCTTCCAAAATGTCCCCGCAGCACATCTCTCCAGGTCAGTGACCTTACGCCAGTCGTACTGGTCTACCCAGCGAGTTGGTTCAAGTGCAAACAGGCTAAGAGTATATAGCATGTCATCGTCCAGTATTTTACCTGATTTACGGTAGTGGCTATGTAGGTAGTTCATGCGGGCGAGCGCTTCCTGTGCCCTTTCAGAGGAGGGCGGGTTCGCCACGAATTCGTTGATCAAGACTGAAGTGTCCATATACCGCTTTTGCGACGTCTTGGGGCTAGAGAGCTCGGAGGTTTGCACCAGCAGCGTCGAGATGGTAGGGATTCCATACGTCTGCCGTGGTTACAACTCGATTAGTCCTCCATATCCCTACCGTAGTTTTCTCACCTGTGAGACGGTTGAGAAACATACCTTGAACAGTGCAAACTGTAGTCCCTTGAGCGTGAAGAACGGAAACTCCAGCGTCATCATTGTTTGCTGAATCGCCCACGCCTCGTCGTCCGTCATCTTGCTCATAGTCTCACGGGTATGGTACCCATACTGCTTCTCCAGGCTGCGGATTCTCTCGAATCGAAGAAGCTGTACCGCTGCGAGGTACGCGGCGCCCACGCATACCATCCCTGGTACGGTGAAGAGCGACTCTTTCGCTGCCATACACAGCGAGGTAAGATGCTCCATGGCGGGCGGAGAAGCTAGTTGTATTATTTAGTTAGTGAATCTCATCTATTATTCAACTCCGTATATTAGTTGGTGGTTGAGTCTTCGTTGTGAAAATAAAAAGGGTTCAAATATCTATCCCACTTATGGAGTACTCGTGATGTTAACTACTTGTCGGGTTCACTGTCAGCCGCACCTGGTTCATAAATTGGCCTTCCTCGGCGTCCGAGCCTCGGTTCGGGTCAACCTGTTGAGCCGTGATAACGACATCGCCCACAACATCGCGTGTTAGTGATCGATTGGAACAACCAGAAGCTGCTGGGGATGTAGTTATGAAATAGTTAGATCTGGGGCTCAAAAGATGGGGCGGGAACACCCGCTGAGGTTCCGTCCTTCCGGGAAACTCTCTTTCTGCTCCTCCTGGATGACGAGTTTTCTTCAACTACTCGCCACAGCACTTTGGTTATGGTTAACCAGCTACTGTGATACCAAAGGAAAGAATCAGTTTGAAGGATCTCCGTGATTGCGTTCCTTGCGGGGATGATGCTTATTCCCAAAGGGCGTGACGTTGCTAAATCCGTCTTGGGACAAATGCCGCAGCTTTTTTCAATCCTCCCTCAGCCTAACAGAACCTGCCCCAGCAAAGAGAGAGCCCTCCGTGAAGCCAATTAATCCTTTAGCCGACCCTCTGACGTTTAATGGTCACGTTTCTTCTATCCCTTTTTTCCGAGGAGTCGATAACTAGTTATATCCTCCCGTGTTTCACCGGATGGCTACCAGGTTAGGCATGGCTCGGGATATTAGGGTATAACTAACCAAATGATCAATCAACACATGAAATGTATATCAACCTTGCTTGCTCATGAGATACCTTCAAACTAGCCACTTGGTCCAAGAGGCAAACTTTGCACCTACAATCCTGAACAAGTGGTTGAGTAAAAAGCCGTCATAAGAGGATAATCCTAGCCGCGATTCTCCAACGTATCCTCCGGCATAACTCCCCCCTTTAAATATCATCAACACAACGTCTTGAGCTGCCGCTCTCCTATTTCGAGCTATTTCTGCAACTGATACGTCGCTCATCCTCTCGGGCAGTAAATAATAAATCACCCTCAATTATGTTCCATGTTCCACAAAACATTACAGCCTTGCCATTTGGAACCAGCACACGAAGTGAATAAACAACGCGGTATGGTGAAAGCCTTTTCGGAAAAGGGTATTTTGAGCTAGAATACGGAGTACTCCGCACCTTCCACCAAAATTGGGCAGTCTTGACCTACCCACTCACAGGGTATATGAGAGTTACTGTTCTCTCCACCAGTCTTCGTAATGGACACACGCTAAGGGGCCATAGTAAGGAGTATTAACTTCCCTTTGCCTATAAGAAAGAATTGGTCCTTAATTGATCAGAATGGTTGAAGCCAATTCTCAGGTCCTATTTTTTGGGTATACAGGTTTTCTGCGAACGAAAACTATGACGATCTAAATGTCCACTGGCACAAGTGATTCGATGGCCGAAATTCGCAAATTAAAGCTTCGTGTAGGCTCTGGAGTTAAGTAAGCTCGGCATCATGATCCAAGGATACGGATACTGGGTATACAGGGGCTGGGAGAGCGCTCCATTTTCTGCTCACGATGCATCCAGTAATCATGGGTTGTGATAGCGCGGGATTAGGGCGCCTGAACTAGCAAGCCTATCAATTCGAAGAAGAAGTTCCAACATTTGGTCACACCGATAATTCATAACACAACAGTTCAATTCCTTTGTTCACCTATAGAATATTCGCCGCATATCGATCGTCGACATCTAAGCGAGGTAGTGGGCAGATAATGCCCAACAATAATAGTTAGCGTTTTGATGAAAGATCTTTGCTCGTATAATAATGAGTTGACTAGTCAAAGCTCAACAACAGCCACAATTCTATCTCGTTAACTAATCAACCTTCATTCTTCAATATGCCGTAGAATAAACAGGTAAAATTGCCACGGCCGATGTCAGAATGGCAATGGTATGACTCGTACTCGCGTTAAAAACCCGAGGCACGGAACAAAGGACGGGAAATACTCTTTTAGCTTCCCGAGATTGGCTTATTTTTAGAGTTGACGGGAACTCCCGTCCAATGATTTTCTCAAGTTTCACAACATAAACTCTGAGCCATGTTTGCATTAGAAGAACTATGAGGGAGGGGGGTTGATTGGACAGACGAATCAAAGGTCCGTTTTTAACGTCAGTTGAATGTGTTCGTATTTAGAAGTGATGTGACTTCAAGAGGGCCTTTGCCTTGTTCTGGTAAGTAACGGTGACAGCCGCAATGCTAGGCCATATGCGGCTATTCAAGCCGATTTGACGGACGAAGGCATCCAACAAAGCTGATTATGGGCATTCATTTGTTGGTAGTGTGATACCTTTCTTTATTCACAATATAGTTTGATAATAAAGAGATTATTAGACAATTGCAACTCAAATAAAAGCAGTACCGCTCGACTTTATAATACAGAGTGTGGTGTATCGCCACTTTGTTTCCGGGCAATGCTCACAACCCGTGGCATAGACAGAGCTGCTCCAGCCAATGACTCCTGATAAACATCTCCAATCAAATTGAATATCTTCTCCGAGGCCTGACGATTGCCTGCAGCCGCCAGGGTCGTTGCAAACTCTTCCATTGTTAGAAGATGTTGATCTCCATTTGCTTTTGTGAGATCAGGCCGATCCACGTAGTTGAACTGTCTGGCCCCCTCAAACCCCTCGCTGGTGAGGATTCCTGGGAGTTGCAGTACCCAATCGTGTCTCCCGTTGGAGTATACAAACTCTCGTAGGGAATCAAATGCCGGAGTTGAGGTTGATGATGATAACAGTGGAGTTCTGACATGTGTATCCGGGTAATTCAGGTCATCCCATTGAATGTAGCCACCGGGCTTTAACATCTTATGGACCTTTTGAATGATAGGCCTTGGATCGCTGTTTTCAACGACAAGAATTAATAATCTTAGGTGGACGATGTCATATTTCCCAATCATTTCTTCTGGCACATCATCAAAGATATCCCACTGTCTTAATGTGACATTCTGCGGCCACCATTGCTTGTGAGGAGCATTTGCAAGGCTGATATCAAATCCATCTAGCTGTGCTGACTCCGGTAGCTCCCGAGCTAGGTCAAACAGCCACAATCCAGTTCCTGTAGCAACATCTGCAACTCGCAAATTTTGCACCGGTGTAGAAATAGATGGATGCAAGTTAAAATGCAAAGACTCTTTCCAGAGGTAAAACTGGAAATTCAGCCTGGAAGAGGCAAAATAGCCACGGTCAAGCATGTATCCTCGTCCATCAGCCAGGTGGAACCCAGAGCTGAGATCATTTTGCGATTTGGTAGGCAAATGGGGGATGGGAGACATATTTTTCGGCGTAGTATCCTCAAAGAAATATATGTAATGGATGGGAATAGCAGGAGGGCGATGGAAGGAACATGGGAAGGGTCATTGAACAGATATCTTGGCTGTTTCTGTAACTCAGGGGGTCCTCAACCAACACAGGCCGGATAAGACAATTATAAGGAGGAGCATCTCCGCAAAGCTAGAAGCGATAGTCTTTGTCAAGGCACACCGCTTCCTTGCAAAACCGAGATTAATAGAAAAAAGGAAAGCGAAAGTTCACCATCTGACTCGATCGAAACCCTTCCATAACGGTTAAGATTGAAAAATGTTCCGCCTTCGAAAGGTTTATACATACACATTCTATGGAGTACCGTACTGTACATCCTGCAAAGCAACGGTAAAAACCTTAGTTCGCAAAGATTCCTTAACTGTGCCGGTTCCGAGAATTAACATCATCGGTAGGACCAATCTGCACCCTCCTTGCCGAGCAGACGGGCAGAACGGCCGTGACGTTCGGGCATCTTCGCTTCTATCCCACAGACAGACAACATCAACACCCTGTCTGTGGAGACTGATAATGCAAGATTGTCAGGCATTCGGTTTATTTCAAGAACCACTGCAGACTGGCGGTCCCTCCAATACATTTTCTTTCATTTGATCAAGTGTGGTTGGCCATGTCGGCCTCGGGGGCCATTTCCAGGGGAAGACCTGGAGAACCCTATTCAAAAGCCAGTTGATTTCTCGAAGTGGCTGTCAGGATGGAAGGATATACGAGCAAAGGTCGGTGAGGATCGGTATCATTGCACAGTAATCCCATCAGTACAAGGTTCATTCGCCCTCCTCGGGGATGTTCGTATCGAGCAAGTTTCAGTCACAATTGCAGGGATAATTTGGAACGAATGTTGCAGGAGTAAATTGGTCCAAACATTTAGATTTTTGTTGATAGTTAGTTATTTACTTAAACCAGCAGAATTATCTCCAGCAAGTATCACATGGATTTCAAGCTAGACCACGTCATCTAAAAATGTATTGGAGGCCGCCAATTTCTGCGGGTTTGCGGCGCTGGGTTCCATAATTTTAATTTTCGCCTTGAAATGCCCCTTGTCCAGGATGCTGAGTGGCTGAATTGCATGGCATCCTTGCGTGCTTGAAGAATATCGTGGGGTAAGGTAAGTACGGAGTATATGTACCAGGCGTTGGCATGGCCTAATACGGAGCACGATGGACTGAGCTATCTGTTCCTCGGATATAATATGACTAGTTAAGCATGACAACACAAGGCTTATAAGAATCGTTGTGCGGATCCTTCGTGTGAAGCGTCTTTCTCTGCTTGCAGTGAAAGGACCTCTTGAAACTTGAATATGGGAGGGTTCATCGGTTTTCCCATGCATGATACTGTTTATAGTTAGCTACAGGGATTGATGTACGCTGCCAAACGTGCAGACCTTCTATTCAAGGAATAGTAGGAATTAGGAATAGGTTTAATATATATCAAATCCCCCCTTGATGTTCCTCGTTGTCCTGAAGCAGAGATTGGATGTACCAGTGAAGTCCAAATTTTGATAGAATCTGGATGTGCGCTATCTCCCCTGATCCAAGTAACGGCGCCAGGGAAAAATATGGAAGGAGTATAAACAGATGGTGGCGCCTCTTGTCAAGTTATGGATACGAGCCAAGGAAGTTTCATGCTTGTTGGATCAAGTCGAAGCCATGGACTGGGAAATACCGAGATCGGAGGCGCCAGGGAAGGGGCAGGCTCAGACCACCGTGTCTGTTCTCTGTAGTAGCATATCACTTTCCTTAACGTTCTCCGTACTGTTAGAATGCAGAGACAAGACCAGATCTCCTCTGTTCCCATGGTCAGGCGGATAGGGAACATCCATACCAAGGAGGATCGCCACGGCCATCACTTGGGGTACGTAACGTAAATTTCTCGATATACGACAGGAATAATATGTGCGCTCTCTGCCTTAGAATCGGGAATCCTGCCAAAAAGCTTAGGCGGTTGATTCTGACCGTGCATGCAACCAGTAGAAAGCACATATGCGAGGTGTACTAAAATAGGATTTCATCTTGCCGATGGTCCTGACCCCTGAACCCTCAGGAATAAGAAATAAGAAAGAGGAAGAAAGGACGCGGAGGAAGCTTGTCGCGCCGTATTCTCACATCCATAATGCACGGCCGATAAATAACCATACAAATGCCAAATTCGAAGGCAGAAAGAGACGGAGAGAGTTAAAATCCCGTAAGAAAAAGGGCTAATGATTTGTTGAACTCCAGCGACCAAGTTAGATAGTAACTCGCTCTTTCGGATATCAAGGAGGGAAACGATCCATCGAAGTATAAAGGCGGAAAATTAGCGTTGACGTGTTGCTGAAAGGAGGCAATATTGAAGGTATATAGTAGTAAGCTTGTGGCCTTGACCTGGTCAGTACTCCGTACCAACACCTCGCTTCTGACATTGAAGCGAATTGTCCCATTCAGCCCGCTCCGATTCCCGTTAATGCCAACCTTCAGTTTCAACGTCCCCCAATAGACACGAGGTAAACCAACCTGAAAACCACACCTTGGGAACATCAGTCTGTTGGCTCGCGTCCACGTACGGAGATAAAAACCGACCAAAGGCCCCGTTGTCCGAAAAGATTTTTAGTCAACACAAATCCTCTCCAACTTTCATCCTCATAAATCTATCTGCCAAGATGCGTGGGGCAGATCCATTACGGGTGGGTGTTGCGGTTGGGCATGGAACAGGCCCGGAGCTTGCAGTGGTGTTCGAAAACGTCTTGCAAGAACTGGCATCTCGTTATTCTCTAACGATCGAGTTTGTCCGATCGGACAGAATCTATCACTCTTATAACTCCTTGCCTCTTTCGGATGAAAGCCAGAATGCAATTCCCGATATCTGCGACGAAACCGTAAATGACATCACGCATTATCAACAATTCTGCGAACGGGAGGCCAGCCGGGGCCTCAAGGTCATATTTCGAACCGCAATAAGTGCCCAATCACTGTATGCAGTGCGTCAGCAATTGGAAGCTGTCAAGGTCGAGTGCTTTGATAGTGGTACATCATCTCTACTGGTCATTCGAGATCAAGCACAGGGGTTTTATACTGGAACCAATAAACTCGAAAGTGGTCAGCAATCTGTATCAAGAGAATGTGAATTCCGCAAAGAGGTGTTCCAGCACATCATAGCATTCTCTCTCGAGCGGGCAAGAGAGAAATGGGGTGATGACCTCGGAGGGATAAAGACAGTCTTCCTGGTATACAAATTCCACCTCTTTGATGGGTTATTGCTGTCCTGGGCCAAGGATTTGACTGCAGAGTTTGGTATCAAAGTGGAGTTTATTCAGCCAGACACAATGAATAGGAATATGATCGCATTTGGGGTTGGCCGCTGCTTGATGGTGGCTGGCAACGAGTATGCGGATATCATGCAAACAATCTTCCTTGAGAGGTTCAATATGCGGGTTCAAGAAACATCCTGCTCCGAAAACGTCTACTTGAAGCCAGTGTTGAATCGGCTCAGCGAATATCAGACCACACATGGCTCGGCAGACGATATCACAGGCAAAGGAATTGTAAATCCATCCGCTACCATACGTGCTGCTGCGGCCATTCTTGAGCGTTTTGGTGGCTGTGCTGGTATCGATGCCGAGGTTGATGAGACATTGAATATCCTTCAGCAGAATAAGTCAGTTACACCAGATCAAGGGGGAAATCTCACCACCCATGCGTTTGTCGATATCTTCCTACAAACTCTTCCAAGCCCAAGTGTTGGCACGCCAACCGGAAGCGAATTTTCACAGTCGTCCTCTCTGGCCGATGATTCCGCGGACGTAGGTCCAGGGCCAGATTTTGCAGCAGCCTTCATGAAGAAGGCCACGGCTGTTGTGGTGGTGGATTTTCAAAACGACTTCATCTCACTCGGGAATCCAGCAACCATGAGCCACATAACGGATGCACTTGTTCGTGTCCTTGCCTTTTCCAGGTCTCATGGGCAAGAGATCGTCTTTATCAAGCATTTAGGCGACCAGCGTTATCAGAGTGCTAGCTGGAGACATCGAAACCGCGTTCAGAGCCGCAAAGAACTCTGCGTAGAGGGAACTTGGGGAGCTGATCTGTTCCCAGCCCTCTCGCCGGCGCCCAGTGAAAATATATTCACGAAGAAAGCTCAGTTCGACGCATTCCAAAGCCCCGAGTTCGAAAAGTATATTTCTGAAAAAGGGATTGAGCACATCATTCTCGTGGGCCTGTATGCCGACATATGTATTGACGCAACTGCTAAGGCAGCTTTCCAGAGAGGTTTATGGACTACTGTCGTCCAGGATTGTACGACAGCTCTGCACTTGAAGGACGAAGACATCTTGGGGTACATGCAGAAAGTTTATGGTACCAGAGTTGTGGAAAGTGAAAAACTCTTGAGAATGCAGGCATAGAGAGTCTTGTCAGAAGATTGACCCTTTTTGGTTATCTCGGCCTTGACATTTCCACAATTCAGAGTTATGAATATTAGAAACCGTTATATCTCAGGATTGAAGTTGTCAGTTTTTGAACGCTATATTCCGCATTGTGTACCTCGGTATAGCATTTTTGTCCATAATTTTTCGGAGTTAAATTTAGTAATGATTCTTTTGATGTATGATAATCCACCATCAGATAATACCAATATATCCACAAGGGATGAGATATTTTGCTAGGGTTGTTGTGGCAGTTCATGTTTGGATCCATTCCTTGAATGCCCATGAATGCAAAAACAGCCAGCTCATACAGCATGGGGTATAGAGAATCATTGCATATTCCTATTCAGGCTTATGTGCCCTCTCTGAATTCATGGCGACTCTCTTATTGGAACAGCAAGTGTGAAGCAATCTATTTGACAGTTTGACAAGCCTCCCGCAGAAGGCTTGTCTTGTCATTCGAGGTTCTGTCAACATCGCGACATGTTTGGCATCGATAGGGAGCCCTTGGCTACGCGAACAATCTGTTGCATATGCAGGTCGTCACCAAGCAATACAGCCAATATTGTGGAGATTGGGATATGGACCGAACCCAGTAGTTAGTCTTGCTAACTGTGGCAATTCTGGGTAACAGCTGTCAGCCAACTTCAGCTGAGCTTCGGTTGTTCCCTGTATCCTGTCATTAAAATCCGGGCTTGATGCTTTGTTTTGAAGGGCGGACGGTTTGTATACGTACTTAGTTACGTGTTGGCAAGCCATGGATTGACCTGGGTTGAACGGCTTGTCGAACAGGCATCTTGTTTCGTTCGTCTTGAGTTCTTCGTGTCTGCAGTGTTTACGAGGTTTACTCACGTGACCCGTTGGCCCTTTCTAACCGCAAGCCAACCTCGCTTCTTCGCACACCTCAACAGCCTCCCACCCCTGCGCGATGCAAGGGAGGATATGCAGGGAAGAGCGTGAAAGAAGCAAAAGACGAGAGAGCTGCAAGCTTGCCAAAGCCGTCTCTGCTCCATACGGAGTACGGAGTACTGTATATGTAGCTAACAGCGCGAATGGACAATGCACGGACTGAAATATACCCTCGTGATGTACGTCCCCTCGAAACGAACAGACTAACTGGGTGACCACGGAAGAATGGGAGCAAAAAAAAAAGGATAAAAGCAGCCAACCTTGAAGTCTTCGAAGTGATCTCCACTCTCCCCGGGAACCCACATCTTAAGCTTGCCTTCGCATCGTCCTTCAAGCGGGCAGGGGGTCCTAGACGAGAAAACCACATCCAACCTTAAACAGGGGGCCGTCTTTGTGAACAACGATGAAATGTGGACTCATATGAACATCTCGATAATGGAGGGTATCTGCCCGATGACGAGATTGTGTGGTCGAGATCTGTTCAGATGGGGGTTCCAGTGGTGAAACAGGACCCTGATGGTGGGCGCCGAATCTCATTTCAGGAAGGCAGCTGTTGAAAGGTTGCTTTATTGTATGGAGTGTATAATATAATATGGCCGGGGACTTCCACCTTGTCAGAAGCTCGACAATGGTTGTTCAACTCCCTGTTTAATGCCACGCACCTCATATTACCCTTAGACTCGAAATATGGCCATTGATACATCAGTATGGTATAAGCCGCTGATCGGACGGCGGCTCAAAGCACCTACGCGATATGTGTTTGAAAAATGGAGTGGAGTATCTGGCAAGGAACTTATTGCTCACCTGCATTCAATCGTGAGACGTCTCAATACCCGCGGAGGAGAAAACATGCGCATTTACACTGACACATATCTAGCGTGATAAAGCTTGGCCACTGGGCGAGTACCCATGCGTGGGTGAATGGATATTCCTGCTTCCTAGCATTTCAGCCTTCAAACAGTTTCCGGAGATTGTACATCGTGCAAAGAAGGGTGCTGTAATCCTTGACATTGGCTGTTGTTTTGGGCAGGACCTGCGTCGTCTTGCTGCTTATGGAGCACCTACAGAGTCAATGTATGCTCTCGATATCAATTCGTCTCTCTGGGATCTCGGCTACGAACTATTCAAGGATGCAGACCGAATGAAGGCGACTTTTCTTGAGGGAGACTTTCTCCAGGAGAACTCCGCGCTATCTTGCTTAGACGGCAAAACTGATATCATCATTGCCTGTCAATTCCTACATCTATTCGGGTGGGAGAACCAGATCAAGGCTATGAAGCGGGTTGTGACGCTTTCGAGGCCGGGGACAATGCTTATCGGATACCAGCAAGCTAGATTGCAAGCAAGGGAATATATAAGGCCCTGGGGGATGATGTTTTATCACAATGTTAAATCATTTCACGAAATGTGGGAGATTGTGCAGCAGGAAACAGGGACACGCTGGAAAGTCACTGCATACCTTGTGGATTTACATGAATGGGGAATGGAAGACGAGGATGTAGAATGGATGCCGCAAGACAGGATGGGAATCAATTTCGTCGCTACAAGAGAGAAATAGTCACATGCAATGGCTCTGCATAAAGCGACCATGCACCCATACATACACTTATATCTATGTACGATTAGACGCCCTGAAATGCCTCAATGAATTCCCCCACAATTTTCACATTCTCGTCAAGATCAACCTTGAACGGGGCACAGTGGCTCTGGGAGACCTCTTTGATCTTCCACTGCTGCCCAGTTCCTGCGATCATGGCATACTGAACGTCTTTCGGGACCGCGACGTCATTAGTAGCCACAACATAGGCCAATCGGTCCTTAAATGCAGGGTCTGCGCAAGCCGATGGCGGTTGGGGAGAAAAGAACGCCAGTGAAGAATGAGGTTTCAGTTCCTGTTCAGTTTTCTTGGCGAGACCATGCTCGAAATCAGCGGCAAACACGTTGATGGGGTCCTTCGGGACGTTGAGACCAGGTGCAGGCTATCGATTTTGTGCATGAGCATAGATATAAAATTGAATGTCTTATAGACAGGGACCTGACGTACGTTGTCGAGCAGGATCCAAGGGGGAAGCGTACCCCCCTGAATACCAGCACAGCTCAAACCCTCGGGCACAAGGAAAGCGCTGAACAATATCATGCCGAGGATTCCTCCCAGTTTGCCTGCCCGAGTCCGCTCCGTCTTCGACAGCCCTTTGGCGGCTGCACAACCGGGCATGCTCCCGTAAGAATGCATGACAAGAACTACATCTTTACCTTCGGTCTCCACGAGCGGCTCCAGAATGGAGCGAACAGCTTCGGCGTCTGTTGCGCAGTCGGCCGTTAAAGGATTCTGCGGCTCCAGAGACGGATATTCGGCGTAGCGAGTTTCGAACCCAGCCTTTTCTAGCGAATGGATGTACGGGGAGTAGAAATGCTCTGGAATCCAGGCGCCTGGAACGACAGCAATCGTTGGCTTCATGTTGTTCGAGATTTACGCGAGGTAAGCTGGTGTATAACAAATGGCTCAAATTGTGATATTTAATGGGTTGCCGCTCTCTTCAGATGTCCCCCGCCCCCAACTATATAGCCAGCCTCCTACCTAACTAGGTTGCATCCCGAAAACGATACCATATTACACATGATTATTGGCAGGGTTATATACGGGATCCAAGCTCGTAAACAAACGAGGCGCTGGCTGTGGCATTTAGCGTCCCCCCAGCATCATGCGGATATTATTGTCCTGCCGTCTCGGAGACCTAGGCCAAGGTGTCGAAAATCGCCAGGGGATCTACCCGTTTTCCGCAGGGTACATCAATGCCCATCAAGACATCGTTGCTAATATCGCCGCGTTACGAGGTCTTGGAGAGAGGGTGAAAACCCCTTCCAGTATATACATGGGGCCGGCGGACTTGGGGCATGATTTCATTTAATCCAGGGCTTGCAACCGTTCACTTTCATTTCTCCTCTTGATACCCCTTGATCCCGATGGCTCCTGCTTTATACAAGGTCTCAAATACATCTGTTTCGATGCTACTAAACGCCGTCTTAAATGCTTGACACTCCCTTCGATTCTCTTTGTTCATCCACTCTGCCCTTCGTCTTCTGAAGCAGCCAGTGAACCCTGTTTGCTTGTTCAACTCCAGTGTGCACCCCGCTCAACATCACACGGTGCGATGTCGTTGGACTTCACCCCGCCGGCGGGAATTGACCTGTCTGAATCGCGGCAACCACAGCTGTACGCTGCATTTATCTCCACTTTCTGCCTGGCAGTAGTTGCTGTTGCTCTTCGCCTGAAGTGCAGACTTGGCCATCTGCGGCCAGGACTATGGTGGGACGACTACATGATATGTGCTTCCTTGGTATGAGATGAAAGGATGATATCAATTCTACTTCTTTGGATTAGCCAATTAATCTAATCACTTGCCTAGCTTATGACAGCGGGAAATTTCGTGGCCATGGTAATATGTATGTGGCATGTCAATTTGGTACATATGTTCCGTAACTGATTGGATGACATATAGGGATACCTAGAGGACTTGGAAAGCATATATATCCATATGGCCTCAAGGGTTTTGGAGACTTCTTTTTGAATCTCTTCGTCATTGAGATTCTCTACACCCTATCTATATGCTTCACGAAGTACTCTATCCTATTATTCTATTGGCGAATTTTCAATGCCACCAGCATCCGTATCCCAATATATATCATTGCCAGTCTGGTAACTGGATGGGGTATTGGGGTGGTAAGTTAAGAGCTAATCTACCAATGAATATATGTATGCAGCTAACAGAACAAACACAGATTGGCACAACCATCTTCCAATGTCTACCAATTCAGGGCTTCTGGGACAAGACAATTCCGGCAGTATGTGGAGTTGATGTGAACAGTTTCTTCATTGGCAATGCGGTGCCGAATATTGTAACCGATTGGGCCTTGTTGCTCCTGCCACTTCCATACATTTGGCGTCTACACAGGAACACTGTCCAGAAGCTTGCAATCTATGCAACTTTCCTACTCGGTGGATTGTAAGTATCTAATCGCTCTTCAAAATGCTGGTATGCCCTATCAGTAGCTAATCTATGGCCTCTAGTATTTGCATCATATCAATTATCCGACTTACTATAATGCTGGAAGCCTACAAAGTCCCTTCAATTGACGTTACATGGGTGTTCATCGGCCCATCCACGTGGACTGCTGTCGAGACGAACATCGGAGTCGTTTCAGGTACTAATTTTCCACCTAATTCTGAAAGTACACAACGCTGATCCTCTTCCTCTCTAGCGTGTCTACCTTCTCTCCGTCCCCTGCTACGGCATTTTGGTGGCTCAACAGAACAAAAACCATCATATAACCCCCGCGAAGGACAAGGCTTCAGTGGAGGCAGCGGATATTCCTACGGCTCTGCCTGGGCCAAAAAAAGCCCATACCACCGTAACGGGACAGACAACACCACAACAACAGAAGGTTATTCCTCCGACCAGAACTTGACGGAGATAAATGTTCGTACGTCCGTGGATGTTCGAGGAGAGGAGATAATGAGCAATAACGCAGGATATAACACTGCACGATACAATAGTAATGCCCAGCCATGAGAAGTTAAAATTTTAATTGCATATGTTTTTTATGGCTGATGGAAAGGATACCCCCGAAGGTTGATATGGTTTGAGAGAGGAATGTCCCCTCTAGTACTAACGGAAAAAAAAAGGTGAACCGGAATGTCACCAATCTTACTTTTGCACGTTTGTTTATTATGGCTTTTTTTATTCGCATTATTACTTTTGACGGTTACCTCATGTCCAACCACGTCTGTCTCTATTAGCACATCCAGTTTCTCTGTATATAAGAAGCCGTGTATAACCTTGCGAATGTTCAGAGCCGATAATGCACTAATTAAATGTTTTTAATTCTCCTTACGATGTGGGTACTTCTTGATTCAACTAGTTAACTGAGCTTATTTTGACCTGAGAATTTTGAAGTATGTTTGTCTACAGCCCGATGAAGGAAAATATGTGAACAACAAGCGTGAGTTTCGTCTCGAAAGATGAGTCTAACGCGTCGATAGCATTGTATGTAGACTAAGAGGAGCAAAACCGGTAGTCCGCCTAGTATTTCAACTTTCAACTTCTGAAGGGAAGCAGAAATCTGGTTGAAGTGACGGGGGGGAAACCGTGGCTCGTTGCAGCATGGATATGCAGAGGGTGTGGAAGCACGACTATGATTACACTTGTTTTAGAGAAAAGTAAAGAAAATCAAGGGGAAGGTAGGGAATAGCGGCTGTGGAGTATGCGTGAACAGGGAGGTGGATGACCGTTGGCAGACAGATGAATAAAAGGCTCTATCAAGGGAAGCACCGAGATGTTAGCATCTGTTGAGAAAAACGGATTTAGACAAGCGTGACGAAAGTGCTTACTTCGTTTCTCATGAAGTTGGATTTGATATCTCCATCTGCTCAACCACCGATCTGTTCCTGGTGCACCTCCAGAGTGTCACCGTCCTGCATGTCGAGCTGTAATAGTAGAATATGTGAGTCAGCTTTCTGCTTAGGACCAGGAAAAAATCAGGCAGAACCAGGAGTGTTGCTTACAGTCTCGGGAGAGTCATCTGGCCGGACCCTTGTGCCGTCGAAGAGGAAACGAACAGTCGAGAGTTGCTTGCCTTGTCTCTCGCAGAAGGCATCCATTAACTTCTTCAGTTGCGTGCTCCTCTTGATCTTAAAGAAGACTTCGTTGTTGTTATCCGTAACCTTGATATTGAGATGCTCAACCGGAGCAGGCATGGTCTGAGGGGGAAGGTCGGCCATTATTTCTGCTGTTTTCAGGCGTTTGATACAACGGCCGGACGTGTAGATGCAGTGGTATAAGCGTGAGCAGCGGAAGATCTGCAGGCGCAAGTAGCAGAGGTTGTAAACGGTTGGAAGTTGAAGCGTTGAGAGATGAGAGTGAATGCTGTGATCTCTTCGCCCCCGCAAGAACCTGCGCCGGCAGATCTATTTTCCGGTGTATCGGGTTTTGTCCAGGGTGACAGGACGGGAAGACGTTGGAAGGAAGAAGAAAATATATTTGACAGACGGAGAGAAGATAGAAAGAAACAGAAAAGACAGTCCAGCTGTTCGGCGTGGTATATATATGCTCTTTGACTAGACCTGGTGGTGTCCTCTACTTTGCTGAGATGGAGGGCGTCGATGCTGACCCTCCTTGCCACCCACAAGCAGTGAGTTCTTTTGGATATCAACACTGCCAATTCAATGTACCTACCTATTCACTGGCTAACCAGGACGCTTCCGCTCAGTGTGCGATTCAAGGTAACATAGGCCCATTCAAGTGAAGGAAGAAGAAGGTGGTAGAGGATCTACGGGCTAATGATATCAAATGATATAAGCATGCCTGACCAAAAACTCCTACAACGAGGCCAAGTGTCGAAACCAGATCATCCAGCTGTACAAATGCTGCAATGCTCTCTATACGCAAAGGGGGGAGGATGCAAAGACCCCGAGCTGCCCCAAACCTGCCTTACTTAAGTTGAAGTTGAAGCAGATTGAAAATGGTGATTTGTGATGATGGTTGGCACTTGATGGTACGGCACTGGATAGACACCCAACACTGCACGCTATGTAAATACAACGTCTATAATGATGTATAATAGTGTACCATCACTCAATATAATCAATTAAATAAGCCTTATTCCATGCTGCATGTAACAACCGTCATATCTTTGATCCCAGGGGGAAAAAGTCAATCAAGAAGTAGAGGATTGTCTTTGGTCTAAGACGGTCGTGAGCACGCTAGAGATTCCAGAGGAACCTGAACAAACATTGAAACGCCCTTCCTTTTTACAGGGAGAGCTGGCTGTTCCGAGACTCTAATGACCGCCTATATGACATTTGTTTGAAGAAAGAAAGAAAAGAAAAAGAAGAAGAAAAATTGAAGCCGAAAAAAATAATATTTGAAGTGTTCGATCCACGTGACGCTAGTACGTTTTGGGCCTGGTCGCGTCGCGCTAGTTCGTCTTTGGAAGCTTTGCGGTTTTTATGTCGGAGGCGGAAGAAAAGCGAAGAAAGAGTAAATAGAAGGCGAAGAAAGACGAAGACGCCAACAACAAGACAGCAGCAGCAGGGTCTATCAGATCAAGGCTAGACGATGTCTTCAGTCTCTGAGAGCTCCGTGGACGAGTCGGATTCCATGTACTCCGATGTAAGTTCGGTGCTTTTCCGCTTGGGATGGGGGATGGGAAACTGACAGGAATACCTACTAGGTCTCACCAGCTCCAGCGAGCCATCTTCATGGCGTCGAAATCATCGCAATAGATAGCAGCGATGATGGTGGGTACGAGAGAGATGACGGGAGACAGGCTATAGAGCTGGATGATGGAGATTCCGAAGAGCAGGACTCTGAGATTGTGACGGATAACGAGTTTGAGATGCAGGCTGGGTTCGGTAACGACGCCTCAATGGAGGACGAAGAGGACGAAGGAGACGAAGAGATCAACGGAGAGGATGAAGATGAAGAGAGCCGTGATGCCGAAGACGATGAAGAGAGCGTTGGGGATGCTTGGAAGGCGAACGGAGTTCTTCACAATGGCATCAACGGCACATTACCTGCGCCTGCACCGGTCTCTTATCCATCTAAAATTCGCACAGGTGGGTTGACTTGGAGGGGATCAGACTTTATTTTACCTGGTTTGCTACTGTGATACTAATGTATGGTGAGTACAGAAACGATCACACTATCTGAAACCCCCGAACCACCCCTCCTTCTACCAGCAGGTGTAAAAGACGCTCTTCATCCACTACAACACACTGCAGATCGCGTTGTCAGACAGATAGAAGCCTATGCGCAAAGTCTAGACAACTTTAGACGACAAGGGCTCCAACCGGGTGACACTCGAGCATTTCAAGAAGCGTGCAAGCTTGTGAAGAAATATCAGCAAATCGCTGAAGATACTGCAAAGGAACTATCACAACCCACCGGCGCTCGGAAATCACTTAGGTCTTCCACTCTAGTGAACCTCAGCCAGAGTTACAAGCCAAACGTATCCGTTAGCAAGGATGAAGAGGCCAGTATCAGACGGTGGCAATTAGAGGCTGACACATGGGGGTTGGTTTTCCACCTGCTTGCGGTTGGCGATCCTGAATCGCACCTTCAAGCGCAGCTTAACCAGAAGACAGCATTGCAAACCCTCCATCGATACTCGACGGACCACGATATCTGGGAGACCTTTTTGAAAACCGACCATTTCGCAGTGGAGAACGCTGTGATGCTAAAATGGCTGGAAAACACTGCAAAGGCTGGCATTGAAGTCATGGAGTCAACAATTTCTAAGCTGGAAATGGATGCGAACCGAGGTGAGGGCTTATGGGCTCATGGCTGGCTATACACAAAGGAAGCTATCAAGGGTGCAAAACGACTACGATCATGGCCCCAACCCCTTGAACCCGACGACCCAAGTGTCACCGCTTCTCTCCTAAGTTCGTCGCATAAGGAGCCTCTAATTACTCAACTTGATCCCGATGCGGTTACTCGACAAGGTCTCGGCCTCCAGAAACAAGATCAGTCTTTTGAAGAGGCAACATGGCTAGAATGTTGGAAGATGATTAGAACCGGCAAAGACTGGCTGTCTATTCGAGAATGGGCCAAGGAGCGCCTTGAAAGCTGGCGAGCAATCAGTTTGTGCGGTTCTGCTGGAGATTCGTCTCTTTCCGCCAATGACCCTGCTCACTCTAGTCTTCTTCGAATGATGAATTACCGCTCCCAGGAGACTTGGAGAGCTGCTTGCTCAGTCCTTGCCAATAACCCCAACTCCAACCGTTACGAACGGGCCGTTTATGCCCTGATAGCTGGAGAAACCGGTCCCGCATATGAAGTCTGCCAAAGCTGGAGTGACTTTGTTTACGTCAACTGCAACCATCTTCTTCTTTCCCGGTATCGGGACTTTTGCAAGCAGCTTCAGCGGAAACTTAGCTATGCTCCCAAGGGCGAGGTTGAGCTACGCGTTGACCCTCCGCAGTATAACAGCATACGCAACTTTTTGGATACATTAGTCAAAGACCCACGAACGGCTAAGGAATCCAAAAACCCATATTGTACCATACAGGCTGCGATATTGGGCCAGAGCTATGACCAATTCTTTAATCTCCAGGCGAACGCTCTAGCCAAAGTAGCCCAAGAGAGTGGAGAGCCTACCCTTATACCCGATATTAGCTCCATGAGAACCTTTGACCAGCCAACATTGATTGCTGCGAAGGATAACGATTCTCTACGGCTTACGGCGCATCTATACCTCATTTTGCGCGCTGTCGGGCTGGTTCGTTCTGATTCGCATTACTCTGCCACCGCTTCTATCAATGTGGCAAGGTATATTGACTTCCTCCGGGAATCTGGCGCAACGAGGGATATCCCACTCTATGCTTCCCTTCTCCCCCGTGATATGGGCAATGAGGTCCTTGGAAAGGTTCTCATCGAAGTGACCGATCCATCCGAACGAGAATCCCATATTCAAATGATGAGACGTCTTAAGATTGACACTTCTGCCATGATCCAAAGCCAATGGCGATGGGTGCTGAAGGAAGCAGACGAGAAATTCGACCCAAAGCCGATCAAACTTATGAGAACAGTTACAACTGGTGGTGAGCGGCCAGGCAAGATCGGACATATCATGAAAGGATTCATCTCGAGATCCAAAGTCTCAGCGGAAGATGAGAAGCTGATTCGTTGTATCGACTGGCACCGATATATCAATGGCCAGTGGTCGAGAGTATGTATTCTGGGAACATACCTTTACAAACGATTCATCAGTGAGTATTCCCTCCATTACTTGGATTACTAGATATATGGCTTCTAACCGGAATTATTTAGCTGCCGGTAAAATCTCTACTGCTCGCGAAATGTACAAGCGCGCAAAGCTACATCAGACTCTCATTGACATGACCAACCGTGGCCAAGGCCCATCACTGGAACTTGTGCAAGAAAACGGCGTGTCCAGCCCTACCTCAGATGCCATTTCCGTGCAGCAAAAGGCTAAGGTGACCGAGAAGCTTACGCGTGAGCAACTCTTTTTGCAGTCAGAGACCATGCTAGAACTCGAGCAGCTCCTTCAGTCCTTTGATGCCATTGAAAAATGGGGAGATCTTATGGACGACTATACACAGTACGTTGCTGCGCCTCTGATCGTCAGCAAACGATGCACGGTTGACTAACTGAGTTTGTGTATAGTTGTTCGGATGCATCCCAGAAGCCCGCGATAAAGAAGAAGCTCCATCCCGCTCTAGATGCAATTACCCGTGCGATAGAACCTCTTTGTACCGACTGGCTCATTCAACCAATTGATGGTGAGTTTGCTCCATTTTAATAGCCGCTTTTAGCTATTTCCTTTCCGCTAACATGTGTATCCATTAAGACGCCGAGGCCAAAGAACTCGCTTTTATACGATCAACATACCTCCCTGAGATTATCCTGGCATACCACACAGCCCTCTACTATTCAGGGCACATACTTGGCCGCGAAATCCTTGCTCAATGCATGACTCTCGCTACCGTCGTTTCATCGTCGCCGACCATAACGGAAAGCTTTATGGCATCAGGGCGGATGGGCGAGCTCGTAGATGCGCTTACCTTGTCTAGCTTTGCAATGATGGGCACAGGACAATCTAAATTGAAGCGTAAGCTTCCTAACGGAGGGACCAACGATATCTGGAGAATCCGGCCGATCAAACTAGATGAGAATGAGGAAGACGGACAAGACGATGATATCCATGATGACAAGAAAGTCAGGCTTAATGGAGGCGAGAATGGCGCGAATGGGAACCATGTCTCCGGGGTTTCAACACCGGCTGCAGTCCCAGTAGCATAGAGAGAGCGCTAGAGGTAACCTGGTCAGGACAGGACGCGGACGTCCCTTTTTTTTCATATGTTAAAATGTCTGATGCTTTTCCCCTTCACCTCATTTTATTCATACATACATGGCGTGTACGGTCAGCCACCTTTTCGATTCCCTTTTACCATTTCATTTCCCTTTGATTACCCGACTAAGCGATGGTCTCGACGTTTCATACATGGGCGCAGGTAGCGGTGGAAAGATGACCTGTTGTATTATAGTTCTCCATAATCACCAAAAACTAAGTCAGTGTCGTGATTTTCCTACTTCGGTATCGAACGCAGCAAGCAATGTCCATTATCCGATTCCAGCTATTATTGGAGCAGAAGACCATCTGCAATCCGACATCGTTAGTGTTGCTGCTACTTCGTACTCTGTCGGAAAAGCGGTTGTGTACTCCGTATGAGCTGAGAAAAAAGCCAGCTATTGAAAACTAGTCAACATAGCGAATAGTTATGCATGGCAAAGAACCCCAAGAATTTGATCTCTCACCATTATTGGCTCCATTGGGATACTGAATCAATCAGCTTGGACAGTCGAGCTCATACGACGTACCCGTAACGGCTCCCTATATCCTATGGGTATTAATCTTGGATGCCCCATCGGTATACCCGTGCCTGAGCAGGCATCATCGACCCAGGGTGCAAACCTTCGCGTTCTGCAGCAGAAACCACAGCAACCAACCAGATCCAAGCGAAAGCTGCCTCAGAAATAATTTTCTCCCAAGCCTTGGAAGCGGCCGGGATTCTGGAAGGGTGCCCCTTTTACACCCTCTACGATTCGTTCTGCAGAGCCGATCAACTCTGTCTTTCTCGCGCTCGAAACCTGCCTTGTTGTCTTGGACTTAACACGGAGGGAGCATAACACTCTACAGAGTATCGTGCTCCGTATAAGCCGGAAACTCCTGGATACGCATACGCTCGTTTTTATCGGTTCAAAGGCATAACTCGCGCATTATGCCTGGGTGGTGGTGCCCTGCTGGTGGCCGTTCCCGTATCATATCCTGTTTCACGAGCTCTTCATCTTCAAGCATAGCGGTAAGCTAGTGGCCCCCCGTTCGCCCCTGGGCCTCTACCGTCGAAAGAAAAGATGAAACTTGGCAGAGTGTGGCAGTGTCCTCGGGCCTGATGATTTGCTGGATCGCTTTAGTATCTGGCGTCTCTGTGGATCCCGACTATTGCTTGGGTTTACTCCAAGAAGGCGCAGTCAGAAAGAAAAATACTTGGACTGTATGAGAGGTCGAGCTGCTGTTGTCTCCCGTTTGTCGCGTCGAATCGCAACCAGGTTCGGTCTGAGGGTGAGGCGACGGCTACAATTGGCCTTCTCCAGCGGTTTAGTTATCCTTTGGTTTTTCATGGCTTGGATAAAGATTATGATATCATCGTCTCTGTGGTTGGCTCGACGTCTGCGCTCCTTGCTGCCAGGCAACTTGTGACTTGGCGACAGGCGTGAGATTTGACCTCTTCTTTTTTCTTTTCGTTTGAAGGGAGAGAGAACAAGCGAGACGACCTGTACAGAGTATACGGATATACGCATCCTCAAGGCTGTCGTTCCGTTTTGTCGTGGTGCTGTTTGTAGAGTAAGTAGGCCGCCGGGCCGCAGTTATATTAACCATTGTTGTTGGTTCAAAGTTCTTTCTGCCGTTTGGGCGAGCAATAACACAAAACTCCAACTCCAACAACTCCAATTCCAACCTCAACCCCAACCTCACTTTTGCTTCCTTCACGATGCCAACCGATCTTCCTGCCCGTCCCTAGCTCTCCCACTTGCGGAGTGACATGCTGACGGGAAAAGCCCAGCAGATCCCTTTTTACGGCCTGCCCAGCGCTCGCCACCGCGCAGTGACAGAGCCTTTTGGACCAGGCACTCCGCGGAAATTAACAACTCCTGCTTTCTTGCTGTAAGCTCGCCTTCCGTCAACTTCTTCGTTATCCCAGGACTCTCGCTACGGAGTTTTACTTGGGAGATGAGAAGCTGAAGAGCCTGCTCTGTTTCTTTCTTTTTACTCCGTACTTTGGCTTCTTTTCTTTTTTAGTTACCCCGGTGCTTTAGCTAGTTATCGTGGCTCTCGATTTGCTGACCTTCGCGTGCCTGACCAGAGCTTGATTCAATCCTGGATCGGTGACAGTTACACTGTTGTGCCAGACGAATATTCACCCAGCTGTTATTCGTATGGTCATGCCAGATCTATCTATAACCCTCCCACGCCATTCGATTACCTGCGCCTGATAAGGGCTGCATTTTGAATTTCATTTTACAACCACATATTTATCAATCATCCAAAAACTCGCTGAGAGATGGAGCCGTCAAAGGACGATGCTCCCACCCCGTCAACTCCGTTGCGGCGGGAACGAGCCCCTACGATCACGATTGACACGTCTGCCGTCAACAGTGCGTCCAATGCCGGAGGTCCTGAAATAAGGACGGAGGAGCCGCAGGGGGACACTCAGCCAGGAGGCAGCGAGAGCAGCAATAGCCAGTCGACGGATTCTCAGGGACAGCAAGAAGGCGCTTTGAACCCTTCATCCGAGAGAGAACGAGAGCCCCGGCCTATTTCACCGCATAATATCTCGTCACCTACCTCGAAAACTGCCGATCCAAACTCGCAAAACTTCCTATCTGTTCCAGGGACGAGGTCAAGGGGAAATTCCCTTGACTCTGAAGATGCTAATTCTCCGCGCTCGCCGGGCAGCGAAACATGCGTCCCGTCATCGCCATCGACCGGTGAGCACCCTGGCAAAGGGGCAGCAGGCAAGGGAGATGTCGACGTGAGAAACGATCCCGATGCTTTGAAGCCTGATCCTAACACGGAAGACGACTTTGTGGTGGAGAATAACAAGTTTGCCTTCTCACCGGGCCAATTGAACAAGCTTCTCAGCCCGAAGAGTCTTTCTGCGTTCTATGCTCTCGGAGGTGTGGCAGGACTGGAGAAGGGCACACGGACAAACCGCTCAACAGGTCTTAGCATTGATGAAACCGTTCTAGACGGCACAGTGTCCTTCGAAGAAGCTACCGATACCAGTACTCCGGAGCACACTCCCAAAACGTCAGGAAGAACGATGAGTATGCCACACAATGCAGAAGACGTCGCCAAGGGTAATGATAAATTCTTCGACCGAAAACGTGTTTTCAGTGACAATCGACTCCCCGCAAGAAAGACCAAGTCTATCTGGGAGCTTGCTTGGATCGCCTATAACGATAATGTCCTGATTCTTCTTTCCGTCGCCGCCGTCGTCTCACTTGCATTAGGTATATATCAGTCCATTACAGCTACTGGAAATGAGGCCAGAGTGCAATGGGTTGAAGGTGTAGCTATCATGGTTGCCATCGTCGTTGTTGTCGTTGTCGGAGCAGCCAACGATTGGCAAAAGGAAAGACAATTCGTGAAGCTGAATGAGAAGAAGGAAGATCGCAACGTCAAGGTCATTCGCTCCGGCAAGTCGGTGGAGATCTCGGTCCACGACATTCTCGTGGGAGACGTCATGCATCTTGAACCCGGTGACATGGTGCCAGTCGATGGTATTTTCCTCGAAGGTCATAACGTTAAATGTGATGAATCGTCTGCCACTGGTGAATCCGATGTGCTTCGAAAGACTCCTGGAGACGTTGTCTACCAGGCGATTGAAAACCAGGAACCTCTTGCCAAGTTGGACCCCTTTATCTTGTCCGGTGCTAAGGTATCCGAAGGTGTTGGCACATTCCTGGTTACCTCGACCGGTGTCAACTCGTCCTACGGTAAAACATTGCTCTCCCTGCAAGATGAAGGCCAAACTACTCCTTTGCAGCTCAAACTCAACGTTCTCGCCGAATACATCGCAAAGCTGGGTCTTACTGCTGGTTTGATCCTGTTTGTGGTTCTGTTCATCAAGTTCCTCGTCCATCTGAAAAACATCCAAGGTGCTACAGCAAAGGGACAGGCATTCCTTCAGATCTTCATCATGGCTGTTACTGTTATCGTTGTTGCTGTACCCGAAGGATTGCCCCTGGCCGTTACTCTTGCCCTTGCATTCGCAACAACACGAATGTTACGAGATAATAACTTGGTTAGGCTGCTCAGAGCTTGCGAGACCATGGGAAACGCTACAACCATTTGCTCAGACAAGACCGGTACTTTGACTCAGAACAAGATGACTGTTGTTACTGGAACCTTTGGACTTATAACCAACTTTGGAGAGAACAGTCCATCATCCAGTCAGCAGAATCCAGATGGCACCAACCAAACCTCAGAAACGAATAATGTTTCTCCCGTTGACTGCATCTCTTCTTTGTCACCCTCGGTTAAGGAATTACTACTTGATTCCATCTCTCTAAACTCGACTGCATTTGAGAGTGACGAAAAAGGAGAAACTACCTTCGTCGGTTCCAAGACCGAGACCGCACTACTCACCTTCGCACATGACTATCTAGCACTAGGATCTCTGAACGAGGCAAGGGCCAATGCAGAGATTGTCCAGCTTGTTCCCTTCGACTCGGGCCGGAAGTGCATGGCTGCAGTTGTTAAACTTCCCAGTGGCAATTACAGGATGCTGGTTAAGGGTGCCTCTGAAATTCTCATTAAGAAATGCACAAAAGTCATTGAAGACCCAACTAATGAATTGAGCGAAACCGAGCTTCACGAAGAGGGGCGAGCTCATCTGAGAGATATTGTGGAGCAATATGCGTCCCGCTCTCTACGAACTATTGGCATCATCTACCGCGACTTCGAACAATGGCCGCCCCAGGGAGCTCCAACGCAAAAGGAAGACCGCAAGCAAGTTGTTTTTGAACGTGTTTTCGAAGACATGGTGTTCCTAGGTGTCGTTGGTATTCAGGATCCTCTTCGCCCAGGTGTTACCGAATCCGTCCTCCAATGCCAAAAGGCAGGTGTTTTCGTCAGAATGGTAACAGGAGATAATATCATGACAGCCAAGGCAATTGCACAAGAATGTGGTATTTTCACCCCTGGAGGCCTTGCCATCGAAGGACCGGTGTTTAGGAAACTCAGCTCGCATCAAATGAATCAGGTGATCCCACGTCTGCAAGTCCTTGCTCGATCAAGTCCCGAGGACAAGAGAGTTCTTGTTGCTCAGCTACGAAAACTGGGTGAAACTGTTGCTGTGACTGGTGACGGAACCAACGATGCACCAGCTCTCAAGGGAGCAGATGTCGGATTCTCCATGGGTATTGCCGGAACAGAAGTGGCTAAAGAGGCGTCCGCTATTATTCTTATGGATGACAACTTCAATTCAATTGTGAAAGCGATTGCCTGGGGCCGAACTGTCAATGACGCTGTGAAGAAGTTTCTGCAGTTCCAGATCACGGTCAACATTACTGCTGTTGTGCTTACATTTGTCTCTGCTGTGGCCAGTAACGACGAGGAATCCGTGCTGACTGCCGTCCAGCTGCTCTGGGTGAACTTGATCATGGACACCTTTGCTGCTCTCGCTCTCGCCACCGATCCTCCCACCCATACAATTCTTGACCGCAAACCGGAACCTAAGTCGTCCCCGCTGATTACGCTTACGATGTGGAAGATGATTATTGGCCAATCTATCTACCAGCTTATAGTCACATTTATTCTCAACTTTGCTGGAAGGAGCATTCTGAACGTCGGCCACTCTGAATTGGAAGACCGGGTATTCAAGGCCCTTATCTTCAACACATTCGTTTGGATGCAGATTTTCAACCAGTATAACTCGCGCCGAATCGACAACAAGATAAATATCTTCGAAGGACTCCTTAGAAATAGGTGGTTTGTTGGCATCCAGTTCATCATCGTGGGCGGACAAGTCCTCATCATCTTTGTTGGTGGTCAAGCATTCTCGGTCGAGCGCCTCGGTGGAAGAGACTGGGGTATTTCGTTGATTCTTGGACTGATATCCATCCCGGTCGGCGTCCTTATCCGCATGATCCCAGACAGCTTTATCCGGATGCTCATCCCGAGCTATTTTCGTCGGAAACAGGACAAGCCACAGGTATACATCTCTGACGAGGAACAGCGATATGAGTGGAACCCAGCCCTTGAGGAGATCAGAGATCAACTCACCTTCCTTAAGAAGGTACGGGGCGGTCGACTTAACCTACTGAAGTATAAGCTCCAGCATCCAGAGACTCTCATCCCTCGTTCCCGAAGCAACTCGAAATCATCCGTACCACAGACACCACAAGGCGACGAGCACGAGAACGGAAACACCCAGCCGCCAACTCCAAGCTCACGCAGCCGGTCTCGCTCCAACTCTGCCTTCGGGCCCGCTGCGGCCATGGCTGGTGTCGTGGCGGGCAGCATAGCAGGCTGGTCCCCCGTTGGCCGATCAGCCGGCGAACAGGAATCAATCAAGTTCTCAGGCACAGGAAAACACTCTGGTCTTGATCAGCAAGAGGGCATCGAAGTCCATCCAGACACGAGGGAGGACGATCCTATCCTGACAGATTACTCACATACAAGCAAGGTGCCACCAAGTCAGAATCCAGCTCTGACTCCCGAGTTCTCTCATACCCGCCCAACAAGCAGAACATCAACTGAGGGAAGAAGCTGAAATCTAGCCCTGTCCGTCCGAAGACAATAATTCACATAAACATAGCACGACGAGAAATTTACCTCGACATCCTCATTATGCAACTGCTTATTCCACGGCCTTTGATACTACTCGTTCTGCTCTATTTCTTTTCTTCCTCTTACTCCTTTTTATTTCTTCTGCCTAAACAGTTAACATGGCATATACCACTACCCACCACCAGCACCGGCACCTCAGGTTCGAGGCCATATCATATCCAAGTCGTCTTAATATCCCGTTTTTTTCTTTTTCTCCCTTTTCTGGACTGTGACAACAACCGAAGTCGATCAATCACTTGCTTCTCATAACCACTATCACTGGACCAATTATTTGTACGCAGGGTCCTTCTCCTTTTTTTCCTTCATCTGATCCTATCCTAGATTCGAAATTCCGTGGTCCTTTCTCACAGCCTCAGGTCAGCTAGGCGAACCAAACCAATCGTTTCTTCGCATTCCACCCTCCCCCTCCCTTTTGATGCTTTACTTGTTTGTTGTTGGTGTTTTAATAAATCTGCATGGCGTCAGGGATAAGTTTTATCATTCATTCATCCTCTTGTGTTACATCTTTTGTTCTTTCTTCTTTCTTCTTCTACCTTGACTTCTACGTCACTTTATCTTTCTCATGTATATACCTTCGATGACTTAAAAGAGGTCCTTTTTTATCCTCTGCTTAAACAATATTTTCCCGGGGAGGGTGGCTTAAATATCATATCCCTTTCTGGGTATCTATTTGAATAAAAATATATAGAGATATTATCCTGCTTTCTTGGATTCTTTGGGCTGTCTTTCATTGATTGTAGTTCAATAGCAACTTGGTTCCATTGCTTCAGTTTCATCCGCATCGTTATTAAAATACATAAGTTTCATAGCAAGAAGGGCCATATCAAAGGTGAAAGAAGAAGAAAAGACATAAATGTCCTCTTTGATATCAGTTATGGCAAGAAAAGAGTAAGAGTGAGCGGGGTGAGAATAAAGCATCCATTCACTCATCCCAGATCGCAGCCATCGCCTTCTCTTCTTCCTCTCGCTTCTGCTCCTCCGCGAGCTTCTCCTTCTCACGTCGCTTCTTCTCATTTGCAATCACGGTACGATCGTACTCCTTCTGGCTATCAGATCTAGCCACTCTCTGGCCCAATGCATTATGAATCATCCTAGTAGCCACTGTAGTCTGCTTCTCGGGACGCTTGGAGTAGCTTGAAGAGGTACGCGAGGCAGTGCTGGTGGTAGAGCGGCAGCTTGACTGGCGAGAGACGTTGGGAGTTGGAGGAGGGGCGCGGATGCCGGCGTTGGTGTTGCTGCTGCGGCCGGAGTGGTGATGGTGATGGTGGTGGATGTTGGGTTCAGCTGGGGGCGCGGTGATGGTTGTTTCGGCGTCACTGGCTTCGTCGTCGGAAGAGGAGAGGTCTTCGTCTTCCCAGGACTCGGCGATCTTGTTCAGACGGACGCCGCCGCGGGGAGTGGGAGTGTGGGAGTCGACGTTGATGCCTAAAGCTGCTGGTTAGTTGATTACTTGTAGTTGTATCGTGTTATGTCGTGTTATGTCTTGTGCGTGGTTGGTGATATTGCAAAAGACGGCTTGTTATATGCAGTGACGGACGCACCTGGACGACTTTCAGCCATGTTTCTGGTCTTTTGCTGGTGATGTCAAGGTAGAAGGAGAAGTGGAAGTTGGAAGTTGGTATAAGAAGAGCAGGAAGAGGAAGAAGCAGAAGCAGAAGAAGAGAGGCCGTTAAATAGTTAACCAGGGAGACTTCTTCCGCTTCACTTGGATATGCCAGTCACTGACTCTCACTCTCTCGCGCTGTCCTGTCCTCTCTGTCCTGTCCTATCTTCACTATCTCGACTGGCCAGCAGTGTCCAACAGCTCTTTTCTCACTGATAAGAAGCAGTGATGACATCAGTCAGTTATCTAGAGCCAGCCACTAAGTAAGCCATGCCATGCGCCCGGCAGCTAGTTAGTCAGTTCACTAGTTAGTTAGTTAGTTGGTCAAGGGCTGAAGGATGGTGAAAGGATAAGGGGAAGATTAAGGGGCAAAAGGATGAAGACCAAGAAGCCTGCAGAAGGCCAGGATGATATGCAGCATCCATGCAAGTGACTGTGAAGAGCTTCACCTTCAACCTCTCTCTGTCAGTCTATCTGTATGTCTCTCTTCGAATATCGGCCGGGATGGAGATGGCCATCATGCCACCGCAGAGAGCCGGCAGTCTCGTAGGCTTCTCAGGCCGATCAGCTAGTCAGTTAGTTACGAACTTGCCATGGAGCCCGAGATAGTCGCAGTTCTAGATATCGATATCTAGTTAGCTAGGCAGGTGGTTACCTCGGCCTGCTGGTTATCTAGTGGTCTACACGGGCATCATGTCCCGGCAGAGCTTGCTGGCAGCGAACCAGTCAACTATGCCCGAGCTGCCGGACGAGTGAAGCTGTGGGGTTTCTGCTTCTGCTTCTTCTTTTCATGTTTGCTTTTACCGAGCGTCTCTCCTCTTTCCTGACCTTCTCCTGTTCCATGGTGGGCGCTGCTTGTATAACTAAGTGTATACGGAGAGCGGCAGGTTAACTCGTTGATCTAGTCGCTGCTCTGTTCGTGGAGTTAGTTGTACCACCGCCACTCCATAATGGCCCTGAGATGGATGCAGAGTCCGTCTAGCCGGCTGTTCGGCTGTCAGGGTCCATCTCGCTTGCTGCTGCTGCAGAGACATGTATCTTCATCCTCATTCTCTACTTCGGCTAGATGCCAGTCCTATGAAGATACGCTGCCGACGCTCAAGATAGGATCCCACACCCGAGTTCTCTTTCAGGGGTTTACTGGTGGGTTATGCTCTGATTTTATTCTATCAATACATATGTTCTAACATGTAAACAGGTAAACAGGTACTTAATCTCTAGATCTAGACAATGACCCAGTAACTAATAAAGTATAGGCGACGGCCAATGTCAAGGAGTCACTGGCATGGGGGACCAAGATAGTTGGTGGCGTTAAGCCTGGAGTCGAGGGTGAACATCTAGGACTGCCCATCTTCCCATCGGTTCGCGTGGTAAGTAACTCGTTCGGGATAGTAGAATAATCTACATGCTCACACAGTATATAGGCACACGAGAAGGCCAAACCAGATGCCTCAGCTGTATATGTGCCCGGAAACCAGACTGCTAAAGCCATAGAAGAAGCCCTCGAGGCAGAAATACCCCTTATCGTCGCTGTGGCTGAACATGTTCCCATCCACGACATGCTAAGAGTCTGCACACACCTATTCCAACCTCTAACCCCCCCTACTAACAGCATCATAGATACACTCCATGCTCAAAACACAGTCCAAGTCTAGACTGGTCGGACCAAACTGTCCCGGGATCATCTCTGCCATTGGCAAATGTAGAATCGGGTTCCAGCCTCTTCCATGCTTTGCACCAGGGAATATAGGCATAGTAGCCAAATCAGGCACGTTGGGATATGAGACTGTTGCATCCACCACCAGAGCTGGGCTAGGGCAGAGCTTATGTATAGGTATGGGTGGTGACGTGCTTGCTGGCACTGACTTTGTAGATGCATTAAAGGTGTTTGAACACGACGACGATACCCATGGCATTATCATTGTGGGTGAGATAGGTGGTGAGGCGGAGATGGAGGCTGCAGAGTGGATCGAGGGGTATAGGAGGAGGACAGCAGCGGCAAAGTATGTACTCTTTTTTCCTTATGAAAAGACATATCTGGCTGACAGTGTATAGACCGATAATGGCGTTGGTCGGCGGTATTGAAGCTCCACATGGTCGGGTTATGGGCCATGCAGGCGCATGGACGGCAGCAGGCGAACCAAATGCCAGGACCAAGATACAGGCTTTGCAGTCTGCGGGAGTGGTCATGGTTGATCATCCGGAGAAGTTCGGTGAGGGTATGAAGGCATTGTTGGCTGGGGCTAGCAGAAGGCCTAAACCGGTATGTTGCCGTTCTATAACCAAGCAGACAGAAGCTAACGAGTAGGTATAGGTATCTTCCGGACCTTATATGCAACGGTCATCATATCACACTTGGACCAGAAGGTGTCCACAGAACAGTCTACCGTATAGACCAACAGGCTCTTCTCAAAAGAGAAACCTATACATCAAGTCCTCTGATGCAGTCAGCCTCCTCAAAGACCAAAACATTTCCGCCCTTGAGTCCAAGGGGCCAGCTAATTTCACTCTTGCCATTGCTGTAGACCGTAAATCATGCGGTCCCTGCATAGCCGTCAGTAATAGCACCGATGGCAACACCCACAGGTTCCCATTCAACTATCACACACGAAACTTTGACATTGCATCTATTGCGGATATCCTTGGCTTTTCCAAAAACCATCCCGTGGCTATCGAGTCCTTAGAGAAGCTTCTGCATGGGTTAATGAACATATTTGTGTCCAAGGAGGCATTCATTCTTGAGATTAAGGCTAGCATCACTCCGGATACACAGGGTATACATGTGCTTGATACGCGGTTTGGGTTCGATGACGCTGCGCACCGTAGCTCGGGAAGACAGAGTGATATCCATGGCTTGCGAAACAAAGCTGAAGAGGTCCCTGCTGAAGTTGATGCAGAGAAGGACGGCATAGTGTATATCACGTACGTCCTCTCAGCTCCATAACACCCTAGCTCAATGCTAACGTTGAATTTAGCCTTCCCGGAGAAGGTCGTATAGGAACACTAGGTAAGCACCGCTAGTAAGCCTCCTATCCTTGCCTCTTGCTGACCACTAGCCTAGTGAACGGCGCTGGCCTGGCCATGAACACTGTGGACGCCCTCACCCTACACGGTGGAAGCTGTGCCAACTTCCTCGACACAGGCGGCAAAGCCACCGCAGAAACAGTCAAGTCGTCCTTCCGAGTCATCCTATCTGATCCACGAGTAAAGAGCATCTTTGTCAACATCTTTGGCGGCCTTACCAAGTGTGATATGATTGCCGAAGGTATCATCATGGCCTTCCGTGATCTGGGTATGAATGTTCCTGTAGTTGTAAGGCTAAGAGGAACAAATGAGGAACTCGGTCAAAAGATGGTACGCTTGTCATCTTCCTCTGCAAGTACTCTTTATCTACTCTGCTGACTGTTTGGTATAGATAGCTGAGAGCGGCCTTCCCCTGCACGCCTTTGACTCTTTCGAACAAGCCGCGAAGAAAGTCATCAGCTTGTCGAAGTAATAGATATAACACCGATATATAAATCAAATAGCGTCCGTCGATAGAAGGAATAGATAAGAATATAGCTAATATCAAAGAGACAGTAAAAAACGAAGACCTCAAAAAAATCGAGGGACGTGGGACTCGAACCCACAATCTTAGCTTAAGCTTACTACTCGCAGCAAATGAAAGTAGGAGAGCTACGCATTACCCTTCTGCCAGCCCCTCTAACGCTAAGTATGATGGTGCTCTCCTTTGTCCCTTAGCTAGGGGTCGCCCTTCGACCACTAATAGCACCCATTAATATCACCATGAGAAAGCGGACATATAGATGAGTAACAGTAGGATATAAAGAGCGTCCCTTAAGGCGCGGGATTCAGCCTGACTTGCTCAAAGACTTGAGGTCATCAAAGTTGTTACGCGGCGAGAAAACGCCGGACGAGCCGTGCCGCGGACCTCGGCACTTACGCCTGCTGAGTAACACCGACTCAAGTTTTGCGGTGGGCCGCCCTGCGGAACAGCCTCCCTATCAAACTGTTGATAACGCGCATCTCGTCAACTGGAAAGTTGCTGCCTTAGATGTTTGTTGGGAACGAGTGGATAGGGTAAATTTCTTGGATTATGCTGGAATCGCGGCTCCCCCGGCCTTCCGCGCTCAACATGGCTCGTCTAGCCATCGGGCTGAGGAACAACTCTTGCTTGTCTCCGTTGAAGCACCAGCAGCTTCGGCGGGTTCCTGCTTCAGCTATATTCCTCCGGGCTCCAGCAAGGCCTTATTCGTCTGGTTAGTGTTTATGTACATACCCTCTCCCCTATCCAATGCCGGCACATTTTTATGCCGTTGGGAAAACTTTACCATCTATAGTTCTGGCAACTATATATATTCCTCCGTCCGTATGGGTTCACCCTTAACTTACCTTTCTCTCTAGCTCACAGCCAGACCGCATACCAAGAAGCCCATACTCCCCCTCCCCCTCCTCCAACATATAGAAAACGGTCACTGTTCGGCCGCATACTTGGTTTCTCAGTGATAGCCATCGGTTCTTTTACTCTCGGCATAATTACAAACCCGGACGTTTTCAAGATGCACGCCTCCCTCTCCTCTATACCGTCTGACCAGGAGACCAATTCCCTCTATACACCACCGGACGAGGTATCCAAGGAAATCAATGACTTCATCGACACACATCCTCTCTCTGTCTCGCTACGAGCAGACCCTAAATACATTGAATCTCGACCACACATGAAATACCCTGCTGAACTTCGCGCGCACAGCTTGACGGGTGGCACATTGACCGGCCCGGGTCGTATAGTCGTACCGCCATTCGCATGGAACACCGAGGACGGCTCATCGTTCATTTCGATATTTTATCTTGGTTCTGACCTGTGTGGTCATCCAGGTATTGTTCACGGCGGATTGTTGGCTACTTTGCTTGATGAAGGGCTTGCGAGAACATGTTTCCCTGCTTTGCCGAATAAGGTTGGCGTTACGGCTAATTTGAATATTGATTACCGTAACCCTGCGCCGGCCGGAGCGTTCTTTGTCATGAGAGCGAAGACCACCAAGGTTGATGGCCGTAAGGCGTGGGTGGAAGGCTGGATTGAGAGTCTACCTGACGATGGATCCGAGCCCGTCAAGTATGTCGAAGCAAAGGCTTTGTTTATTGAGCCGAAGAATGCTGCGGTATGTTCAGGCACCTTACCCCGTCATAATTGTGCTAAAGCTAATGTGTTAAAAACAGCTCATTCCCCGTCTGTATAAAGTCACTTAAACGGTTGTTCATCTTTTTTCTGCATTGATACACTTAGACATTTCAGCCTTCAAGCTACTCGTTTTACACTCCAGTCTACATTCGGAGATAGAGTTCTTCTTTTACAGATTTCCTACAGCTTATCTTGCAACACGCTCCAGCAACGATAGATTCATGTCACTTAGATTTATTTAATATATATATCGCTACATATACCAGCAATAAATGTTACCTTGATGTTCCCTCAAGTCCAGCTGTCGATGTAGAACTTGCTGAATAGTCGCGGTGGAGCCATCCTCGGCTTCCCATTGGTCCCAGCACCACGAGCTCTCACCTTAACCCAACCTGTCCTATCTTACCATCTAACAACATTCAGATATCAACACCGCCCACCATTCAACTAGCTCTCCATCTAGCTCAAGGAAGGAAGGCATCTATCCAGAGAGCCATTCATCCACCCGGGCCGTCTACCTTATGCCCGCGCCTTTGGTCCAATAACAACCAACCATACCGAACACGAATCAAGCCGTCATAATGTCCAAACAAGCAAGATACATCCTCCTCTCGCTGCCGAACTCCATCACCCCATCACATCACCACGACGATGCTCTGGAAGCAATACGCTCGAAAGTCTCGGACAACGGAAATGTAGCTCCCTTTGCGGTACCAGAGTTCAAGATCGGAACCCTGGACGCTCTGGTACAGCAGGCAGATGAATTGGGTAAAGTCGAGGCACTTTGCGAGAACGTCGTTAGTAAAGTGGGAGATGTGATTTCGAGCGTGCTGGAAGGCGATGAGGCGCAGATATCGAGGATGAAGACGGTCAATGAGAGTGCGTTCCTGCCTTTGAACACTGGGCTGAATGGGTGGGGTATTACCGAAACCTATGGCTAACGAGGAATATAGGACCGCTGGATCAATACTTGCAATCTTTTGCATGGAACAAGGTCAAATACAGAGCTGACAAGTCGTTGGCGGAGTTGATTGATCTACTGCAAAATGTAAATGCCGAGGATACCTATGTTATGGGCTAATGATAGCTAACTTCCTATTCAGGAAATCAACAGTATCGATAACGATGTGCGAGCGAAGTTTACCCAGTACAACGGCGTCAAGTCAAACTTGGCCGGTCTACAGCGGAAACAAACGTCAGTCACATTTTCACCCTGCATGTTTTATTTGATACTAACATTCTATGCAGAGGCAACCTTTCCACCAAGTCTCTCGCTTCAGTTGTCGACCCTAGCCTCCTCGTGCAGGACTCAGAGTACCTAGAAACTCACCTCATTGCACTTCCTAGCCGAGATGCTAAGGATTTCCTACGTGTATATGAAACACTCTCACCCATGGTTGTTCCGCGCTCCTCGATACTTCTCGCTTCAGACGAGGAATACACTCTCTACGGCGTAACGACGTTCAAGAAGCACAGTGCAGAATTCATCCACAAGTGCCGTGAGAACCGATGGACGCCAAGAGAATACAAATACGTCGAGGACGGCGGCGAAGCAGAACGCAAGGAAATCGATCAAGTTGCCGGTGACGCTAAGAGGCTGTGGGGTGAAGCTTTGAGGCTCGGAAAGACAGGATGGGGCGAAGCTGTGATGGTGTGGGTGCACATCCTTACCTTGAGGATGTTCGTCGAGACTGTCCTGAGGTACGGGTTGCCGTTGGATTTCACATCCGTCTTGATCAAGGTACGTACCGTGACTCCCTCCCTGAACTCTCTCCATGTATCCGTACATAAAGCTAACGGCTCTCATTAGAGCACGGGTAGGAACGCTAAAAAGATCAAGGATGCGCTCGACTCATCGTATTCTTACCTAGGCGGTAATGCCTTTACTCGGGACAAGAAAGGTCGGGTTCGGAAGGACGACCCGAATGAGATGCAACAGGCGGGTGTTCCCGACACGGCAGCCGAATATACAGCCTTTGTATATTATGAGTTCGAGGTCGAGTAAGTTAGTTGGTTGTTGCCTTGGAACTTGGGACGGTACATAGCTGCTTTGTTTTTGTCTGTTTTTTGTCTACATATTTTACTCCTATGGAGTAAGTACCCTTTAGGCTATCTATGTGGAATTTTAGGCCCGTCTTTTTGATCATAGGCAGGTGTATACGTTCTAGAATTGGATACAAGACGGTTAGCTCATGATCACCAACAATTTTGTTATATTTCCACATCACTTGATTCGCTGCTGGTGGCACAAAGAACGTTAAGACCACAAATTGACAGAAAACAACATTCTTTCAAAATCACCGACTTTTTCCCTCATTGCCTCATAGCAAAAGAGCAGCAACGCCTAAAAGGCCCAGAAACCCAAGGACAGCGGTAGATTTTTCATGTCTGAGATCCCCTGTCTTCCGTTCCAAGATCTTGATAGATCAATCTAAAGCCTCCAAAGAAGATCAGGGGAAGGATCGCCGAAGGAGAAATACCACCAAGCAAAGACGCTGTTTTATCTAGGGGCGGTAAAAGAGCAGATAAGGGCCTCCCCATGCCGGCAACAAATCTCTGACCGCCCCCTTGCCATCAAGCTGTTATCCGATCCTCAAACTGAAGCCGAAACCCTGTGTTGACCGATACCTTCTCAAACAAAACATGTTTGGTTGCCAGTCAAGATCATCGCCAATCGCACCCAATCAGCGACGTCAAACCGATCTTGATGCTTAGCAAATCCGCCAGTCTAGAATTTAGCCTCCCCAGCTCCATCGCGCGGCGGAGCCAAAAGAGCAGGCTGGTAATTGAGCTGCTTAGAAATATTTGGGTCCAGAATTAATAACTCGCTTGGCCAGATGGCTGCTGGAGACCAAAAGTGGCCACATATCCCTCTGCACGGCTGCTTATATACGGGGAGCGATGAGGAAACGTTTCAGGATGTAACCAACAGGGTTACACGGTTACGAGACGGTATGCCGAGTCGGGATCCGTTTGGCGATAGAAGTTGATACCCGGATGCTGAAGAATGCTGAAGAATGCGATTCTGTCGATGTCTACTATGTAGATAAGGAGATAGAAAAGAGATTGAACGGTTTAACAAGCTGTCATCTAGGTACAAACCTGTAACCTGCGAGGCTGAATTTGGTTGAGAGAAAAAGTTATTATATACTTATTTCCATGGTTCCGAACGAACCATCAGGAGGGGCGTTTCATCCGCCAAACTCTGCAACGTCCTGCTTTCCTTATCTGCAGCAGATGTACGAACTACTGAGGGACCCGACCTGAACCGTCCCTTCTGTCACCGACTAACATGTAATCTTACCCCGGGAACCGGGATCCCCTTACTACCCGCCGCCGAGTTTATCCTCCACATCTGAGAGGGCTGGGTTGATATAAATCTTGACGCATCCGGCTGTTGGAGGAGAATAATTCCATTCTTCGCATCACACCCGAAATCACTGTCAAGGCACATTCCCAAGGCCAGATCTTCCTCTTCGCATATACCTTGTCGCATCACTCACATCAGTCACAATGGCCGTGTAAGTTCATATTCGTCCGATAATTGAATTCCGACAAGCTAACCTGTCACAGAAACCTTCATTTTCACGAGTCTGACTTCACTCGAGAGACTCGAGCTGCCTACATTGGCCAGAGAGGCTTCACTCTCTGGTTCACCGGTATTTCGGGATCCGGAAAGTCCACTATCGCCGTCGCCGTCGAGAAAGAGCTCATTGCCAAACGCAAGCTTACTGCTTTCCGACTTGATGGAGATAACATCCGTACTGGTCTCAACAAGGGTCTTGGGTTTACTGCAGCAGACCGAACTGAAAACATTCGACGAATCGGCGAGGTCGCCAAGCTCTTCGCCGACTGTGGAATTGTTACCCTGACTTCCTTCATCTCACCATATGCCGCCGACAGACTTGCCGCCCGTAAGCTGCACGAACTGTCAGAGGAAGAGAAGGAAAGAGGAGAAACTCCCTTGCCATTCATTGAAGTTCACGTTGATATTCCTTTTGAAGTCTCTTTAGAAAGAGATAAGAAGGGGTTTGTAACAATGGGACACCAAGGATTGATCAAGAACTTCACTGGTGTGGGCAAGTCGACTGGCTCATCATATGAGGCCCCCGAAAAACCTGAGATATACATCAACAACAACCGAGAAATGACCATTGACAATGCAGTCAAGCAGATCATGGACTACCTTGAAGAGAAAGGTCTACTCGACAGTCCACCAGATGTTGCCACTGCTGAGGCTGAATCCGCGAAACGCGTGAAAGAAGGCCAGGATATCAAAGAGAAACGACTTTTGCAAACCCTAGAGAAGAGTGAAGCCGCCTTCAAAGCTGCGGAAGCTTCTGGTAATGAGGAGGAAATTAGTGCCGCCAAGGCTGCGGCAGTCAAGGCTGCTGGTGCTCTCAAGTCCTTTTTCGCCAACAAGCACAGAGCGGTCATGGAGGCTGCCGAAGCCGTCCAGGAGACCGCTAAAGCTGCTCAGGAAGCCGCAGCTGCAAAAACCGCAGAAGCCGAAGAAGCCAGCAAACTCGCACAAGCTACACAAGATGAGGCTGCTAAGTTGGCTGAACTTGTCGCTACCTATGATGCTGCAACTAGAGCTCATGGCGCCACCGCTAACTAAGCAGCTTCTTTGCTCCTCTTTCATCTCCTGTTTTCGCCCTGTCTTTTGCTGTTAAGATATCCTCACACATATATAGAGAGCACGGAATAGTTACGAACTACGAATATAGATATTGTTTCCTATTTTTAATTTTTTTTTTTTTGGAAGTAAGCTGCCACTTGTTAAGTTACTAATTGTAACATTGAAGTCGTTGATATCGCATAACTTTGTAGTATTAAATAAGTTGATTATTATTGAATCTATAGGTAGATTATAGACCGGCGGGTGTTCGGGCTCTTTTAACCGACTTTGCGTGTCTGTAAACGAAGCTTTTAGGCAATCCCCCCCCCAAAATAGATACATATATATAAATCTCGTAACACTGTATAAAGATAGATCCCTTAGAAGGCTTATTGCTGCATGTAATACAAGAAAAAGGATACGAAATGTTAAGCCGAGTAAGTAGGACTGTGAATGTATATGGTAAACCATTATTTAACCCCTGTAGAACTTGGATTCGATCCACGGCATGGGAGTAACAGTAGCTTTGCGGAGCTTCTTGCGAACAAGTATTCCAACCTCTGTACCTTTCTTATGAAGGCCCTGTTTAATATATCCCATAGCAATGTTTGTACCACCTAGAGTCGGGCTGGGGAGACCAGAAGTAACCACACCGACTTCAGTTTTACCGTCTGCAAGGTCCACGATAACAGCACCCTCACGGGCAGGTGCACCGCCTTCAACTGTAAAACCGACTCGTCGTCGAGTCAGCGTCTTGGCTGGGGATGCAAGTTGCGGGAGAATGGTGGATGCTCCATTGAACTTGGATAAGGGAGATGATGGGTCCCGCCGGTCTTTGCCAACAACCCAGCCAAGGCCAGCAACTGGTGGGGTCTCGGAAAGAGATATATCATGGCCGTATAAGCACATACCGGCTTCCAAGCGGAGGGAATCACGAGCGGCTAGTCCGGCGAGCTTGACATCTGGGCTGGAGATGAGAAGTTCGGCAACACGGCGAGGTAAGTTGGCATCCGTATCAGTAGGAATGGAGATTTCGAATCCGTCTTCTCCAGTGTATCCTGTTCTGGAGATCAGGAGGCGTGACGGGGTGCTTGATCCATCTGGGAAATTCAAGTGGAGCTGACGGCATTGGCCAAAGTGAAGGGTTGAAAGATCAGCGTCAGCAGACGTTTCCTTCTTGATAAGTGGCTGAAGTGTATTTGCACTTGCAGGACCCTGGAGGGCAATTAGAGCCCTATTATCAAGTATAGTCCAGTTGATGATCGAGTCGCGCTTGGAGGGATCTTGGGAGTTCCTGAATGCTTCAATTTCCTTTGTTAGGAACTCGAGGTCTTCCTTGCGACGGCCGGCGTTTGTGACGAAATAAAAAGACTCTGGTCCAAGGCGTGTGACCACAGTATCATCAATAATTCCACCACTGCTTTCATCTAGAAGGCAAGATAGGGTAGAATGATTATCCTTTAGCGAATCGAGCGAGGCAGGGGTAATCTTCATCAATAAGTCTCGTGCGCCAGGGCCGATAATGTGGTGTTGTACCCTAAGAAGGGCGCCATTAGCATACCAATTCCGAGAGTACATATAGAGAAAAGAGGTGGATAATATTAATGCACTTACATATGGCTCACGTCAAACAAACTGGCCTTTTCTCGTGTCCATTTGTGGCTCTCAACATGGCTCATGTCAGCGTATTGCAACGGCATGGAGTACCCCGCGAACGGGACCATCTTGCCCTTGTGCTCGATATGGAAGTCATAGAACTGCGTCTTCTTGATATCAGATTCACCGGCAGAAGAGCTGGAGGCATATCTCAAGCCTGATGGATTCCCAAATGTGCTGCTGGCAATCAATGGCTGCCGGTATCCCACACTCGGAGTTCCGTGAATCTGGCGGCAATGTCGGCTCAATTGAGCGCCGTAGTTAACTCCGCTCCAGCATCTGAAGCTCGCTCTGGCCTGGAAGATGCCATTTCTGGCGAACTGAGGTGCTCTCGCGATCGTCTTCATGGTGAGTGTTGATATCCGACCTTCTGGAATCAATACAAGGCGAGGTTCGGCAGCAAAAACGAAGTCGGGAAATGATCGGAAAAGTGACGGGGAACTTTTGATAGCCGGTCACGTGAAGATACGAATTCCTATCGGCCGATTATCTAATAAATAGCCGATTGTCACATGACCAAATTTTTCCCGAGTTCCCAATGCAGAAAAACAGACAAGCCAACATCACTTTTCATCTCGGTCCTCGTTCAAAAACACCAAAACGCCTGATATCCTCCTAGAAACCTCCATTGAACATCTCTCATATACAGGTGACCCTTGTATCCTTTATTGAAAGCATAAATCCCTATTATATGATATCGCCGGATAAACATGTCAAGTACCTAGCTCCATTGGCAACCACTGTTGAATATGGAACTGCCTCTAGGCCTTTATAACCCATTGTCCTTACAGGAAAATGCGCTGCCAACTTTTCCGCTCTGGTAATTGAGCACGACACTATCAACAGATGCCTAGACGGGCTGTTAGCTGACTATCAACCTGAAGGTGTATGATTGAGCAGACTCACATATGTTCCTGGACCAAGAAATAGTAACCCGACTCCGACGAGGAAGATATTAACACCCCACCCGATCCATCCTCTGACGCTGCGGGGCTTTCCTGGCTTCTCAGCCTCGTCCGCCGACTGCATTCGTAGATAGGCCACTCCCCAAAAGATGAATCCAAAGAAAGAGTCGAAAAGCGAACTCATTATGGAAAGAAGGTCGGTAAAGAATGGAATCACTTCTGCCACAATGAAGGCAAGTATCCAAAGTACCGCCAAAATCCCAGCCCAGGCGGACCAGCCGACCAGAGTGTGTTCTGTCTTGTGGCGAGTGTTATCGAAAATGCGGAAAAAGATAAATCGTGCAGACACAGATGCATAGAGTACTCCGAGAAAAATCAGTGTAGGCACCATGAAGGAAAAGGCAACCTTCTTATACACTTCATTGCTGAGGGAGCCAAATGCTGGTGCGGTCATGTATTGTGTGCCTGTGAAGACATAGACAATCGCACCCACAACACTGAACACAATTACCTCCGCAATAGTGACTGCCCAGAGGGCTTTGCTAAAATCTTTTGGATTTCTCATCTCAGCAATAAAACTTGGGAGGGTGATCTGGCCGATGAACGTATAGCTGATGTTTAGGAAAGCAGACATTCCCGCAACAAAGGTGGTTCCGGGGAGGGGAAATGCTGTGACAATAGGCTTACCCCCCATTAACTTGCCATCGGGGCCTTTATGATTAGGGTCGGGGTTATATTTCGCAGGATGAGCCTCGAGTCCGGCAAATATCATCGACAGTAGAACCGATATGAATGTAAAGAAAGCCGATAGAGTTGCAAGCTTGGAAAGTGTGTTGAAAGTCCTTGGTATGGAGCAAACGAAAGATATCACAGCTGTCACTGCGACAAATACCACTGTACAAGTGCTGTGATTCGTCATCGTGTTCAAGTATTGTGCGCCGACCAAGCAATGCAAGCCCTGCGACGTACATGTTAGCAATAATGGGCTGATGGCCTTGGAAGGGAAATCACACCTGGATAAAGGTATTGTTCAGGAGGAACATGATGGCCGTGAGATACCACGCCGCTCTTGAGCCCCAGAAAAGGCGCTGGCCAATGTCACAGATATCCCGTACGTCCGGATGGCGTAGGCAATATTTCCTGAATATACTCGGCGGTTATTAAATGTAACACTCCTTTGTCCCAAGGAGGGTGCTTACCAGATGACCAATGAAGTATAGAGCACCATTCCGGCGACCACAACCGTAAGTATCAGCCCTGGGACCAGGCCGAGGACCGAGTAAGAGTACGGGAATGACATGATAGCCAAGCAGATATACTCGGAAAAGAGTAGTGCTGCAGTCTAGTTCAGACATACCCTGTGATTAGCAACCTAACCACAAGAGTAGAAGGGTCCGTTTTAACAATGTGATCATTTGTCGTAATTATAGCGATGAGAGGAGCTCGGATAACAAACCTTCTGCCAACTACAAGTCCTATACTTGATGGCATGGCCTGCTTCCAGCTCCACCTGCTTGCTCACGCTCATAGCAGAACTAGTGTCATCTTCAGTACTGGAGGATTCATCTCCAATACCGCTGTACCCGCCATGGGCAACAATTTGGGCGGTTCCACTAGTATGAGAAGGTAGCGGGGAAGTATCAATAGTCGACAGGTCTTTGCTGACCCCGTGTTCGGGATCTAACGCCATTTGATAAATCTGATCGTACGCTTCCAGCGCACGGGAGCAGGCGGAGCGGTAGCAGCGATTCTTCGGTCGACTGATGACATGTACTTCGACTTTTGCTCTTTCTGTGATTCAACTAAAGGGTGGACTTCCTTTTTCAGAAAGATGGGAAACTAAAGAATGCTGCTAGCTCGCGGATTGGTCTTTCTCGAAAAGGAGATAACTAGATATACAATAATTATCAAAATGTGTAGGTTGTTGGAATATAATTTCTTTCTGGATGAAAAACTTGCTGCTTATACGGTCTGCGGATTGCCCAGATTATGTAACTAGCTAGTTATATATGTGGACTGCAACTCCATGGTTCCAACATGACGTCGTAGACAGTGAAAAGGAAAACTTATGTCCCCTGTAGGTAGTGGGGATTTCTTGCCCCAGTCCATAATAAGAAAGCGTGTCTCAATCTTATCGCCGGGCAGTTTTATTGGGTATCGTTGCCGTTAGTCATGTTTCTCCCTCATCCTCCACTGCGAAGTACCAGTTCTGGATGGAGCAATGCACTGAATTAAATCTTGGCATGCTTGACATATGCGTTCAATGATGTCATCATATCCCAATATGGCTTAGCGCAGCGGCCTCTCCGTTCGGCAAGTCGCTACGCGCCAAGGCTTTGGAGAAGCTTGGTATCTTGACCAGTAGCTTATCAGCACCACAACATACACGGTGAAAACAAAAGCGTACTTGCTTGATCAGATACCCCAGACTAGAGATATTATTTATACCCCCTATTGTTTCTCTCGGCCCAAATCATCACCAAGACGTAAACCTTAACTAACTATGGGTCTTGTTGCAAATTTATAGGCTCAGCGATATCCAGAAACTCAGGTGCTATTTGGCATTATTATGGCTACTCTGATTGAAGACATAATTGGGCTGTGAAACGAGAAGGTTTTACATTAATGTGGGAGAAAGCGCTTCGAAAGAAGTACATAAATATAAGGTATATGTTATAGCTATCGAATAGTTATTTCTGAACTTTCTCCACTTGATAGCCTCGCTTACCACCTTTGGATTCTAATTCTTCAGCTAGAGCGTAATGTTTATCATCCCAAGCAAAATCTCGTGGTGTTTTGCCCTCCGGAGTTTTCAGGTTCAACTCTATCCCTTCCACCTGCAATAGCAAAGAACACATTTTTAGACAGTTGAACTTCGCTGCAACGTGCAAAGGTGACCATCCTTCCTCAAAGAGCTGTATGTTTGGATCTGCACCATGCTCAAGTAGCAGCTTCGTTGCTTCGATAGCGTCAGGATGAATATGCATTTTCGAAACCGTAATATGTAGAGCAGTAGATCCCAATCCATCTTGCGCATTAACGTCTATTTCTTTCTGAGAAAGAAGGAGCTTCATGATCTCAAGGTGACAGTACTCTGCTGCCTGCAATAGAGGGCCCCCATTGTCGGTGTTGACGTTAACATTCACTCCGTATTTATTCACCAGTATATCGACCATTTCAGCATTCTGTGATCCGGCTGCCCAGCAGAGCGGTGTCATATTCGAATTGTCACTCAAATTGCAGTCTACCATTTGCGTATCCACCAACAGGTTAAACATTCGTAGGTTATTTATGCGTATCGCTAACGATAGGGCTGTTGTTCCCTCAGAGTTTTGTGCGTTTAGGTCCATGCCCTCTACATTAATCAGAACTTCAGCCACCTCATAGTGTTTGTACCTCACGGCATGTTGCAAAGCCGTTAGCCCGCCTTTTCCTTGAAAGTTGACATTCAGGCTCTTCGTTTTCATCAACGTTTGCAATGTTTCACGACTTCCCTTTGCGGCGAAGTGGAGCGGTGAATAACCGAATTTATCTGGTGAGTTCACATCCACTGCCTCTTTATCCCCCAAAGCTTCAATTGCTTGAGGGTGATTTGACAACACAGCATTGAAAAGCGGTGTTCTCCCTTCTGCATCTTTAAGATTAGGGTTCACCTCTTTGCAAACCAGCAGTGTCTTGATAACTTTATCGTGCCCGTTTCTTGCCGCCCAATTTAATGCAGACTTGCCTTCCTTATCCTGGATATCTGGCTTACAGTCACTACTTGTAAGTAGAAACTTCACCGCATCATCATGACCGTTACCAGCTGCCCAAGACAATGGAGTCCTTGAAGTATTGTCCAGATTATCCACATTTACCATTTTTGTAGAAAGTAGGAATCTCGCAGCCTCAAAATGTCCATTTTCAGCCGCTATGGACAATGGTGTTTTGCCATACTTATCTCGGGAGTCTGGTTCCACCCTTCCTGTGAACAAAAGGTTGTTCATAATGGCAATATGGCCTTGGCTTGAAGCATAGAATAAAGGCGTCCGGGAGAGGTTGTCCGCAATACCTGGGAAGGCGCCTCGCGCTTGAAGATAATCATACGAGTTCATATCCCCCCTTTCTGCAGCGAATGATATTGTGCTGCGGCCATCGCTATCTCTCCATTGTAAGGCTGCACCGTACTCTACCAGAGCTTTAACAACTGAAATCCAGCCCTGTTTGACTGCCTGGGAAAGTGCTTGTCCCCCATTTGCCCCGTCACTAATAGCGGATTCCTCGTCTAGAAGGGAAAGGGTAGATGCTAGCGAGCCATCAGTGATTGCTTTTAGAAGGAGGGCTCCCTTTTGTTCAATGATATTTGTCGTTTGGCGGCTAGGGAGATCGGAATCAACATGTAGAAGCGGATTCCGCTTTGTATCCAGCTTTGACTGTAGGGTTGCTATTTCTGCTGCTAGCTTTGGTAACATTTCCTTGAACTTCGAATAAATAATTTCATTTATAGCAAGACCATATGAGTTGACTGCATCAGCAAGTGTTTGAGAATTCTCTTTTACCGTCGACTCTTGGTTCTCCTTTCCTTTGGAGTTGTCTTTAAATTTCGCTATTCCCTCTGCCCGAGGGCTGTCTGTAACCTTCAGGGGAACGTGTTCTTGTTCATGGAGAGTGTTGAGCATCCTTGTAATACCACTGAGGCAAAATTCGACTTCTCCCTTTAATAACGCTTTGCGGTAGCACTCGCATAAGGAAAGTGTGAGGAGGCGCCGGCGGTTGAGATATTCAACTTCTTTTATCCTGCCCTCATCATGATCCGAGGTATTTTTAAGCTGTTGGCTGTGCAGTAGGGCCCACGATAGCAGCTTTTCAGTCTCCAGCCACAAACCGTCCTTGACGTACGTTTCCGCCGTTTTCTCGGTATTAGTTAAAACTTCTAGGATCGAGGGAAGGTTTCCCTTGGTAATAAAGGCAGGAAGGGTACAGATTAAAAAGTCGCGATCATTTCCCAGCCCACTTCTAATGAAGGCGTCTTGAATTTGGGAGAGGTTTGAATTGACAAGTGTCAGGTCACCAGAGCTCCGAACATCTGTTCTTCCACCTATATTCTTAATGATATGCACCATCGAAGCGAAATATATGGAGTATATTTCTTGGGCACACATCGCTGGCAAGCTTGCCATGTGTGATGTGATTCCTAGAACCGTGGTCCGTTTCGAATGGTACTCGGAAGGAACATTATGCCGGCCGAATAGCGGACGTGTCTGTTGGCTTAGGTCGACTTCAGTTTCTTCAATGCCAAAGTTTCCGCCATTGCTCCAGAGGTTAAAGCTGGAGGTGAAATCTGTCCCAGCGGAATGTTGTGCCTTCATAGCAAGTATGCGTTTAAAAGATGTATCGGTTTTTGTGTTCAGATGTCGAAGTGACCACAGCCATAAACCAAGAACAGCCTCCAACTCCACGATATCGGTGCACCACGTAGATATACCACGGCCGTCCTCGCCGACTTCACGTTTTAGTGACATGTAAATATTCCCACTGGTATCAGTACCCTTTTCTTCTTCTTCCAGTTTACACGGGACCGCCCAAAACAAAGTAAAAGCTGAGCGCCACCCCTCCTTCCAACTGGCGTCGGTAGTATCTAATATGTGCATCGTGGACGCAATAGCCTGAGCTAACCTTTGCGCAACCACCCGCACAGGGACAAGCTTCTCATCCCAATCACACGCCATATGATGTAACCGGGCTCCATACATAAAGGCTCTGGCCAGCTTATCTGGTGTCTTATCCGCCGAGGAGTTTGACTGCTCAGTAACACGCCATCTATCTGGTGCAGATCGGAGATGAGAAGCCCATTTCTCAGGTATAGCCGCACCAGAATCCCACCAATCTTCGGGGGTCTGGCATTGTCTCTGTATGGCTTGTGATTCTCCAGATTCGCTATTCTCCAATCGAAAGCCAGATAATATGCAATTACCACCATGGTGAACAGAGGTCCGTATGAAATATATATTTTCAGTTGAATAGAGCCCTTTCTCTGCGTTGGTCGGATTAGAAAGCTTCCAGCATACTTCTGAGAGACGTACAGCTGCGTATTGGCAAGGTGAAACAGTCAATCTCGATCCAAACTTATCCAGTCTATGTGCTTTATTCCCTGACTGCGGCCCAGTAATGAGTTCAAGGGCAAGCCAGTCCAGCTCATGCCCCTTATATAAGTCAGGGGAATCCACAAGGTAAACTTCTTCATCGCTTAATCGATTCGCACGAAGCATTGAGCGTACTACGCTCATGACTAGCGTTACTCCTAGCTGAGCGACTGCTACTGACGAGTGGCAAGCCCTGAGGCCAAGGAATTGTAATAAAAATCCGAGAGATGTGCAGCTGATCGCAACCCATACTCCTACCCCGTTGTATTTGCCCTTTCCCGTCTTCCAGGAGGTGATATACCGGGTGAACTCACCCTCTGAGTGCGTGTATGCAAACGAGTCAAATGCCTGGTCCCCAACAAACTGAGTGCCCGGCTGAACCCAGTACAGTCGGGATGCGCTTGCTCCATTCTCCTTAGGGTTCCTTTCGAAAACCCGTTCCTTGGTGCTGCTTTCAATCAAATTTGCGCAAAGCCCTGTTCCAAAGCATAGAAGAAAGGTGCCAATAACAGCCAATGGAATGGCATAGGTGTCTTGCAAGTCTCGTTTCACGTCGTTAAACTTATATCTAGCAATTGCAGCCCAGACGAGAACACCGGATTGCAGCAGGGCACCAAGTATAGCAGCGGCTGTAAACCAGTGTCTTGAGCCTTGTTTTATCCCTACGTTTAGGGAAAGATTTGGGTTTATCGCAAAGCGTGGATCTTTCGTGTCGTTATCATCCAGTGAGGACTCATTTTCTTCATCGCCTGGGCGCTTGTCCACTTCTCTCCATTCCTGGTTATCTTTCTTTAAATAATCTTTAAATAAATAGATTCCAGCCACAGCATGAGAATCAGGGTGCTCCGGATAAAAGTCTTCGATTGTAGCATTCGGATCATGCACAATTTCCAGAAGCTTGGGGCGCCCAAAAACACGGGCAATGCCTCCATTGTTATAGAGCTCACAAACTTCTCGACTTGTAGATGAGCAAAGCTCTGCTTCAGCGTTGCCAGCTCCCTCCTGGGCTCGCCCGATGAATGCTCTAAGGGACGGTGTTCCACAGACCCGGATTGCTGACACGACAGTTGTGATAATACCTAGAGGTGCCATCGAAAAGATGATTATGTCCGTCTTGGTCAAGCATTCGCTCAGGTATTGTTTCGTAGGCGCCTCTCCAAAGAGGGAGATGAGCGGAGCCAAATCGGTAGCAAGATTGTTTGAGAACTCGTTCCACCAGTCGGCCGCCATTTTTCAAAGCGACCGGATTTCCGGTAGACACTCTGTGTATACCAAAGTGAACAACTCTTCGCCTGGGAATTCATTTCGAACTGTTTTGGGGGGGTGCAGGGAGAGCAGTTATTTAGCCGCCCAGCGGTTGACATGGCCATGTCGATGTTCCAACAAGGGCCAATTGTAGTGTTCGCTGCCGGGTTAGATGTAGCCCAGTTCGAAATTTAGCAGGGATCCTGCTCCTGTTCACCAGCCAGTTAACTAGTCCGCTAACTCGTTAACTAGTGTCAAAACGGCTGAGCCACAAGAGTATGACTAGTGGTTAGCAGGTTAAAGCTGTATTTTGGCACACATCCACAACTCGTTAGCAATAGTAAGATAGGCTACTCAAAATGATCATATTTGTTGTTAACATTTGCTTCGGTTTAGTACGGAGTAGGCGGCCCGTAACTAGTTAGTTATAGGTATTTAGCTTTGTGCCTGAGCCGTGTGGTGGCTTGGCACAGAACATGCGTCAGTCGGACTTATCGGAGAGAGACCAGGGCAAACACCATAATCGTCATTTCATCCCTGCGGTAGAGCCAACAGGAACAATAAGATACACTTAGAAGGAAGATCAGGTTAGGAAAACAGCCCGCGCTGCGGACCAGGATTATTCTTCTTTCTGGATTTTCCTTTCCCACTCCTCCCACGACATAAATTCGCGCCCTTGTGTCACTGCGTTGGAGTTATACTCATCGAATTTCTTCCACTCCCTCCATGGAACATTTAACTCCCCAACCGGTCTCCCTAGCTCTTGTGCTAGTTTTTGATACTTCTCAGCTTCGCTTGGTGGAATCGGTACTCCCTCAGGTGGGTGATCATCTAATTCCTTAGACATGGGTCCCATCGGTGGTTTCAGTATTCCGGCTGCAATAAGCCTCTCTGTTTCGTCCATATACTTGGTCTGTTTCTCAATTTCAGCCCAAAATCTAGGCTCCAAGTTCTTCTGAAGCCACTTTGCGTCTTCTGGGTGCTCCTGGATATGTTTGAGCTCTTTGTTTGAAAAACCCATTTCCTGGTGAAGGAACGACTTAACGGATTCGCAGAAGGTCCATTCCTTCTGACTTTTAGGAGGCGGACCAGAAAATGGATAGTACTTTCGGAGTATGTGTTGTACCTTAGAGGCTTGAGCTAACCCCGGTTTGCTTTCACTAGTTGTATCACTGATGTTAGACAATTGATTCGAACGGGGGAGAATTCAAAAGGGAGGGGTAATTGTACAGAGACTGCCCTGTCCACTCATATGATAGAATAGGCACATCTGTATCGTCGGACGCTTCGCCATAGTCGATGAGAAAGTAGCATCGGCGGTTGTCAAAAGCAAAATCAGTACCATGGCAATTCCATCTATGCTTTCTAGGTTCCCAGTCACAGTTCCAATGCTTCTGGCACATTCTGTTTAACATGAAGTTACGCTTATCATAGTATCCTTTTCCGGGAATAAGATGAGTGAATGTCTGCACTAGGATACGTACTGGACCAGCCAGCTCCGTAGCTAAGTCATCCGAGCTATCCCTATTCGGTTCCATGGCTGGAAGACAGTCGGTCGAACCCCAGTAACTGGTAGATACGCGAAAGATAATCAGAAAGAGAAGCACAGGCTGGAGGCAGAGAGACAGGAGTGAGAGAAGAGAAGGTATCTGTTTTAATCTCTGGGGTGACTTGCTGGCCAGCGCTTAGGCGCCTAAGTCCTTTCATGCCCTCGGCCCTGACTGTGTCACATCGGCGCTTAAGTGACGGAAATTTAAAAGTGGAGCTTCCCGGATCTGCGATTAACAGGTATCCAAACTCAATAACCCTAAATATAGAGTTAAGAAGTCAGCGTCTAAGAACCTAGAGCTTGCTGGCAACAATGCTATACCAACGGCGCAAAGTCCCAATCCAACAGTTCTCAAAATAGATTTACATACTCCGTACCATACATATACGCAACCAGCTCTGCTATGCGGGAAACCATAGCCTATAAAAATTTTTCCGTTCTAGGATCTATCAAATAGCCAAGTACTGCTTAATAGAAAGCCATGCTCTGTAGTTTATAAGTGAATGCCCGAAATGTATTAGGAAATTTTGTCTCATTCATATCAACGCCTATGGAAATAGGTAAGTTTAATTGTTCTTAAAAAGCGAAGATAAATTTTACGCGCTGAGTTGTTGAGCATAATCAAGACTATTATTGTATGGCGCCTAATTCACCCCCCTAACCGGTGGTGTTTCAAAACAACCCGATCATTGACTATTTTTGAGACCAGTCTTTTTACCTATTGCTGGCGAATGAATAATATCTATAAAAAGAAGATTACACAAACGGAACTGAATTTATTTAAAGCGCTATAGTATAGTTACTCTAGCGAGGCAGGGCTACGTAGATGCCAACATTATTTCACCCTTTATAATTAAACTGCAAGAAAGGCACATTTGGAAGACCCCTATGCACTTTTTTCCAGTAGGCGCGTTGGAGCTGATGAGAGCAATTAAATTCCAAAAAGAAGTTGGTAAGTGCTGGTTAATTAGTACTTATATAAATGCAGTAATCATCCTGAATCCATTAGATAATAGATAATATTATCTTTAATAATTACAGAAGTCTATAACTTATTTATTAAATTACTATCCTGTAAATCTTTACTGGCCTCTGGAGTTGAGATACCGTCTATCTCTATAACCCTAAACCCTAACCCCACCTGTTCCAACAAGCCGTCTTCCTACATATGGACCCTCTGGGCGTTAGTTCCACTTCTATATTCCATCCCTTTGGCTACAATGGTATGTACGAAGCAATCTTTAATTAAGAGTCTTGAGTAAACCTGATATCACCATCATTAGGCTAGGGCAAGCTCCTCTCATTAAGGCAGGAGAAGCAGCAGTAGCAGCAGCGCTAGGAGTGAATTCAGTATTGGTCATTCCCAGAAACGATATGACCCGAACTGACCAGTTTGCCATGGAACGGGAGAGCATACTAACAGGGCTCAATAATGGCGTACGTATTATATACCTATGCCTTGGGCCCTTTGCTAACTTTGCCAGAATAAGTATAAAGTAATAAACAAGGATATAAGATTATGATGATAGAAATATAAAAATATATGTACCTCTTCTAGTTACTAGTAATTGTACGGGAAGTGGTAATAGGTATGGAAAAGGTGGCATTGACTCTATAACGCTGAAAATATAGAGGAAACCTCATTTCCGAACAAGATGTTGTGGTGATAGGGAGATCTGACATGATTTAGGAAAGGTTGAGTACAGCCTTGGGTTACCTTGAATACTAGAATCTTGAGGGCCTGGGGTATCTATAATATAACAGCACAGAGAACACTTTAATCCTTACTGCTGCAACTTAGAAAGTTTTTAGGAGTACCTAAACCCGTGAACTATTAACTCTTCAACAGGAAAAATATAAACAGCAGGCAGCTATAAATACCCTTTTTGACCCTGTTTCTATATATATCTTGTTTGCTAAATCATCTAAAATAGTATCAATTTCTTGTTAATTCCCTATTACATTATATCTCCTTCTGGTGGCCCCGAGAATAGGATTCGGTGTCATTTCCTTTAAATTGTTCATTGATATCTTGGAGACGGCAGCTTATAACAGTAGATTTGGTCAAGTGAGGTTTGTTCAAATACTTACTAATCTCCAACTTATTGGCCAGTTAGAAACAAGATAGGAGAGAGATAAAATGGCACCCAAATTATGGAAATGCTCTATTGATATGCAGATATGCCTTGTCCGGGCTGGCTGAACTTAGATAATAAATTGAGTAAGAGTATTCCGGGAGTTGATTCCGCGGAAGTACACCGATATCGTACCTCGTAGACATCGCGACGAAGTGTCAATGAGGAGACATCCAAGTTTATGCACAGCTAGTCGTCATTAAAATTATAACAACTCATCTCATTCTAGAATCCATTACGTATATGGAAGACCATATGCTCTATAGGCTACTATGACGAGGGCCATTCCCGCTGACCCTACTGGAGGAGGCAGGCTGCGCCCGTACAAGGGATCCTTGGCTTGTTTACGGTTCGATCAAAGTTTGGAATTGCCCCACCTCGGGACGGACGGCCCCACACACACTCTAACGACGACAGTTTGCCCCTCCCGCTTCACTAAACTTTTTGACATTATATACTTCGTCCACCACACAACAATCACGATCTTCGCACACATGAGATACATCAACAAAATGCATGAATGCCCAAAATGAGGTATTTTTATTGATTAGAAAATATTGGTCTAGAGTTCGCGCTAGGTTTGGGGTTAACCAGCTCAGACGAAGAGTGCTCAATATACATCGCAGCGGCAGATATGACAGGAAGTTAACGAGTTATACACAAGCTTGAAGCTACTGGAAAATGAGAGGTCATTGTGGGATTTTGGAAGGCATTGACATTCTGTGCAACATTGCGGACCCCTGCAACACATTGCGCCAGTCTAGGGACTTAGGCTTCTATAAAAGAATGTCCAATTTTCAAGGCAACTCTTTCATCAGACTTGACGCGCCGCTATTCTGATTGAAATGACATTCTATTTCCTATTAAAGTCTCAATCACTCAGCATCAACCATGTTTGACATCTCAGGAGCGCATGCCGAGCTCGATACCATTCACCAAATTCAAAATGCGCTCGTGGAGCGTCTTAAACAGGAGCGCGCCAAGGGGCCACGCGCTATATCGGCCGCTGTGGACAATGGCATGACTTACCTCTTTAATCTCGCTGTATTCGTGCATACGAATTTCAATTCTCAGGTAGGGTCTGTAGGTCCCACACCACCAAGCAAGGCTCTCTTCCAAAATGTGAGGGCAAGTTTCCAGCAAGTCCAACAAACTACAATGGGGACCCTAGATGACTTATCCCGCATTCAAGCAGAGGTAGGAAGACTGTGATTCTACTATGGATATGGTGGTTTGCAGCTGACCTTCAAAGAGTGTTGACCTAAGCTCTACCCGAGTTGCCAAATTATTAGCAAAAGTTCAGGAAGCCAAAAAGTCCACTGAAATAACTCTCAAGGACCTTGGCGCAAGGATTGAGGAGGCGTCAAAACAGGAGCAGACCTGGGAGGCGCAAGTGAAACAGAATGAGGAGCTGCTCCAAACCGCTGAAGAAAAGCTCAGAAGCGACGAAGAAGCTCAAAGGGATACAAACATTGGGGTATGTAGCACGGTTTAGTGTTCTGCGTGCATGTCATCTTTCATTCTGATTACTGATCACCGCTGTGATTATAGCTTAGTATCCTTATACCGTTTTGGGGAATAGCTGGTTTGATTGACCATAGAGCAGCACCAGGGAATGTCCTGCTCGCCTCTGCAGTCGGCGCCCAGAAACAGGCGTTACAAGATGCAGATAACTCTTTGATGTCCACGAGGAACTACCTGATCCAAACCCAGAAGGAAGAAGCGGACTACAGAAACGAAACAGCACAACTAGATGTTCTTACGGCACAGCTTCAAAACATGACATCTTCTATTACTGTGACTGCAGGCAACATCAATGACATGGTTCAAGCTACCGGCAAGATGAAGGAAAATGCCGCTCAAATGGTGCAACTGGCGAACAAAATGTACAACGACGCAACTATTGCGTCAGGGGACGCGTTCTTCCGGGACGAATTTGTTAACCCGATACTTGATCTCTGCTCTTTGGTAGTTATCGAGTTCAATGCTGCCCCTAAGATTGACACGATCCTTGACGAGCTGAAAAACGCTTATGGTGAAAACCCTATCCCCCAATCTATCAATCAGAAGTTTGAAGACATCAGGGCACGCGTCAAGCGGTTTCTCCCCCCTACTCGAAAGTAGCTAGGATGAAGTTGTTGATTCCAATATCAATTTGTGCTTCTGACGTTGTTTTCTCTGCCTGCTCGCCTTAGATCATGTTGCGTATTCTATTTCCCCGCAAGCAGTAGCATTATCCCCATAAAAAATTGACTCCACGAGAAGCTGTTTATTCCCAGTGGGTACCACGATAGACTAGTCAAAGATGACGTGAAGCGGGGTTCCCCTAAGTTTGAATGCAACAGGGGTATTCTGTATTTTGTACATGGTTCGTTGCCAGCAACCTTGGATGGGGCAATCCTATGCACCATCGAAGCTGAAGCCTTTCCAGCCAACAAGACTTTCAGCTCCAAGGTTTGTCTGTGGTACAGGATCCCAACGTGGCGTCCAGTATAGTCTCCAAAAACAACCTCATGGAGGGTTGTAATGCACGCAATTTACATGTGGTTCAACCTCCGCCTTTGGACCCATGTTTTCCGAACGGCAGCGGGTCTAATATCCCTTGTTAAACCTTCTCAGCTCCTGCAAGGTGGGTAACATCTCAATTTTGAGACTCATCTCCAGGCGGATATCAAATGTAGGGCGATATGTCGCTTCCCCGAAATGGTAGGTGATTCCATCATGATATGCAACGCGGTAACAAAGCCCAACACAACCGGACGTTTCCCAGAATTACTTACCCCTCGATGTGATATTAAAGGGGTCTGCCAGTCGCCTGGTGTAAGGGCTTTCCATCGCCCCAGCCAGGACATCTCGTTAAACACCCCCATCGTATTTTCATGAACGTTGTTACCCTTCAAAAGAAAATGGCAGACAACCAAGAGCATGTTGCCAATGCCGTCCAAATTCAAAAAACAATGGACTATGGCTCGGGGCCAGGAGACCTCCCTGGCATGGCTGACATAGCGGTCGCCCAGATCAAGGCCTCAGCTATGTTTGCGCACCCGTGGCAGCAGCTTCTCGGTTCCGCCCCTGTTGCTATCAACTCTACCGGATTGGCCTTCGTTGCTGCTACATCTGACACCGCAGCGACAATCGAGCTTGACCCCCCAAAAGGCGGTTTCCAGTATCTCCAGTAAGTAAAATTCCCCTGAAGGTTAGGAAGCTGCACAAGTTGACCGTCCTACTATCCAGCTATAAGTCCCTCCGTGCCAATCTCACTGAATGCGGTGACATGGGAACGAAGGCCTTCCTCGCCGCTGATGGCGGAATGCTGTATATCCACAGTGTTGCTTCCATGATTCCTGATAGGGTATGTTATAGTCTGCTATTTAGTTTGGATATACAAACGGGCTAACGTGCCTTTCAGGTAAATGGTATCATGGAAATCATAATCGATCCCATTAGCGCTCAGAGAATGCTCAAAGGAGCTCTCCTGAGCATTAAAAAGAGCGCTGATGACTGCTACGACAGGGCCAAGACGATTGACAAAGGATTCAATGACTGGATGCTGTACGCGACGGAGTTGTATGCTTGCTGCGTGCAAAAAGAATCGACTGCCGAGGAGCAACTGTCAAAAACGAAACTCCAGATGCTGGCAGCGCAAAACATTTTAAAAACTGATGAGGTCAATGTCAAGAATCAGAAAGAGGCAACACGGACGTTCAAGAAGCAACTTCAAATGGCGTCAAGCGTTTACAAGAAAGCTTCCGATGACTTCCCAAGTGGGTGAGTGTCATATGCAGGCCTTTCATATATACCTACCATGAGCCCCGAGAATTCCTTTTGGTATCAATGGATTGAACAAATATGCCGTCTGCTGGTGCAGTCGCCGCTGGTACTTCTTATCTCTTAGATTTGGATCTATGCGCTCTCGTGTTTGTTCATATCAAAAGGGGAGTTTCTTTACCCAACCCATTGATACAAGGAAACTCAAGGCTTATGGTAGGCTTGCCCAAGATCTTAGCAAACAGCTGACACAATTCAACGAGATAGGTGGGATCTTGTGGGCCAGGAAATAGTTGGTAAGCTCGGAGATACCGTTATCACTGCCCTTGGCCAGTTGGCCACAGCATACACGGAAAACATGAACTATACTGCTCGAGCAGAGGAGGCAGAGAAGATGTTCAAGGATTTCAACAAGAAGGGCGGAAATGACAATGGGAGCGGGAATACGCCTCTCCCAACCCCTGAACCAAAAGCAAAGGTTCCCCTGCCTCAGGATAGCACTGACCCTGCCTATGTGCAAATTAAGCCAGCAATCGTTTATCTCCGTGTGCTATATTCCATCCTATTCAAGGGACAGGGAGGTGGTATCAATTGGGACGAAGTTTCCACGACTACTGGCTCGGGATCAAAATCACTCTTGTACACTCTGCAGATGCTCAAGAATGCTCGTGATCAATTCATCGAAGTGGCCACCGACAAGGATCCAAGCGTCAAGTTCAAGAGTGTCCTTCAAACTTCTATTCAGGTGAGGGTTAAGCAGTGACCAAGCTTCTCACGTCATCGTTCACTTGCTAATAACGGGCCGTCATATTAGATCGCTACCGAGGTTTACAACCTCGGTGGGAAGGGTAGTATGAAAGATCTCCCGGGCCCGGAGGACGAGAAGGTCAAGAAGTGGCAGCAAGATTTTAACCCTGCATACAACGATGCAAATGAGTTGTTTGCGGTGTCCAAAGCCCTTCCTGGCTCAACAGGCACCGTATGAATTCCCGCTCTTCTACTTGCAAGAAAAATATCTGATCGAGTTGATAGGAGACAATTATGGCCAACCCCAACAAGCAAAAAACTCAGGACCCAGAGATGGCACAAGGCCAGGCGGTGCTCGAGGCCGCCAAAGATCGATTGCACACGACCCAGCAAGCCTATACTTCATCGTTGAAAGCTTACCAGGATGCCACGAAAGCACTCACAAAAGACCAGAGCGATCTGGCAGCGGCACAAAACAGGCTGCTGGAGCTTAACACTGATGAAAAGAACCTTGTACGCCTGCCTATCAACCACCATCGCCAGTCAGTTGGCTAACACGTACGTTATAGACAGCCATAAAGACCATCCTTGAGGCGTCCATCCGTCTCATCGCCGTCGTCAAAACCAGAGTTATGGACCTGGTTACGTTTTTCAACTCGATCAGTTTGACCATCGAAGTGATCGTTGAAGAGGTTGTGGAGGACTTCTTGAGGAAAATCCAGGAGAATGTGGCCAACAACGACCCAGATGGCGAGTTGGACGACCTGAAGGTCGGCAATTACAACTTCACAGACCTGGCCCGCACTGTAAGTCTGATGGCTTGCCTTGAAGAACAAGCGGAATAATATGCCTGACAAATGATACTAGCAAATCTACAAGAGCGCCATCTTCATGCGAGCATATTTCGAGGTATTTGGCGAGGTCGCCAAGATGTGGTCGGACTTATCTGTCCAAAGTATCATGCCAGGAATCCAACTCCTGAACAGTATCAGCTCTGGTATCGCGGGACAGTTGGGCAAAGATCCGAAAGAGTCCAGAGACCAGGTTAGGAACAGCGTTAGTCAACTGAACAAGTGGTTCACAGATGCAAAAGCCAATATTGAGAATCTCGCCGGAACTGTAAGTGTTCCTATCTAGCCGCTATCCCTAGCATATATAATCATGAATCATCCACACTAACCCCCTCTCTAGGAGCAAAAGAAGATCCTCGAGCAGATGGATACTCGCATTCAAAAGATCGCGGAGGATACCACGAAGTTGCCACCTCCAACAGAGACAACTGCAAAGGCTATCAATGCTGGTGCAGCTAAGGTCACGGATGCGGCAAAAAATGCAATTGAATTCAATGCGGATAAGAACCCCATGGCTGTTTGGGTAAAGAAGTAGTCCTAGGAGGCTGGAAAGGCAGTGATTTCCTTTTTATTGGTATCACCAAGGGTTAAATTCTCTAGCCAGTTACGCAACGGTGTGGCTATCGACTTATAACAGGCTCAAATTTGCTGAGAATTCCGTGTAGCTAACACTGCAATGTGTAGCTAACACTGCAATGACAAGTAAACATATTCGTCAAAAGAAATTGACCAGGAGACTTGGCACGAAAATTCGAGTATAAGCTTCATTCGCCTTGGGCACTGGGATCTTGAAGACATGGGGTATAAATAGTAAACCAGCATAAAAAATGCTTTAGTTAGTGGGTGCCATGGCTTCGAAAATTGTCGGGAAGAAGACCGTTGAAATATTATAGACCCTCGTCACTCAGTGGGAAGAGAATAAATGGCAGGCGCATATACATATTTTCTTAGGTCTTATTCCCCTCACATGTCTTGTTTGCAAGATCAGTTAAAATGGTATCAATTTCCTGTTCATTATCCATAAGTTCAAGGCTCTTTTCGGCGAATATATCACGGTAATCCTCCAGTGTTTGCTGCTCAGAATTGTAGGAATAAAAGCGCACGTAGCTGCCTACGGCACATATACCGTAGAGTATCCCCGAGTAATCTTGCTCTACATGCACTACTTTCAGATATTCAAGTAGCTGGTCGGCAACGTCGTCCCAGGACAATCCATTAATAAAGACTACCCTCTTGGAGAAGACGTTATTCACGCCAATTCTGACGCTTAAAATTGTAATATCGACTCGGTTTCTGGTGACTTCCGTCAGTGGCCGCTGTTCCAGCTCTAATCCACACAACCTATCCTGCGTAAAATAGAGTGGTAGGACATGAACCCAGAAGTTGTTGCTTGCAGCCCCTTGTGAATTGGGGTTTTTTATTGCCAAGTAGTAAAATTGAGGAACAGGCTTGCTTAAGTACTGGGAGGCCGTTAGCAAATAGATATATAATAGGTTAAAGAGTATCAACTCACGTATGACATTATTATGTATAAAAGAGCAACGCGCTTGGCCTGATGTTGTTGATGCTTTCAAGCTTCGGATGTCGTCCCTGCCAAGACAGTATTGATTATGTAACAGTGAACACGGCTCCCGTATTATAGTTACTCCGTTTCCGAACAACATGCGACAGATGCACGGGCCACATCATGACTAGAACCTAAATCCATTTCCCTCCATGATGTTTCATTGAGTACTCCGTACGGAGGACTTAGATACGACTCCAGGATACCCTCAGATCCGTTCTATTTGCTACCCATTGTCTAGGGCAGATGGCTGCTGCTTCTTATCACCCTCAGGCTTGCCTATAATTCTTAACTTTGTCCTCCAACCGGCTGCTACCATCCATTCTCAGGATAGACACATACTCACCCGCGCACTCCTGGCTTCGGTAGCCATCAGCTCTATCACTGCAATGCAGCACAACTGTTCTAGCTTGTTGAAAGTACTAAAATGCATATTTCTATAATTATACCCATGAGACCGACGCGCATCCAGCGGTAGTTCGGACCGGCATATTGACTGATGATTTGGAGACCCAAGCCTTTTGTGGGGCATGCTGCCAAATGGGAGGGCCCCAAAAAGCCTGTTATGCAATCCTTTCCTTGGTAGTTTATTGGCTATGGCAAGGGCTTCGGGCTGCATCCATTCGCGGCACTTTGGAGTTTTCCGGGGCTAAGATATAAATTTCAACCCAGATTTCAGGGTTCAGGCGGGTCCCTATATCTCCCTGTAGAACCCGGGGTATTTCCATCAGTAAATAACTCCGTGCACACCAAGGATACCTTGATCTCATTGGAAGTTTGGCGCTTGTCAGAGTCGGTCTTAGCAATGAAGCTATTTCCGCAAATATCTTGTTATCTCCGGATGGTTATCTCCGTTACCCTACAAGGGCTTCAATACTCAATGGATTGGAGTCCAGTAACTCCGGTGCAGCAGGTATGGAGATCTACATATTATATTGTACAGTTCTTCTGGATGGTGGAGGTAAAACCCACGTCTCAATTGCATTTCACCTCATGCGCAATTTCCCACCATGGGCGCAGCAGAGACCGCAATGGACACTCGCCCGGTAGAGTTGTGTTCAAGCACGAAGGATGCTGTCGCCCCGGAAGCGCCGTTAGAGCTTGACAACACAAACATTGAGGCAGTGCCGGTCTCCCAAAAGGCTGAACTACTGCTGGTCGACTGGGATGGACCGGACGATCCCCAGAACCCACTCAACTGGACAAAGACTAAAAAGTGGCTGAACATCATTCTTGTAGCGTACATTACGTTTGTCACGTAAGTTAAGCTGCCCCAGGCTGACCCTCATGTGTATGCACAGCTAAGTCTATTTGCAGTTCTTATGGATCAACTATTCTCGCGCCTGGAGTTCCAGCACTTCTACAAGAATTTGGAGTCACTAATAATTCACTGGCTTCTTTCGTCGTTTCGATCTATATCCTCGGCTTCTGTGTTGGCCCCTTGTTCCTGGCGCCACTTAGTGAGCTCTACGGGCGTCTGCCCATCATACAGCTTTCGAATGTCTTCTTTCTCGTCTTCTCGATTGCTTGTGCAGTGAGTACTAACATCGGGATGTTTATCTTTTTCCGTTTAATGCAAGGGATCTCTGCCTGTCCTCCGCTGACTCTCGGCGGAGGACTGATTTCTGATCTTATGGTTCCCACAGAGCGTGGAAGGGCCCTGAGTATTTGGGCAATGGGACCTTTACTTGGGCCCGTTATCGGCCCTGTTATAGGGGGATACATGAATGAAACAATCGGATGGCGTTGGACATTTTGGTTTACAGCAATTATGGTACGTGAAAAGCTTTAAAACCCTCAATGCTATAACTATCCTAACTAACTGACTTCAAGACTGGTGTTTCAATATTAGCATCAGTCGCAATTTTAAGAGAAACGTATGCGCCTACCCTCCTCGCAAGGAAATGTGCATGTCTTCGCAAACAAACGGGAAATCCAGAATATAAGTCAAAGTTCGATAAAGGTCTTTCCGCAGGCTATCTCTTCAAACAGGCAATCATTCGTCCAACTAAAATGCTGATACTATCGCCGATTGTCTTGGTCCTTGCGATCCATATGTCAATCATTTACAGCTACTTATATTTCATGTTCACGACCTTTACCTTCGTCTTCAAGGATCACTATAATTTTAACTCCGGAGAGGCAGGTCTTGCATACCTGGGTCTAGGAACCGGTTTTGTTGTTGGTCAATTCAGCGTTGGATACTCTTCTGACCTGTATGTTAGGAAGAAGTCGAATATGACAGGCGTGATGAAGCCTGAATACCGCCTCCCACCCCTGGTGATCAGCGCATTCCTTATCCCCATCGGCCTTATCTGGTATGGCTGGACAGCTGAGAAGCAGGTACACTGGATAGTACCTATCATTGGTACAGCCTTTATTGGCATTGGTACTATGTGTGCATTCCTGCCAATACAGATATACCTTATTGATACGTTCGGTATCTACGCTGCTAGCGCGCTTGCAACTAATACAGTCGTCAGGTCGTTATTTGGAGCAGTCTTGCCGCTCGCTGGGCCGCCTCTGTTTAAAAGGCTTGGACTTGGCTGGGGGAATAGCCTGTTAGCATTCATCGCTTTGTCTCTGTCGCCTGCCGCGTTCTTTTTACTTAAGTACGGGGAGTACATCCGGACGCACCCAAAGTTCCAAGTTAAGCTCTGACTTTAATTAATTATGTGCTACTAATCGTTTTATACTTATATCCGATAATAAAAAGAGCCTAGAATAACGAAATATAATTCATATATCTGCTATGAAAAGTCTGATATAGTTAATCCTGTGATTTGAGCATTCCCCAGACTGATTGATTGACGTGAGTAACCAACACCAGGCCAGACGCTACGAGTATACGAACCCAACGAGCTCCTCGTACGCCCTGTCCAAATCATCATTGACAATAACCTTATCGAAAAACCCCGGAAAATCCACATACCCAAGCTCGACACTCGCCTTATTCAACCTCCTCCGTATATCTACTTCACTTTCCGTCCCACGTTCCCTGAGCCGACTCTCCAGCACCTCAAGGCTAGGAGGTTGAATGAAAACATACCGCGCATCAATACTAGAATCGGCCTTTATCCGCTCAACTCCCTTCACATCTATCTCAAGTATAACGACGTACCCCTTCCCCGCTAGGTCCGAGATAGTCCGCTTACTGGTCCCGTAACTCTGGCCGTTGAAGGTTGTGTGTTCCACGAAACCGTTCTGTGAGATGAGAGACGCGAACTGCTCTGGTTGTACGAAGAAGTAGTTTATCCCTTCGACTTCGTTGGCTCGTGGTTTCCGGGTTGTGTGGGACACGCTGAGGGCGAAGGAGTCTGGATGGGAAGAGACTAGCTTTTGGCAGAGTGTTCCTTTACCGACTCCGGACGGTCCGCATATTATCAGTGGTCGACGGTTAGAGGGTTGATCCTCTGGGCTTTTGTTAGGTGGTTTGGTATCACCTGGTGATGGGCTGGCTGAGGATGGCTTGCCGGCAGACATGCTGCTCCGTCTGTTGACTATGAAATTGCTATCTTGGATTTGCTACCTTGGTTGATAGGGCGGTGACGGTGCTATCACAGTATACAGTGAAGAGGTAGAGTAAAAGTGATATCATGCGACTTGGTGTAGGTTGTGCGTGAGTGACGTCGGAACCGAATGGCGGTTATTCAGTACCTGACGCTTGATCTTGCCACAACGTTGTAGCAACGCCTTTACACATACATGTAGCTATTTACATGTACATTAACCAGACGTTGCTGATGCCAGACACCAGAGAAACAATTGATAGAGTCAAGATGCAGCATCTCAAACGACTCGCGATAAAACCTTCATCCCTGCAAGAAAACCTGCAGCTCGCGTTTATGCTCACGTGCCCCATGGAAAAAAAATCGCACATTCAGCCTTTTCAATATAAAAATCTCCACGGACATAAAACAATTCATGCCAACTACGGTTTACACCCGCCATCAGCATCTCTAGTACGTAGTTATAGCCTAGTCTGAAGCCGATAAGGCCGTCAGAGTCTACAGTGTGTGTGTCCCTGCGGCTCATTAAGCGACGAGAGCGCCAGAGCCTCCATCAAGCCTGGCTAGCTCAATCGGTAGAGCGTGTGACTCTTATTCTCTTATAGCAAGTTTATAACAGTTTGCCATCACAAGGCTGCGGGTTCGAGCCCCGCGTTGGGCTTTCTTTTTTGCTCTTTTTTTGTCTCGTAGAGCGGGTTCAGTTCGGGTGCGAGCTCGGGTTGAGGTTCAGGGGTGGAGCAGCAGCCATTTGAGAGGAAGCAATTTGATTGGATGGATGGTTGGTAGGTCTTCTTCATTCATTGATTGACGTTTGATTTTTGGTAGAGCTGAGAGAGGGAGGAGATCATTTTCTTGATTAAAAGAGATAGACAAGGAAGAGACTGAAAAAGACAAGGGGTTGAAAAAAGAATGAAGAAGAGGGATGGATATCAATTAGTAGAAAGAGAGAAAGATGATCAAATGGCTGACGTGGAGGAAGATGATAACTTCAAAAGGCTAATTTATCCTATAGCTTGGGATAATCAAGGAGGTTCATGGGTCAGTAAGAGTATAAGCAGTCAGTCGGTCGATAGAACGGTGGCCTGATTGCAATGTATCAAGACAAGACAGGGGTGGTGGTCAGTTTGAAGTAATAAAGCAGATATAGAGTAAAGATGATAGGTAGAATGTAGGAGAAGCCGAAGATAAAACGCCGAGAACACCAAGCAGGAAGTGAAGTGAAGCGACGAGAAAGCAGAGAAGAGACCCCCAAGCTAGCCGTTAGATGAAAATAAGAATCAACTCGAAATGAAGAAGAGGCGGGAGTTGGACGTAAACTCCGAATCAAAAGAAGGAAAAACCGGAAGATGCAAGCGAAGGGGAGTCAAAAACAGGTCCAATGGTGTGGTCAACAGATAAGAGGATGCATAACGACTTCATACTTCATGCAGGAGGATACGAGGGTTTTTGTGACGGGTTCGGGATGAGTTTTGATGTCGTGATTCGGCGAGAAGGTTGGTTGGGTCGATGTAAGCCACGGAGAGAAAAACAACACGGAAAGGTGGAGGGAAGGAGGCGAGGACAAGGACGCCACAGAAAGTGAAGATCGTCCCTTGGCCAGGCCGGTTTGCCATATTCTTTTGTTTTTGGCGATGGGAGGACAGAGGATACATATGGCATGCGGGTTTATATAAGCTTGGACGCGATCGACGGGCTCGTTCAAGGCCACTTGGGCAACCAAGGACAGCCTAAATCGAAACGGTGGGAGATCGATTGGGTTCGTTGAGGAAATGGGACTTGTGTGTGGATGGTTCATCGAAATTCGACGGCCGCGCAGCATCCGTAGTTCTCCACGGGCTTGAGCTCAAGCTGTTGGTATCTATAGAAAGCTGTGTTAGTATGATTTTCTTTTTTTTTCGCTCTTTTTTGTTTGATCAGGTACTCTGCTTGTGAACGGGCGGTGAGACCTACTTTTCGCTCTTCGCATGGAAGTAGATGCCACTGATGGTACCCTGGACCTGGTTGAAGCAGATGTAGTAGAACCCTTCGAAGCTGGCGCCGGAGATGGTCTTGACACGGTGGTCGGGCACAAGGAAGGCTTCCTTCCACCGCATAAAGATGTTCTCTCGCTGGGCGTAGTCCTTGAAGGTGAAGTCTGGCTGCTTGGCCAGTCGAGATAGAGGCCGCCATGCTGGGAACCGGGACCAGTGGTGCATATCGGTCTTTTCGGTGGCGCCCCAGTCCTCATGGCGAGTCTGGAAGGAGTGTTTGGTGCCAATGATCTCGCCTTCGAAGAAAGTTGTTAGAGTCGGGTGATCCGGCGTCAGGCCTGTCAGACTATCAGTAAGATGCTGTGCTTGCGCAAGTAACAATCGTAACAGTAGTAATGCCAATTGGCGAGGCGGTACCTTTGATCTTGAGGTATCCGCAGAGGTAGGATTCAGACATGTCGACATTCTTGATCTCCACGTCGACGGTGTAGATCTGCTGGTCAGACTGCTGAGTACCCGTAAACCTGCTGCCGCCTCTAAAGTACGAGGAAGAGTGGTCCGGCACGAGCTGGCCGGGTAAATCATCGTCAGTTAATTTCCATTGACCTTTTGAGGCATGTGTGACTTACTCTGGCATCGGAGTACTGAAAGCTCATGGCAGTCCGGTGAGTGGCCAGGATGTCCGGGACGGCTGGAGCAGCAGGCTCCCGCTGCTCGTCCTTGATCTCGGTGGCAGCAGAGACGCTCGTCGTGGGCGTCATCGGCTCGTCGGTCTCATCGTAGTCGTCGGTGATGGCGGTCGTGTCAGACACAGGAGAGCGCACTTCTTCGGCAGTGGCCAGGGACTCGACCACGCCAGCGCCAGCACCCATGTCGTCAGCTCCTGAGGACGGTACGGCAGAGGCAGCAGCAGCAGTAGCAGCGCTGTCACTACCCGTCGCAGGTCCGGATCCCTGAGGCTGCTCGTGCTGCTGCTGCTGCGGAGATGAAGCTTCATCGGTTGTCATAGCCGAGTCAGAACCAAGGCCCTCGGCCGTTGCAGCTGGTGAAGTCTGCGCGGTCAGCGAGCCATCGTCGGCCGCAGCGTCAATTCTTCCTTCTGCAGACTCTATCCAGGAGGTTATCCTGTCGCTATCCGGCGGGCAAGTTGGTCGTGTGGGCGCGGTCGAAGCAGCTGGGACTTGCGTATGGGCGCTGATGTCACTGTGGGTTGGCATGGAGACGGCTTTAACGGCAGGACATAGGATCGATTGGGCCGGCAGACGCAGGTAGGGAGCGCAGGCTGTGTAGCAGAGACGCAGCAACTATACAAACGCACACACACAGAGAGATGGTCAGATTGTGTATGTGTTCTGGAGTGTTGAGAATGAGCAGCAAAGGAAGACAAGGAGAAGAAGACAAGTAGTTTTGGGCGCAGGAAGGTTTCTTTTTCTTTGCTTTTGGGGTCGAGTCAACGCACTTGCAGGGCCAAGGAGGCCGTCGAGTCGAGCAGCGCAGCGCCACCGGAGCGAGCAAAGGGGGTCATGCGATCGCGGGGAAGGGAAGGGGAGGGCCAGGATGGCGAAAGGCCTCTACAGTGAGTGCTGGAGCTATATAAAGCTACTATGATACGGGGAGTTATAGACCAGGGTCGGAGGGCGAGGAAGTATAAGTATTCATTCATTAACAGCAGCTAAAAGACAGAAGATAGAGGCCGGCCGAACTCCAGACAGTGTTTTTTATTCATGTCATCACATACAACAGCAGCAAGTCCCTCTGCGCCGGGTGAATGCCTTGTTTTAAATGGGTTTGATCTAGGGGGCCGTGGTCAGTGACAGCTCATGGCTATGGTGGTGATGGTGGTGGTGACGTGGGTTGACGACAGCTTCGGGGAGACAGGGGTTGGCATGGAATATACATACCTTGAAGTGTAGGGATATTAGGGAGAAGACGAGTGCCTTCAGGTCCTGTACGAGATAGTAGAAGACTCGCAGGCCTTCTGGATCCGCCGATTCGGTGACATCGACGAGCGAGCCTATCTTCGCTGTCTGCACGCATAAGTTAGCCCCGGCAGCCCGCTAGCACTGCATTATATAATTGATGCAGCATGAAGCAGCAAAAGAAGAAGAGCGGCGCACCTCGAAGGATATGTGTTCGTTTCCCAGTCGAATCTCAAGCTCCTGTCGTCCGTCTTTGTTTTTCTGCGGCCATTTCGAGTCGTCTTCCCTATTTGATGAGCGCAGCCAGAGGGTTAGCAGTGGCGGTTGCAGCAGGCGGAAGCAGCAGCAGTCAATGCCCGACGTACTTGAGAATCTCGCTCTCTTTGATGATTCGTTTGATCTCCTGTATCAGCAGCGAGCTGACGCACACTGTAGTAGTTCTCTTCTTTAGCCCTTCTGCCCGCCGCATTCATACACATAGAGGAGCGGGAGATGTAACTAGGTATATGACGTACTTTCTTTGCGGATGAGGGAGTCATTGCGGTAGTTCGAGTTGTTCGCATAGCGGGCAGAGGCACTGCGGCCGTCTCCAAGGGACTTGAAGTCGAATTCTGCGCTCTGTCAGCCTGTATTCCCGTCTATCAAAAGAGAAGAACGCGGCTGCTCACCTAGAAACTCATGTCCGAACCGCCCAGAGTGTCCCGAGCTGGCGCCGTCAGCAGCTGGAGGGAGAACCTGGGCTCAGAGATAGGATAGTCCTTACTAGTATCGCAGATAGAAGGTCTCGTTATCGCCCGGCATCTTGACCTGCGCTCTCTCCTTCTTGTCTGCTTCTTCCTGTCTTCTTCTTCTTCTCGCTGTGTTTCTTCGTCTTCTTCTGCGCAAAAAGTCACAAGTGATGGCCATGCTTAGTCATCCACACATTTGGCGGGCCGCGCAAATACTGGCCAGAGTGGACAAAGTCGACGAGACGAAGACGACGAAGCAGAGAAACAGCAGACGCAGAAGCAGAAGAAAGGAAGAAGAAGACAGCTCGACGGCGATACGCTGAATACAGTGCCGACAAACTCCAGGACACACTTCTCTCCGCCGGCTGCAAGGCGAGGCATGCGGACGCTACTCTGATCTTCCTTGAACTCCCTGGGCCGCTTCTCACAACACCACCGAACACCCCCCTATACACTATACAACCTAGAGCTTCCACCACCAGACGCAGGACGAGGGACGAGAGGACGGCACAATGGCTTCGTATCTGGACCACTCGTACACGCTGGTGCACCAGGACAACTCGGCGGACCAGCCTACCGTCCAGGAGCTGAAGACGCAGCTGGAAAAGGGCACAGATGAGACCAAGATGGAGACCATGAGGATCATCCTCATCATGATGCTCAACGGAGACCCGATGCCACAGCTGCTCATGCACATTATCCGCTTCGTCATGCCGTCGAAATCAAAACCTCTCAAGAAACTACTCTATTTCTACTACGAAATCTGCCCCAAGCTCGACGCCAATGGCAAGCTGAAGCAGGAGATGATTCTGGTCTGGTAGGTGATGACACCTATATACTTATACTCAATCCCGTAAGTAGATGTCATTCATAAGGGCTAATGCGGTGTTATGACTATAGTAACGGCATCCGGAACGACCTGCAGCATCCCAATGAGTACATTCGAGGAAACACGCTTCGATTCCTATGCAAGCTTAGAGAGCCAGAACTACTAGAACCGCTGCTCTCCTCTGCACGCCAGTGTCTCCGCTACAGACATGCATACGTACGGAAGAACGCAGTATGGGCAATTGCTTCCATATTCCAGCACTCCGAATCCCTTATTCCGGACGCCGCAGACCTGCTGCAGACCTTCCTAGAGACAGAGACAGATCCCACATGTAAACGCAACGCTTTTGCTGCATTGATCAGCATCAGCCATGAGAGTGCCTTGGTATATCTGAGCTCGACATTTGACGGCGTAGCCAATGCGGACGAGCTGCTTCAGCTGGTCGAGCTAGAGTTCATAAGAAAGGATGCTGTGCAGAATACCCAGAACAAGGTGGGTTTGGTATTGCTCCAGTTGGCACTTAACATGTGGCTAATTTGATACATACTAATAGGCGAGATATCTTCGGTTGATTTTCGATCTTTTGGACGCAAGCACGAGCACAGTTGTATATGAGGCAGCTACCTCACTTACTGCACTGACGTCAAATCCTGTTGCTGTCAAGGCCGCAGCTGCAAAGTTGATCGAGCTATGCATCAAGGAGGCTGACAACAACGTCAAGCTCATTGTGCTAGAGCGTGTCTACCAGCTTATGAAGCGCAATGAGGGTGTTCTCGATGACCTCACCATGGAGATCCTGCGTGTTCTCTCCAGCCCTGACATCGATGTTCGACGCAAGGCCTTGTTCATTGCCCTTGAGATGGTCTCCAGCCGGAATGTCGAGGAGATCGTTCTCCTGCTTAAGAAAGAGCTTGCAAAAACTGTTGACGAACAGTATGAGAAGGTCAGACATCTCGCTATCCAATATCATAGCAAGTATCATCAGCATAACTAACGGTTACCTGCAGAACAATGAATACCGACAACTCCTCATTCAGTCCATCCATCAATGCGCCATCAAGTTCTCCGAGATTGCTGCCAGTGTCGTCGACCTTCTCATGGACTTTATTGCCGACTTCAACAACAGCTCTGCTGTTGATGTCATAAGCTTCGTCAAGGAGGTCGTTGAGAAGTTCCCTAAACTCAGACCATCCATTGTCGAGCGACTGGTTTCCACTTTGGATGAAGTCCGCGCCGGAAAAGTGTATCGTGGCGTCCTTTGGGTCGTGGGTGAATACTCGCTCGAAGCAAGTGATATCAGAGAAGCCTGGAAGCGTATACGAGCCAGCTTGGGAGAGATCCCCATCCTCGCCTCGGAGCAACGGCTGCTTGATGAAGGCCCCGATGCTGGTGAAGCGGGTCAGGACTCTGTCAATGGACACGCCAAGTCAACCACCGGGCCCAAAGTTCTGGCGGACGGTACATACGCACAGGAGTCCGCTCTAACCAGTGAATCCGCCGCTGCTGCCAAGCTAGCAGCTGTCAAGGCAGCGCAGAAGCCACCGCTCAGGCAGCTCATTCTCGATGGAGACTACTACCTTGCGACAGTCCTGTCATCGACACTGACGAAGCTTGTGATGCGCCATTCCGAGCTTTCACAGGATGTTGCTCGGACTAATGCCTTGCGCGCCGAAGCCATGTTGATCATGATTTCGATCATTCGTGTTGGCCAGTCGCATTTTGCCAAGGCGTCCATTGATGAAGACTCCGTTGACAGAATCATGTCATGCGTCCGATCATTGGCCGAGTCTGCTCAGCGGAAGGAACTTGAGTCTATTTTCCTAGAAGACACTAGACAGGCCTTCCGTGCCATGGTTCAGGTGGATGAGAAAAAGCGTGCTGCTAAGGAAGCCGTTGAGAAAGCTAAGACAGCCGTTCAAGTGGACGATGCCATACCCATTCGACAGCTAGCAAAGAAGTCTGAAGAGGGTGCAGAGGAGATCGAGCTGGACCTTGCCAAAGCCACCGGTGGCGACTCGACGCTTGAAGACCTCACCTCCAAACTCAGCAGAGTCGTGCAGCTTACCGGGTATTCCGATGCGGTTTACGCAGAGGCATACGTCAAAGTCCACCAATTCGATATTGTCCTTGATGTCCTGCTCGTCAACCAAACTACAGAAACCCTTCAGAACCTCTCCGTCGAATTCGCTACACTTGGAGACCTCAAGGTCGTTGAGCGACCTACCACCCAGAACCTCGGACCACACGATTTCCTAAATGTCCAAGCTACCATCAAGGTCTCCTCAACCGACACCGGCGTGATATTTGGCAACGTGATATATGATGGCTCAAATTCCACCGAGACCCATGTAGTTATTCTGAATGACATCAAGGCCGATATCATGGATTACATACAGCCTGCTCACTGCACTGAAACCCAGTTCCGAACAATGTGGACCGAATTCGAATGGGAGAACAAAGTTAACATCCACTCCAAGGCCAAGAGCCTGAGAGCCTTCCTCCAGCAACTCATGGACCGCACCAACATGAGCTGCCTTACTCCTGAAGCTTCCCTAGAGGGAGACTGCCAGTTCCTAAGCGCAAATCTCTACGCAAGGAGCGTCTTCGGTAAGTTTCTTCCCCATATTATCCTTATCCCCATCCCACGCCACATCGCATCATGCCATTACAAACCATCCATCCCACGCCACGCTACTTTAGGCATCCACTCCGTCGGCCCCTCAAGAACCAAAGGTTGAACTAACTCTCTTTTCACCGTAGGCGAGGACGCTCTTGCAAACTTGAGCATCGAGAAAGAAGGCGACGATGGCCCCATCACAGGCTTCATGCGAATAAGGAGTCGATCTCAAGGGTTGGCGCTTAGTTTGGGTTCTCTAAAGGGCATAAAGGCTAACTCCGTTTAATCATTCATGATAATCTGTTTTGTTCATTTTGATGCTGATGAAAAAAAGGTAGATATACTATTCTTCCTAGCCATGGGCCTATCTATATTAACCGCCCGTTTCACCGCTTGTTCTTCTGTTTCTATTCTACTTGTTCCCGTGGATGGTAATGAATTCCGTATCTTCTTCTTCTCCTTTTACCTTCTCCTTTTATCTTCTCCTTATCGATGGTATCTCTGTCCCATGCGCTTGGGCGCGTCCGTTACTTCTTCATACCTACTAAAATCTATACGAGCCCCCCTAAAAATAGGCCAAAGTTAGACCGAGATTTACGTAACATGAGGCAAAGCTTCTGGCTTCTCTGTGACACAGTTCACAAGCAAATCGAGTGCTTCGGGGACCTTACAGAAAGAGGCAAAAGGGGAACGGAAAACGCTCTATGATTAGTTTTTCTTCGTTATAATTGTAAATGTTTGCCGATGAAAATCGCTTAAGGCGATTAGGACCTTTGTCAGTAATTCCGCATCTCTATGTAATTAGTGAACTAGTTATATTTTATGACAGGAAAAGGAAACTCGTTAATGGACATTAAAAACCGTCAGTATAATTTTAAAACCTTCTGCCTCCCAGTTTCCAGCGGGCGTTTGCACAAGCTCTTCTATGTATGCTCTTCGACCTCTAGATATCCGATCGACAACAGGCTCTGGACAGGTCATGGCGGAACTGTCCATAACGCCAACCCCACACCGTATCCATTGTACGCCACATAGAAACCCATATAAGAAACACGAGTGCTGCAACACTCGCAAGACGAAAACCGATAGTGCTCTTGTCTCCTTTTCTCCGAATCACGTCTAGTAACGTCTTATTTTGGGGGATTAAAATAGGGGCTAGTATGGCCGGCATGGCTGTTTGAGTTGGCGGGTGCCATCTCGTAACTGACTTCAAATTCGGTGCGATGGATAATTTCTTCTCGCGAATCACTTCCGTTCAGCATCCTGGCTTTCCGAATATTAGCCGGAGTAGAGGCGATGACAGATGCGGTGTGTCCGTGTGGATGGTAGTTGGAAGTCCGTGATCGTGAGGTGAAGAGGGATTTGTAGGAAGCAAAGCATGACACCATCACTGCAATGGTGGCTTCCATTGAACTCCAGAAGAGGAGCCATGATGGAGGTGATAATTTAGATTTACCATCTGTTTCAATAGTGCGGAGGATGGATATGATGACGACGGCGAGTCCGAGCAAGAAGAGGCCGACCAGTCCTGTTTTCTGGGGCATGGGGAGAGAAGATTTGAGGATAAAGGCCACGGGGAGAGACACAACTGTTACCATTCATCGTTAGTGAGGGGTCGCACGCATAAGATGTGAAAATGCTGTAACTTACTAAGAACATCTGTGATTACATCAAAAACGGTGCTGACGTAGATGTCAATGGCAGATAGCTTTATCTGCCTGGGGGAGATACAGCCAACTGAGACAGAAGTTAGTGGATGGGCGCACTTGGAGATGGCATGCTGGTAAACTCACGTGCAGTAAAATTCGAGCATGCAACAGGGGGAAGAATCATGGAGAGAGCAAATCCAATAATGGTGACAACAATAATAGCTAGCCATGCCCTGCGGAAGTTGGGTAGACAGTTAAAGAGCCTCCAAAGCAAGGCAAGTAAACTGGCCTTGACGAGGTATATGCATATCCTGAAGAGAAAGTTGCTGGATAGAACCAGTTTTACCATCAGGTCAATTCTCTGTAGGAGATCTGGCTGCATGAACCCATGCTTATTCTGAAATAGATCAAGTAGCAAGTAAATCGTCGGTGTTGCCAGGGTAGCGAGAATATTATGGCCTAGTAGGAAGACATAGGCAAGACCTGCAAGTATATCATCCCAAAAAAGCTGCCGATGAACGCGTAGTCTGATCGCAAAACGTAATAGGAGTAGCAAAGTGGTGACGCCAAAAAGAGTCCAGACAGATATCTGCAAAACAGCCTAGTTAGTACGACATTCTCTGAGAGAGAAAGGTAGCCGAGTCAAGTATAAAGGTATATAGTGAAAACGTACCAGCAACGCATTGCGGCCGATTTTGCGCGCGAGTAAAACCTCTTCTACTTGCAAGGCGAGGGGAAGGCGGGTGGGCACACTCCAGTTAACAACTTCCATACTCGCAGGTATTCTTCAAGGCACATATCCAGCGACGAGGTAGTTCTCTGAACGAGTCAGGCAAGCACTCTGCAACGCCAGATGTAGATATATATGCATGACTACGAGGTGCAGGAATTTTTTGGGGAATCCCGGTCAATATAACTGACTTTATTGTAGTTTAACTATGGAAGCGCCCTGGCGTGCATCAGCAATCACCTTCAGATCCAGTTAATTAAAATGGACCAACGCTTGTGTCCCAGGCACAAGGATGGAGCTTGAAGCACCCATACCGCTGTGCGAATCATCTCGAATCTCGATTTCCAGGGGCTAGGCGCAAGGGTAGCGTATCCACTGGCTACAGTTACAGAATGAACCGTTCTTCTGTCTAGATTCTTGCTGTGGTTGGATTCCTTGCGGTGGTGGACCTGGATTGGGCCGTTGTCCGAGAAGCGGACAGCTTGCCACGGGATGACACGAGAGCCCTGTGTCACGGTAGCCTTTGAAGCTCTATGGGCAGTGGTAGTTCGCTAGGCTCTTGTCCGCCACAAGCGAAAGCCCTCTAGCTTGAGACAAGCTCGGAGTACTCCGTTTGTGCTTAGTCCCACAGTGGCGGCAAACGGCAGCTTCTCGAAGACTTGCCTAGTGGGTATCATCACATCACACAGACGAAAAAACCATCGCCAAAAGAAGGAGACCAGGTCTCCATATAGTCAACCTAACTATACGGACCAACACCGTTGCCTGTCATAGCCGAGCGTTGCTCTTCCGGTCGTTGTCGACGTTGACGTCGTTGCGATGTCGTTGATTCTCGGATTTCCTTCGGTGTCAGATCCACTTAGTCATTGCTTAGTCATCGATGCTTTCTTCTTGCTGAAACAAACAAAACCCGGCGGCTCAGAGGACGAAGATGACGACAAAAGATGGAGAGAGAGATGGAGGGGATGAGAGGGGCTGCGATGAATGGACTTGCTGGGCCAGTACGGAGCATGTAGCTTATTCCAAGTGAGAAGCCAGGATGGGCAGACGGCACCCCTAGTTACTGGCTCGTATAGAGCGGTGATGGCTGGCTAAGATTCAAATTGAATGCTATAGCGTGGCTCGCTTACAAGGATGACAAAAAGGAAGAACTGTCAAGATGGGCGGCCTAACAGCAGTGTTCGAGTACAAATATGCCGCCCATCATAATATCCAGCCCTTATACCCCGGTATCGACTTCTCAATGGACAAGTTTTGGGCTATCCTAGTCTCCTTCAGCCCTAAGGACGGCTGTCAAAATGCCATACCCCGAGTACTAGTAATATATTGATCCCGTGTTAGACACGGCGTCGTCGAACAACTTCTGGCCTAAGCTCCGGTAAAGCGGAAAGAGATGCGGAGTATTGCGGCACGGTATGCAATATGCGCTTGATGGAGTTGAATTACGGCAATCCCCAACACGGACCATACATAAGATGTCGGGATTCTTCCTAGAGAAGGCTCTCCAGAAAAAGGTGTGGATGGATGAGGTAGCAGTACAGAGTAAAAAGGTTGGATTCCCAACTCTGGCGAGACCTCTTACTTCGATTCCAAGACTGAATAGCTCCCTACGTGTTTTTCAGATAGACAGTTCTGTGATCCATACGAAGTCCTTCCATAGCAAGGCTAATACGGCAACACTTGAAGCACACTTCACGCTTGGGTTATTGTTGGCAAGATGCCAATGCGTCGATAACCACGCCCTTCACTCAAACACCAACAAACAGTCCCGCTTTTCCGACATCGTATCCCTTACTATGTCAAGGCGGCTGTTTCATGATTTACCTAGTAGAAAAACATATTAGAACACGGCTCAAGAATGCTTGGATCCTGAATACGAGGTGTCTGGAATTGTGACCGGAGGCTCAATAATATACTCGAAGAACCCTGGGTGGTTTATCTATAGCATGTAAGCTACGATGTCAAAGGGCAGCTTCTGTTGTTTGATTTATTATTGTCATTGCGTTCTCCCTATAAGCAACATTTGTAGTTTTATAATGGGCAAGTCCGCAATTGAATAACTATGTCTTCCGCACCCCTTAAAATTGACCTTCAAAGGATAAAAAACAGACCGAGTGATATACAGTAACTATAGCTGACACCGCACAAGCAACCAGGCCTTCAAAGTCCATCCACACTGTTTAATGCTTCTTGTTCAAATGATTCGCATCAACCAAAGCAAAGGAATAGACGAAAGGAAGAAATCATCATGTGACCGGTAACTTCTTCACTCTTTCCCATCGAGTAAAAAAAGCCGTAGAAGTTATCTTGTTCTTTAAATAGTCGTATCGACTTAGAAGCCAAACCCATACCGGGTTATCTTCTACTCCCAGTTCGAGGATATGGTCGCATAGGGTGTGAGGTGTAGCCATCGCTGAATGCGTAGAATCTACGGCCTCGCATGCGTAGTGACTTTCAACCTCGGCAGATGATTCGAAACGCCTGCTGACAATCGCATCGTGACACTTCGACGCAACCCCCTGAGGCCATCCCGAATATCACACATATATACATACAAGACTTTACGGAGTTACTGTTGGCTTGCGAGAAGGCTGGAACAGCCATTGACGGCTGTAGAGACCACTGTGGGCCTCATTTACGGCGCCTCCTCCACATCTTTTAATCGCCGTCGGACGCTTCGGCAATGCACCTAGCTGGACTCTGCAGAACTTAAGCCATGACATTCGGCCGCTTTTTTTCAGATTCTGCAGACGTTGGCAGACGAGAAGACGCAGAGATGGAGGCTCCTCGGGACGAAGCATCAGTTCTACCAGTTGGGGTGAATGCGTTGTTGACGTTGGCCGCAGACTCGCTCGTTATTCAAGGTAAGGATATCCCTGGCTATTACTCCCTAAATTTCTTCTATTTTGCCATATACATTGCCATATACTCTATATATCCTTGGAATTTATCAGTTTAATAACGTTTGCCTTGGTGTTGTTACAGACGATAGCCATGATAATAAATCTAGCCGAAGTTGCTGCGGCGCGGTATCTACTCCACGTATGAATCTGAACACCCAACCGAGGCGGCGAGCGGATAGCTTCTCTACAACAAAAGTCTGACTCCTCATCATCCTTCTAGGCGTTGCGCGGACGACACGATCTATTCCTTTCTTCAATATCCTTTGGGCAGACATATCGAACAACCATCTCAATATCAAGTACGCCAACCCACGGAATAAGCAAGATGTTGGCCTGGCCACGGTTTGCTACAGTATCGAACGCACGCAACTGTCTAAAGCCGAAGCATGGGTCTCCTCGCTACTGGACCTGGCATACGGAGAAGCACAGAAAAAGAAGCGAATAAAAGTGCTAGTGAACCCTTTTGGCGGAAAAGGAAACGCGTCCAAGATCTACTATAAGGAAGTCGAGCCGATATTTGAAGCAGCCAACTGTGTTATTGAGACACAGATCACCGAGTACTCTGGCCATGCCGTGGAGATTGCCGAAAAGATCGATGTTAACGCATGGGACGTCATTGCGGCTGCTTCCGGAGACGGCGTGATCTTCGAGATATTCAACGGTCTAGGCAAAAAGGAGAATGCTGGAGAGGCCCTTGCGAAGTTGGCCGTTGCACACATTCCCTGCGGCTCTGGCAACGCCATGAGCAGGAACCTCAACGGCACGGCAGGGCCGAGCATGGCTGCCCTTTGCATCATAAAGGGCCTGCGCACTCCCCTAGACCTTGTATCGATCAGCCACGGGCAGCGTCGAACCCTCTCTTTCCTCTCCCAAGCATTCGGCATCATAGCAGACTCTGATCTCGGTACTGACAACCTTCGGTGGATGGGGCCTGCTCGTTTCACATTCGGATTCTTGGTAAGGTTGTTCGGCAACACGGTATATCCATGCGATGTGGCACTCAAGGTTGAAATCGACGACAAGAAACGCATCAAAGAGCACTACAATGCCGTTGTGCAGAACAAATCAGATGCAGAGCCACGCGAAGAGATCCCAGAGTCAGGAGGTCTGCCACCTTTAAAATACGGTCTCGCAACAGATCCCATCCCAGACGATTGGATGAGAATCTCTCACGATAAGCTCGGCAACTTCTATTCAGGGAACATGGCATTCATGGCTCAGGACGCAAACTTCTTCCCTGCCTCGCTTCCAAACGATGGGTTCTTAGACGTCATTATGATTAGGGGAGATATCAGCCGATTCACTGCCGTGCAAATGCTGGGCTCCTTGGAAGATGGAGAACTTTTCGACTTGCCTGATGTGCATGCGCTAAAAATATCAGCATTCAGGATCACTCCCAGGAACCAGGAAGATGGCTACATCAGCATTGATGGCGAGCAGATCCCTTACGAACCATTCCAGGCTGAGGTTCATAAGGGCCTCGGCACAGTCATCTCCCGGTCAGGCTTGAAGTATGAAACCGGCAAGGGATCTTAGCAACACATGTCATGCCACGATATGCTTTCTCTCCGGCTCGTGCGTTTTGGATCGCTCACATCCTCTCCTATTCGCACACCTATCATCGTTACCTAGCACCGATTGTTCAGTTGTATCTATATACCCTATCACCCCATACCCCGGGCTTTACCTTTGAGGCTATGTTCGGTCTCATGTTCTTTTTTAACCTTTTGTTGCGTTGTTAGACATGGCGTTTCGGCTGAGGGACGGGATTGCCATGGCAGTATATACCTATACCCCTTACAACATGGGCTGTCAAATGGGAGTTGCCTCATCCCGTCCAAGGCCCGCGGGGAGTATATTTTTGGCTTTCCTTTTGAGTATTATCCGGTAGTTGAGAGGTAGTTATTTGAATACATTGAGTATCCTCATATGTTCTGAATGAGTAATCAATCCACATATTATCTAGATGTTTGATATCTCTTGATTCTAATTTGGTCAAATCATCCATACTCCAATTAATAACACTTCATATGTAATTACCGCCGGCTATTTGACGGTACAACCAATTTTGAACAGCTAAATAAGGGTTTCCTTCAAATTGTCTGCATACGCCGCAAACGCCTCAACACTATATATGATATGTACTTACTGCATATTATCTACATGACAACGAACCCATACAACGAATAAAATAGATAATTAAAACATTTCGACAGGGAGGAGATTTCTCAGCCCGCCAAAAGAAGAAGAAAAACAAAGAAGAATAAAGATATTTACTTTGCTGGAGAAAGATGGCCAGGAAAGGACAAGGGAAAGGGGGAAAGCTCAGTTTACTACTCCACGAAGATGAGGTGTGTTGTATGCTTGCTGGTGTGAATGCAGTAGGAGTACGTAGGTAAGGTACCAGCCACGTTCGGGCAGGGGGAGTATCGGACGAAAGGATGAAGGGGCTGAAGAGACAGGGTAAGAGGGATATGGATATGGGTGAGGAATGGGATGTATACGTACGTATGAGAAACTGCAAGAAGGTGTAGAAAGGGACGAGGACAAATTATGGGACGAAAACAAGGGACGAAAAGAAATATGACGTGAGGCGTTAATTTGATGGATGGTTGGACGGATGGATGGTTGCTTGAATTATAGAACAGAGTATTAAGGCCGTATAGGCGATATGGGGGGAACAGAGCAAGAGATTGGACGCGATTAACATATAAGACACAGACAGGGAAAAGGGGGGAAAGCAGATGAAGGGGAGGAAAAACAGAAGGCCCACCGATGGTTGAGATGTGCTCTCATAATATTGAACAGGGAAGAAAGGTAAAGATGAGAATGGGTGGAATAGTCGTGTGTATGCGCTGGAATGTAGTCGGACATAGACATGGACATGGGCATGGAATGTGTGTGGGCGTGTGGATGCAAAGGGAGGCAGGACGTTATAGCCTGAGGTTATCTAGGATTTTCTTTGCCATTTCTCGATACTGCCACATCCCTCCGGATACTTTCTTGAATTGGATACCATGTAGAGAGAAGAGGGGCACTTTGACGATGACGATCTCAAAGCGCAGGACGAGGTTTGCGCCGGTATCAGTTTGGACTTTGGTAGTTGTTTCGCCTACCACGCGTTCTCCGCCAGCAGTGCTGTCGCGGGGAGCAACGTATTCATCTGATCCCTCCGAGTTAGTGATAAAGCTTTGATCAGGGGGTCGTTGGGTGCTGCGGCGCGAGCTCTTTGCTGGGGGAGATGGTTTATAGTCTTGAGTCTCTTCGCCTGTGGCGTGGGCTCGGAGTCCGGCAAAGCTGATCCTACGACGATGACCTGAAACGGGGCCTTGTCTCTCTGGGCTTGGAGGGTTCGTGTCGACTACACGGTTGAGGTCAATGCTCGGGGCATGACGGCAGCTGAAACCGCCTTTGATCTCAACGTATTCGACCCCCAGCTGTTTGAGAACACGGATGATGTCTGAACGGATGAACTGTAGGGGCTTGCTGCTGGTGGTAGAGACGCTGAATAAGCCTTTGAGGTAGACGGGCTTTGATAGATCTTCTCCAGTGCCGGACACGGCGTTTGCACCTTCAAGAAGCTCGTTGTCTGTCTCCTCTGGAACTTGGGCTTCCCTTGCTTCTTCGCGACGAGAGCGGCGGACCTGGTGGCTCTCATGTCTCGCATGGCCTAGTGATTTCGTCCTAGATTGGGGAGGATAGGCACTCTTGGTCTCTGTAGGCTGTTCGCTGCTGGGCTTGGTCCGCTGAACGTGTAGGTTAGACTGGTCTGAGCCGGTTGCCAGTTCGTTTGGTGGAGAAGTAAGATAGCCCCCGGGACCTCTCCTGTTGTTTCTCCGGATGCGATTTTCTCCAGAGTTAACACTGGTTGATCTTGCAAGGAAATTGTTGTTGGCCCGAGAAGGGGAGAGACCCGAATTTGATCCGTGAGGGATATCAGGATACTGAGAATGGCTTCCACTTGGGTGCAGGTTACCTGGAGCGGCTTCTCCACGTCTTGACCTCCGCACGCTGAAGCTCTTTCTCGGGGCGAGAAGGTCTTCGGCAAAGTGTGCGTGGGCGGATGGGCCGTGATGGGCCGGGTATTTCTCTCTCTCCGCCTCGCGGCCTCTGTCCTTGGTCCTTCTGGTGCTGAAGCGTCTCAACAGGCCGGCAGCGGCACTCTCCTTCTTGGGCGGCGCAGTTTCAGCTGGGGTGATGATGGTGGGCGAGGCTGCCTGGTGAACAGGTGGTTTGGACACTGTCAGGTTCTTGACACCCTCGGTGATATCATCATCTCCATGTGTCCTGGCACGCGGACGGGCTCTTCCACCGGTATCCTTCTCTCCGGGTACTTCAAAGGCGTTTTGGTTAGTATAAGCGGCTTCAGGCATAGGGAGATCTAACTGCTTGAGCGAAGGGTCTACTGGTCCGGGAGCGCCACCAGGATGCAGTTGGGGATTTTCTCTATCCTGTTTCTCTTTAACAAGGTTGTATACCGAGATAAGAGGATGGAAACCACAGGACGGGTCACCAAAGGAATGCATGGCTTCAAACGAAGGGGTAATGGTCAGGTTATCTTTGCTCATGGAGTTGCGACGTTTATAGAAGTCAAAGACGCCTCGTCGCTTCTCATTAGCAGCGTTTTGGCTTTGCTGCTGTTCTTTGGCACTGCTTCGGATGGCAAGCTGGTATTCCTCGGATTCAACTATCTTGGTGAGCTGGGAGGATATAAATTCAGGGGGTCCAAAATCGAACCCAGTCATCTTTTTGACTACTTCCTGATCCAGTGGAAGCTTTAGAGGTTCACGCTGTGGGAGGTAGTTTTCTGGCACACCGCTGTATCCCTTGGTCATCCAGGGATGCTGCATGATTTCAGCCAGGCTGGCTCTCTGTTTTGGGTCAGTGACTAGCATGCGGGAAATGATATTACGGCAGTCTATTACACAGTTAGCAAGTTCCAAAAGTAACGAACGGGAGATAAAGAAGAGACGGCAACTAACCTGAAGAGAGACCGGGGGGGTACTCGACAACGCCCTTCTTGATCTTAGCATGGAGCTGGGGCATGCTCTGGTCGTCAAAGGGGACCTTTCCGCAGACGAGGACGTAGAGGACGATACCAAAGCTCCAGACATCGACTTCCGGTCCGGTATACTGGCGAGCCTGGAGCAATTCAGGAGCAGCAAAGTAGAGACTGCCGCAGAAGGTCTTGAGCTGACCCTTGGGAGAGAAGAGGTTGCTGAGGCCAAAGTCGATGATCTTGATATCACCTGTCTTGCTGATTAGTATATTCTCTATCTTGAGATCTCGGTGGACGATGTTGTTGCGGTGGCAGTAGTCTAAGGCGCTTGCAATCTGACGAGCAAACTTGCGGGCTTGTTTCTCCTTGAGCTTGCCGTGGGAGATGATATAGTCGAGCATCTGGCCGCCGTTGACATACTCAAAGAGCATGTACCAGTGGTAGTTGGTACGCACGACATCCCGCATTCCGCAGACGTACGGATGGTTAAGGAGGGTGACAATGGCCGCCTCTCTGGCGGTACGTATCTCCTTTGAACGGTCAGCCCGTTCGTTCTCTCGGGTGCTACGCTGCTCATCGTTGGTGTGACGAGGGATAATTTTCACAGCAACCTATCAATTGATTAGCATCCGGAAATATAAGCGAGAGCAATAAAACAGAAAAGTAAAACACACCTGCTCGCCTGTTTCGAGGTTCTTTGCGAGCTTGACCTTCCCCATGCTGCCTGCTCCGATGGTTTTGCCAAGTGCCCACTGTCCAGAGGGCGTGGTGATGGTCGTCCGTCTCTTTGGCCCGGAAGCCAGCGTAGCTCCGTTGGTTGCATGGGCAGCAGTGGCAGCAGCATCTCCTGCTGCGGCCGCTGCTGGGTTTGCTCGAGACATGTCGACGCCGTTGTCTCCGTTGGTAGGCCGTGAAGCAGTCCGACGGTGGGCACGAGAAGGGTCTGGGCGGTAGGCAGAGGCTGTTGTCTCCCGCGGCCTGTCTTTCGACGAGCTGCGTCCTGTTGTCCCCGTCGTGCCAGGGCGAGACGAGGCCGTAGCAGTAGCAGCAGTAGCGGCAGCGGCAGCGGAAGGCTGAGGCTGGTCGTAGTCCCGTCGAGCGCTGCTGGACGTGCGAGAATGGCCTCCTGCCGGTCCTGCTGCTGCGCTGGGCTCCTGAGAGTACGACCGCGAGCCCGAGCGGCTGTGAGAAGAGCGGTGGTGCGGGCGTCCGCTGGCACTCAGCGTCCTGGCCGGCGAGCTGGCGTCTGCTGGCGGGCTCCTGTAGGAAGACGGCGTGCGGACGGGCGTAGATGTAGGGGCAGAGGTGGTGGTAGAGGGGGCTGCGGCCGACATGGCGATGGGCGTTTATCAGGTCGTCAGGGCAGCGAGAGCGACGGCGAGGTCGAAACCGGCTTGCACAGAAACCAGTTCACCAACGTCCAACCGTCCTCGCCGGCTTCTGCTTTCTTTTTCTTTCTTTATATCTCTTCTTCTCCTGTTTCTTCTGTTTCTCACTGTCGCTGTCGTTTGTTTGCAGTCGGTGGCGGGAAGCCGTCAGGACGAGGCCACCGATAACATCGAGAAGTCCCCGCGGGCGGGCTGAGCGAAGAAGGGCGACGGCGACGGCGACGAGACGAAGGCTGAGGATGCGAGCCCGACGGTCGTTCTGCTCAGGCTGAGCTGCGTCCTGGTCGTCTTCTGGCTTGTCTGCTGCTGCTGCGGGCGAGCGACGTGGCGATGGGCGAGGAAGTCGAGGTTGGTTGTTTTTTTTTTCTCCTTTGCTTTCTTAGGCGCGGATTTTAAACCTGGCAAGGCGATGCAGCAATATTTATTCAATAAGAGAGACGCTCGTATAACCAATATTAGCTCCTTATATACTTATTACAACAAGAAGAAGAAGACGACGAAGAAGAAGAAAAGTCTCATGCGGCGATAGCGGTTTTTTTTTCCTCCTACGAGGCTGCGGCGGGTTTTATGCGTCTTTATCTTTTTAACGTGACGGTGGCACATGAAGCGACCTCGCGCCGGCGAGCTTTAACTAGTTATACGCAGCAAGAAGGCGACGGAGAAGGAGAGGAAGACGGTTATACAGAGGATTACGCAGGTGACGGCCGCTGGTGACAGTCATGGTAGCTGGTAAGTCGCAGTCGCGGCCATCCGGGTTGATTCTGGCGCAGACGCTGACCCGTCACAGCGCATCTTCACGGCATCACCACGGCATCACCACGGACAAGTTGAGCGCTAGTCGAGGGCGTAACGACTGCTGCAAGGGCTAAAAGGCTGAGACGCGCCGGCCTGATCGCTTTGTCCGCCAGACACCCCCTTACGATGGCGTACAAGCGGTCCCGCGCCGCATATGAAGACGATCTCCCCGGATCTCCCTTCGTCTTCTACGGCACCCCGTTGCCCCCGGACGACCGTGATGCGCGAGACGACGGGTCGTACGTGCCGTTGTGGAAGCAGGAGGTCAGGGACGAGAGAGGGCGGAAGCGTCTGCATGGTGCCTTTACCGGTGGATTCAGCGCTGGGTAGATTCCCTCCTATATCCCCCTTATATATAAAATATATTATATATATATATCTATATATAAATGATTCTGGAGTACAATGCTAATTGGATAGATACTTCAATACGGTAGGGTCCAAGGAAGGATGGACGCCGTCGACGTTTGTCTCGTCTCGCAAGAACCGGGCCAAAGACAGCAAAGACCAGCAGCAGCGGCCGGAAGATTTTATGGACGAGGAGGATCTACGAGAGGCAGAGGAAGCAAGACAGCTGCAGACGTCTACCAAGTTCGACGGCATCGGGTCTACAGCTACAGATGCTGCCATCAGAGAAACTGGGCTGGTCGACCTGTTCAGCTCGTCAGGGGAGACGGTGGGGGTGCGGCTGCTGAAGAAGATGGGATGGAAGGAAGGCCAGGGGATAGGGCCCAAAGTGAGGAGACGAGCGAATCTGGACGACCACCACGATGAAGACGACGGCCAGACATACCTCTTTGCGCCGGAGAATACCCCCCTGATCTCGTTTGTGGATAAACACGACCGCAAGGGCATCGGTTTCGCCGGAGAGCAGCGTCTGGATGAGACACTTGCTATTATGCCATCTTCAAAACCATTTATACATGAGAAAAAGACGCAAAAGGGTAAGCCGCGACGGCTGGGTGGGTTTGGCGTTGGAGTGCTGAATGATACCGGGTCGGACGACGAGGACCCGTACGAGATAGGGCCGAATATATCATACAACAGAACCATTGAAAGCTCCAAGAAGAGCTCCAAGGCTAAAAAGGGAGCAGACGTCTCAAGGCCGGCCATCAGATCGTCAAACCCGCTGCTTGACACCAAGCCCGTCTTTATTTCGAAAAAGGCCGGTGGCACCGCTAAGGATAAAGATAGATCGGGTTTCAGGAAGTGCCACGACGGACGGCTGCCGCTGGACGGCTTCATCCTCAGCGTACAGATCGACCTCACGCCGCGGAACAAACGATACGATCCCCCCAAAGTGCCCGAAGGCTGGGTGTCTGCAAAGAAGACGACGACGACTGCATCTCCAGCCCAGCAGGTTTCGCTGGCCGAAGCTGTCAGGGCGTCTACACTCGATCCCAAGGCAAGAGCTGCACTGTTAGGAGAGACACAGCTGCCAGGCAAGTCGGTGTTTGACTACATGACCCCCGAGGCCCGCGAGAAGATAGCTCTAGCCACAGGACGCACCGACTTGCCGCCTGCACTGGGCGAAAAGGCGCCTCAGGGGTTTGAGGCGTCGGAAAGCCAGAAACGAAAGGACATATGGAACCTCATCCCCAGCTTAGATAAGGATGCAGCTGTACAGGCCCTCAGCCGGGGCGCAAACGGCTGGATGCCTTATGCCGAAGACGAAAGCAAACGAAACCGCTACAGATCCTTCCTCGAGGTCCGCGCGGGCATCGTGACTGACCGGCTACCAGACCGTCTGCCAGGCTCCTCGACAGACGAATGGATCACAGAGCTACGTGAATTCGCCCGCGCCGCAGAGGTCTTCAAGCCGATATCCGGCCTGATGGCGTCCCGGTTCACTTCCTCTACCTCTACATCTACGGCAAACAACAGCAACAGCAATCATACGCCCTTGCTGACACGACGAGAAGCCAAACCCGAAGATCCCACTGAATCAGCTGCAAAGCTAGGGATGTATGGTCCAATGACCCGTCTGCTTCGACCGTTTGCTCCCGCCAGACTGCTCTGCAAGCGCTTCAACGTCCGGGTCCCTACCGGTTCCAAACACGACGGCGGAGTAGCCGGCCTCTCTGACTTTGCTGCCCTCGAAGCCCAGGCCGAGCTTCCGCCGCCGCTCGTCTCGAAGGAAACCATGTATCAGCTGATGATGGAGTCAGGCCGGAACATAATTCCATCTTCTGCAGCAGCTGCCGGCCCTGGCCCTGGACCTAGACCTGGCTCTGGTTCTTGCCCGGTTATGCCGGCTGAGCAGCCACCCGCGCAGCCGGCGGTGGTCGACCCAGAACGCAACGAAGCTCTCGAAGGCGAGCGGCCAGGCGAAGCGGTGTTCAAGGCTATCTTTGGCAGCGATGACGAAGACGAGGACGAGTAACGAGACTGTCTTGTCATGTCTTGTTTTTGTGGCTGTCATGACCTGCTTGCGCTTGCTACGTGTGGCCGTCTTATTGATAGACGGCCCCATGCATCAGGGCCGGTATCCAAACATCTAACCAAGGCCGTTACTCGCTTTCTTCTTCTTCCCGATGATAGATGTATAAAATGTATGCTATATAACGAATATTTACTGCAGTAATAGTACCCTTCGCTTGAGTCGCACCGGCCATCGGCGCATTTGATATCGACTCCAACCCCAACGCAACCACATAAAACGACCGTCCAAAGCGCTCAAACGACAGTCTGCCTGCTGCCCTACCTGGATATCACAGTAAAAGGCCCATATCAACCCGCGTGGCCAGGGGTTTTGCTTCTTCCAAATGCCGGCCAAGCACCGCAAAACAAGCTATAAATAAATATCTACATGCATGAAAAAGCGAAGGATGAAGCGGGATGCGCCTTGATAGTCAAGCTAGTCAAGCAGCTAATCAGTAACTAAGAGATAAAAGTGATAAAGTGATAAAAGTAATACGCTGCATCATATTTGGCCTTGTCAGGGAATATTTTATCCTGTCACTGATTCGATTTTTGCTCTTCTTCTTCTTCTTGTCTTCTTCACACTCCTTCGTCTCCTCCCGAAGCCCCTTTTCGACGGCCAAACCATCGCACGATGAGCCATGGTAAGTCGACCGTTTCATCTTCTCTGCGCTCGTCTCGGCAGACGCAGTAGTTATCAGCAAAGATTTAACCGAGCTCGCTGTCTTTTGTCGCATCGTCGGCTGTGGGTAAGAAGTTGCTGTCGGTATATCTACAGCCAGACAGCGACGGCGACGGCGACGATGAAGCCTCTCTTGTTTATTACGACTGTCGAAGAGATATCTAACGCCTGTCTATCGCGTATCTAGGGGTGCTGCTTCTCTCGAGACTCCAACAGCTCGCCGTATCCAGGCTCTACGGCCGGGCAGCATGGTGATTCGTCTCACCAGATCAACAACAACACCCACGGCCACGGCCACCATCACCGTCACAGCCAGACAGGCCAGCCATCGCTGAGCGGCGGCCTCTCTCACGCTCCCTCAGACGCCTCCTCTGCGACTCCCCGCCTGTCGCGCTCGGCTGTCCGTCGCGGCGTCCCGCTGAACGAGCACTTCAACCAGCCCATCCGCCCGCACGTCTGGAAGAGCAAACGCCGCACCTGGACCCGCGCAACCATCGACAGAGAGCGCGAAGTCTTCTTCGATACCAGAGTCGCCGGCCGACCAGAGATATGGGCTGCCCTGTCCACCGCTCTCGCCCTGCTGCGGGAGGGAGACCAGCAGACCGCCCAAAGCATCGTTGACGCTGCGGGCATCACCGTTCCCACAGGCGACATCTGCGAGGGATGCTACGACGAGAGCGGGGCGCTGTACAAGCTTCCAGAAGCCATCGTGGCTGATCCTGTCAACCTGGCGGATGACGAGGATGCCGCAGAGGTGGCCTACAAGTGTGATGCTGGCGCCGATCTAGACGGCGATGCGGACGGTGATACAGCTGGGGACGAGACGTCTACTGCGAAACTGGTGTTGGGCACTGGTTCGTCGGACGATCTGTTGGACAAGGAAAAGGAACGCAGGCGCGAAGAGAAAGGGAAATGGAATGAACGAGACGTCGTCAAGGTCACTGCTCGACTGAGTGACCGCGGAGGACCAGACGTGGTCGTTAGCATCGGCAAGGAACAGACGGTTGCTGCTCTTGTTCGTAGGATCCAGGCTGAGGCTGGGGTACGTTCTTCTTTTGTCTTCTTTCCAGCCGTTTCCAACTAGATATCTCTGCTAACTATGGTTCTTATATATCAGCTCCCTACCAGCACTCGCATCCAGATCGTATATCTGGGCAAGTTCTTCAGGGACAGCCAAACGCTGTTCGAGCAGGGCTGGAAAGAAGGCAACGTCCTCAACGCCTATGTTAGGATCTCAAAATGAGTCTAGGATCCGGACCTTGCATGACCATCTGCAAAGGGGGGTCTCACAATCTCCAGGCCAGTTCTCGATGTCCTCGGCCTGTCCTACTCTACGGACTCTTCAACATGATCAATCAGATACTTTCATGGTTGCTCTCAACCACCCATGGCCCAACCATTTCGATTATACCAGCCATCTAATCACATCATATCTCTCAGCTTTCCGGCGTTTATCGGCGTCCACCCTCCAGCGTACTAGGATACCTTTCTGCATCTGTTGACTTTCCTTTTGGCAAGCATCGGCGTCCCAGGAGTCGCCTTTACTTGAATACATACACTTTATTTACCTACTACTACTCATCGTTACTCTCCTTTGAGATACATGGCAGCGCAATTTTCCTTTGTTGATCTATCTCTGTACATACTTTATTTTACTGCCAATATTAATCAGCCTACCTAAGGATTCTCAACTACTTGATTCCTCCTTTTTAGCACCAAATACACTATAATAACAATATCTTTCCATCTTTCTATCTTTTCTTTCTATCTTTCTATGTTTTTCTTCTTTTCTCTCAAACGGAAGTTTTGTTTATTGATAGCCGAATGCAAACAGGACAAACACAGCTAAAAAGCAGAAAAAAGTCGCGGAATCAAAAAATATTCAAAAAATACTCAATTCAACGAACTTTTCGCAAACCGCAAACAACGACGGGCAAGGAGCCTAAAGAGCTTCTATTCTTCAGATAATTGATTTACAAGAAAGGCATTCGAAGTACAGGACAAATTGAAGTCGCAGTCGAGCTTGGCAGGACCCCTCCGCCACCATGGATCTACAGCAGTCCCCCTTCATAAGGGAGCTGGCTTCGAGTGGTAAGTATTCTTCATAGCATCTGTCTTTTGCCAGTGAATGTTACTGACACTGTGTTGAAGAAAAGAAGACTCGCGATAAAGCAGTGGAGTCTCTAACTGCCTTTCTACGGAGCAAACGAGACCTAAAACTGTTTGACCTCTTGAAGATATGGAAAGGACTGTTCTTCTGTACGTGGTGGATTCATTACATCTGGGTATGCCATTCGAGACCGTATTAACAGACGAATAAAGGCTTTTACCACTCCGATAAACCCCTTGTTCAGCAAGCCCTCGCTCGCTCCCTCTCATATACCCTCGTCCCCTCCCTACCAGAGCAGATGGTCTTACCTTTCCTACGCGCATTCTGGATAACAATGTCACGCGACTTCCACTCCCTTGACAGACTACGGCTGGACAAATACCTATTTTTAATAAGATGCTATGTTGGTGTCTCGTTTGAATATTTCTTGAAGCGGGGAGGGAAAAACAAACGCCAGTCCGGAAACAATAATACCGACAGCCAAAAAGTCAAGAGCAAGAGAAAGAGGGCAGCCGAGGCAGATAGTGAAGTGAATGGCGGTTCGAGCTCTAGGCGCAAAACATCAAGCACGACAGCGGTACAAGTACCGGAAGAAACCGATTGGGCGGAACTAGAAGCGTATCTGGACATGCTTGAAGACGGCCCGCTAAGTCCGTTGATCTTCGACACAGAGCCCTCTAAGCAGATACCAAACCAAGAAGACGAGAACGGGGCTTTGATTAAAGTACCCAAGGGCCCGGATGGAATACGTTATCATCTTATGGATATCTGGCTGGATGAGCTGGAGAAATGCGCTACTGAGCCGGACGAATCCGGTGCCGGAGATGATGAGGAGTCCCCAGCTACAAAGCTAAAGGAGGGTGTTCCGATGGAGTTACTACTACGGCCAATTGAGAGACTGCAGGCCGAGAGTCCGAATAAGACGGTAAGAACCCGGGCTAAGGAGACGCTGGCTGATGAAAGGCTGGTCTCTTGGGGCGTGAGGGAGCCGGAGAAGGCCGAAGACGGTTCAGACGAGGAGGAAGAATGGGGCGGCATAGAGGATTAATTGTTATCTCAAAATACAAATAGAAATCTGAAAGAGTGCCTATTTCTTAGAAGGAATATTGGAACCTCGACACATAAGCTGCTAGAGCCTAGAGGGCGTTAAAACTCACTTGATTCTCGTTGAATTGATGACTAATACGAGAAACAGCACGATTATATACTAGTCATGTGATTGTGCCGTCGAAACTTAGAGTAGTACTAATCGATAAAAAATACTATTAAAAACATAATATATCTGATATAGAAGGTTTTTACGCCGGTAAATAGAATATAATAGTTTTACAAATAATTAAATAATAACTTTTAGAATATGCTAAAATTATAGTGTTAATCACGTGATACTTTACCGGTCAGCTAACCGCGATAAATTGCTACCCGATTTCGTATTTTCATTTTATTAATTTAAAATGAATTTGAAAAGGATAAATTATATTTTATAATTCTGTAGCTAAATATTATCCCCAAATAATATTATAGCTTCCTTAATCCTGAATACTATAATTGACTTGGATACGTCTACTTTCTCTATCTTATGTGTTTTTCTTCTGCTCATCTTCCCGAAAAGAGTCGCAGACTGGGAAAGTGTCGGGTGCGGCCGCGCTTTACTGAGTTCGCGTTGAGCAGCGAGTTCTGAGAGTGAATCCAACTCAATACTATCTATCCCTTAATGAATCTCATTGAATTCCGCTCGTATCTTCCAGTGTAATATGCTAGCAATGATATACTATATAGTATATACTGTTTGGTCAAATGGTTATACACGGTGTTTGTCGTTGCGATACGGAGTACTTTTCTGTCTGATATCGATGAGCGACACTTGATGCGGACTTGTTGATACCACGTCCGACTCCCATATATATTGAAGCTGGCATACGGAATACTCGTATATATCGAGCTATTTGGAGCTTCATCCGGTCTTGAATATAGTTGTAACTTGTTACTTGTACCGTGATACCTTCTACACCATATAGCCAACACTAGTAAACTCCGTAGTCTACGTGTTATAGAATCCACTTTATCGTGCTAGAAGTCCAGGCTGTCGAGCTCCTGAATCTTAAGAGGTCGGAACCGCTAAAATGAACCCGAGTCCCCTTTCCGGACCTTCCGTACTCCGTAGAAATGAACTCGTGTGAACCACCGACTACGTATAAAAGCCCGGAAGGTAGTAAATTGTAATAGAGATAATCTATACGGTACCCTATAAGGACTTTAACATTCGTTTAAGAGATAGAAATTTCAGCGAGCGAGAGCGAGAGTAACTCTTATCGGGGTTCGCTCAGGGGCGGAAGTATTCGCGCTTGATTCGGATATATTTCGAAAATAGTACTTGGAATGAATCTCTTTCTTTATAGGATACGATTAATATTAGCTAACGAAAAGAGGAGTATTTTACACTAAATCGTATATTAAATTTATATATTGTTTTATAAAAGATCTATACTATTTTAGTAATAGAGTTTTTGGAATGGTTATTTAATAAATACTTCACTTGTAAAATTTCTTCACTTTAACCACGCTATTTACCTTTTATAAAAAGCCTAAAATTTTTCCAATCTTAAGTACACAACTTCCCCTCTATTAATACTTAAATTTTTCTTTTATAGAAGGTACGCAGAAGTTTTCTATTTCTAGCTTTACTATTATTTACTACTATATCTAAAAACTAGTTATTTTTCTAGGCTTCGTGGTTTAAACGCGTTCTGTTTACTTTAAGAGCGTCTTGTTGTTTTAAAAGCGCCTGAATATATTAGCGAAGAGCGCCCTAGAGACAGCTGTGGGACCAGAAGATAAAGGTACGAGTTTAACCACCAGCCCTGTAAGTTTTACTTGTTCTTAAATACTGATTCAACTTTGCCGTCTCTAGATGGTTACGGTCCTCGACTCTGACTCGGACGATGATAATATTGCGGTATACCTCCCAGACCCCAGAAAAGGCCATGATATATCTCTGTGATATCACTTAGAATATCCCCAAACGTATTTGAGTGATTTACTGCCCGTTAGACGCGGTTATAATTCACTGTTGATAGAACCAGCGCTTGTCGTGTTGTTTTTGCCTGTCAAAAAGTCCATATCGCGCTAACCGCTTTGGGGTATATAGCCGCAGGTGATATCAAATCGACTGCTCAGCGCGTTTCTGAGGCCTCAAGGAGGCAAGAGGATATCACTGTCTGCTGCTCAGCTCAAGCAAAGCAATGACTCGACGTCTTCAGATTCTAGACCACAGTCAAAGTGCTCAAATGTGTCGGTAGTCATCACGCTACCACGACAACCACATTCACAACAACTACAGCCGCCAAGCGCTCCGTCGGGAACTATCAGCCGGAAGCGATCTCTATCCTCCAGTGGTGATATCAATGTTCTGTCTAGGAAGCTTGCCGCCACTGAGATCCCAGACCACCATGGCCTGAGTCAATTTTTCTCTATTGAAAGCTCGGATGTAAAGGGACCACAGCTTAAGCTGAAGAGGTGTCACAGAAGCGCCGTTAGAATCCCCCAGCAACAACAGCGGTATACTCCGCCAAAAAGACGCAATGACAAGGAGTCGGCAACTGATCGTCTTGAAGCTCTGTATAACAAGAAGCTTCGTTGCATAAAGGGCCCGCCGGTCCGCTTCGTGGCCGCCAGAGAGATGGCCCGAGATCTCAACTTCAACTTTGACTTCATAGACCGTTACAAGCTCCATGATGGTGTTGAAGAAATTGATACTGAATACCTCTGCGGTTGTAACTGCGTTAAATGCGATGCAAACTGCGAATGCCTAGCCCATGAAGACATCATTCACTACCAGCGCGGCCGCGCAATCCGGGCCGTGTTAACGCCGGACATCATCAAGAAGCGGACCGCGATGATCAAGGAATGCTCGCCCCGCTGTTCGTGCTCTAGTTCAGGGTGCTGGAACCATCTTGTCTACCGTGGCCGTCGAGTCAAGCTTGAAATCTTCCAGACCGGGAACTGCGGCTTTGGGGTCCGGTCGCCTCACTCCATAGAGAGAGGCCAATTCATTGATGTCTACGTGGGTGAGGTCATTGACTTATCTACTAGTGACAATCGAGAAGAGGCAATTGACGCTGAGATACACTCAAGCTACCTGTTTTCCCTAGACTACTTTGCCGAAGAGACCGAGGTGACCTATGTTGTTGATGGACGCAAGTTTGGCTCCATCACCAGGTTTATGAATCATTCCTGCAATCCGACTTGCAGGATGATTCCCGTTTCCCAGTCCGATGACCCTAATGTATACCAGCTTGCCTTCTTTGCTATCCAGGATATTCCGGCCGGTACCGAACTGACGTTTGATTACCACCCTGGCTGGGAGAAACAAGAGACTATCGATTCAGGTGCTACGAGATGTCTCTGCGGTGAGCCAAACTGCCGTGGCCAGCTGTGGCCAAGTAAACGGAAAACCACCCGTCCCGGTGAAGATACTGCTTCTTCTTCTGATGATGATGATGAGTCTTCCGGAGAGTCCGGAGACGACAAGTGAATCACTTTATGGTTTTTACCCTCGGCCCTGTTTCTGTGCTTAGATAGCCACTTTCACATCTAGATCTAGCGTGTTCCGCCCCTTTTTTACTTGTGTTATTTTTCTTTTCTCTCTTGTGTTACTACGAGCGTTCTTATCACTTTGTTCGAACCACTGTATTGTTCTCTGTACCTGCTGGCATTTTACCATGGTTTTACGGAGTTATTCTCTTCATTTTTCTTTTCTTCATTGCATGTCAGGTTGGAAAGGACGTCAAATAGGGTTTATCTTTAATTGAGTAATCTGCATTATCGTGTGCCTGTCTTCTGTCTCATCCGGCTCTAGGAAACAATCGTAGACCAAAAAAAAGAGTAACCGTGAAAAAGGGGATTGGGCGGCACATACACTGGGGGATGGGAAATGTTATACCTATGAATAGCTGGTATCATACAACGTTTCAAAGAATAGATTAAAAAAAACTTGAGGATGGAGTAACATAGAAAAGAAAAGGAACAGAGGAAACTAGCCCGTTACCAACCCGAGTGTCTCTGGTGGTAAGATAGGGGTGTTTGTATGTATCTTGGTGGGAGGCTCTTAAAACGCAAAATAGCGTTTATGTCTCCGCCTCTCGAGACAGGGACATTATTGTGCAGTGGCGTGAGGTCGTTATTATTCGAGTGTAGTAGAGAGAGGGGAGGCTTAATTAAGCGGAACCCTCCAGGACTTCGGCGATTCCTCCCATAACGAAGCGCGGGGACTGCCGGGCTGATAGGGGTGAGGATAGTGCGGAAGATTCCTTTATGTCTGAAGTGAAGCTCGACAGGTTATTCGAGTCAATGTGAGCATGCCCGTCCGTCATGAGCGGCACGGGGTCAACGGGACGTGGTTCCAACAGACCCAGCCCGTGTCGTTCAATTGAGTCTTCGCTGCACCGGTAACGCTCCTCTGTGAGTGCCAGGTCGACGGTAGACGGACGACGGCGCAACAGGATGGTACCAATGCCGAGAGAGGAGGAAGAATAGCACTTCTTGCTCCGGCTGCCAATCCGGCGGAGCGAAGAGGTGAACCTGTTCATGCGCGGAGAGGTGCTGATGGGGCTGGAAGTAGGCGACGATGCCGGGCTGGAGGTGGCAGAGGTCAGGGGGGAGGGACGGTCAGAGTCGAGCTCGCTGCCGACGGTCGACCGGGGCGAGTACGGGATGGTCAGGGTGGGAGCCATCTCCGTCCATGGCGAGGGCAGCAGCTGGCTGAGGTAGCGAGTGTGTTCGTCCATCTTGGACTCGCTGGTCTCAATGGCCTCGAACAGGCTGATCAGGTCGTGGACAGCGGGTTTAGGCGATGCCATTTATATGTATCTTCCGTCCGGCCGAAGTCCACGCAGCGGTCTTTGTCTCAACCTTCGCTCTTGTGCTCTCTTGTCTCTCTTGCGGTGTATATTATAGGGTCTTATAGGCAGCCCCCCTGCGGAGTATTCAATATGGCTGTCCGTTTGTTCCCGTCACGGTCACGGTATAAAGCGAAAGAGAAGAAGTATGTCTCTTCGGGCCTGCCCAAGGGTCTCTCTTCTTCGTCTTCAAAGCAGTAGATGTACACGGAGATTATATACTGTCTGATATCAAGCCGTTCGAACAATAAATAACACCCCGTCGTCGCAAGGAAATGGCTGCTCTTTTGTGTGTGTGTGTGTCGTAGGTAAACAGTTTGTATATCAACGGATCGACCGTGGGCAGCTCGACCGGCAGCAGCGTCCTTTGCGTCCTCTCAGCGATTCCCGGCCAGGAGAAGGAGAGAAGCAGGATGAAGAAGGGCCCTCGCAGAGGGTCGCGCGGGAACAGTTTTATACGGAGCCGTCATATAACAGCTGCTGCTCGCCGTGTTCCTGGTTGACTGGAAAAAGCAACGGCCGACTAGCTGAATCGCAACCAGAGAAGAGGCAGACAGAAGACGCTCGGCTTCAGCACTCCGTACCAGCAACAGACAAGAAGCACACGAAGACGAAGCTGAAGACGAAGAAGGACGAAGATATCAAGCAGGGGAGAGACAAGAAAAACGAGCGTCGAGGGTGAAACGAGTCCGCGTAGATCATGATACTTGCAGTGGATCTCTCATCTCGTCTCAGTCAGAGAGCCAACTATCAAAGTCGCCGGGCCCGTATTAGCAGCCGTTGAGGACGAAGCAGATGGATAACTGCCCGCTGTTAATCGACCGCCCACGCCATCACAACGGGCTGTTTCTTCTTCTTCCTCTGCTTCCTCTGCTTCCCCTTCGTCTGCTTCGTCTGCCTCATCTCGACGCTGTCCGGTAAGACATCTTCTGCACAGAAACCGGCCTCGCCCTGGTACGAGCCAGCAGCCCGGCCATGGACGGACCAGTCTAGTTTCAATTCCACCCCCGGTCCATGTGGGATTTCCGTGTCCCGGCAGGAGACGCAGCCTGCGATTGGGCGGTTTCTGGTTTCCTTGGTCGTTTATTGGTCGCGGCTGTGCGACTATTTGCCTGGGATATATCGATATCAGCTTGGTTTGAGAGTTTGATATCCCAAAACACCCCCTTTCTCTCCGTTTCCTCTCCGTTTCTCTCGAGGTTAAACTCTGCATATATTATGGAGCAAGCATATTAGGGTTGATTTACTCCGTAGTTAATTGACTTATCTCCAGCTCAGCCACTTTCCCCAGTGCCAGACGGGCTGTCTGAGGGCTGGCCCAGCTGGTTACGAATCTCATCTCAGCGTGTTTGATCTTCAGGCTGGCTCGCGGAAAGAGATAAACTCGGTGCTGGACCAGCTGCTTGTGCGAGTCGGAATGCTGGTTCTGGACATTGGACTATTATTAGGGATTATTGGCTGTGTGTGGAAGGGAAGGCTATGAATTTATATACAACAATAGCAACAACCGTCTAGGATGAAGAAGTCGAGCAACCACACAAACAGGCTGGTAACTAAAAGCAGGGCGCTGCACTCTTGGTCGAAGGACAAGTCTATGCGAAGAGCTGCAACGGGGGAAACAGGATATGATAAGTTAGAGAAGTAAAAAAAGAAAAGAAGCGTCCCAAAGCTCTAGCCAGCAACTTGGTTAAAACCGTCGCAATCAATTGTCAAGAAGACTTCCGGGTTGAAAGAGGGAAAAAGAAATAGAAACGAATCGAAGCATAGGAACAAGTTGGCGTTATCAGCACATATACAAGAAAAGAACATGGCAAAAAGGGGGCTTCAGAAGTTTAAGAAAAATCAAAGCATCTCAATCCGTTAACAAGAGAAGAAAAAGGGAGAAGAAAAATAATGAACTCGAAACAAGAAACTCCCATGAGATCCCATTTTTTCGCTGCTTTCGAGGGAGTTCTCATATATGCATTGAATACGCGGAATAGGAAGCTCTTTTTTTGCATCTCGCATTTTTGGGATTGGTTCGTGTTTTTGGTTTGCTCGGATGAGTTGGAGTCATGTCTGTCGTTTCTGCATTTCCCCATTACTATAGATAAGTGTTATCCACAAGAGGGGGTGGGTTGGTAAGTATTTTCAGATTGAAAGAAGTAATCGAAAGGTAAAAGAAGTTGGAGAAGAAAGATAAGGGTTAGGCGAAGGATGGTGCCTTATTCTCCCGTTGAGCCGTGGGACCGACGACGGGTGAAGCTTCGTCTGATACTCTCGCCCCATACGGAGTGATCGAAGGAGTCCAGCACTCCTTGCACGTTCTGCACGCTCACTGAGCTGTCACCGCGCTGGTGACCACGTCCGTCACCCGACTCATTGCGAGCCGTACTGCTATCGTACGGGCTCGTGGGGCTCTGTGGCGTCAGAGAAGGATTGAAGTTACCCCAGTCGGAGTGTGTGGGTGACGGGAGTCTATGAGCTTCGTCTCCGTACATGTTAGTCTCGATCTTCGGAAGCGCAATACGTGGAGGTTTTCGGCTTGGAGATCCTTCTGGCGATCTAGCACGATCTTCTGATGTTCGTCCCGATTGACCCTCGTCTAGTTCGCCGTCTTCGTCCTCGACGTATATCTCCGGAACTGAGAACTGAGGTACCGAGACCAGACGAGAGTCATGGCGAGCTTGGATGCGTTGTCGGAATCGCCTTGACCAGTACAGTGTGTTAAAGAATCCAACCACCACGTTTCGGCGGACGGCTTCTTCCACTCGTTGCAGACGGGCACGTCGTCGTAGGAACTCTTCCAGCCTAGATTGAGAGTTAGTTAGCATGTAAGTCTCCAGCAAGTGATCTAGACCACACAGTAGCTTACCTCAAACTCTTGCTGTCAGTGATAACGTTGTAATGAGCAAGGATCATAAGGCACGAAGTGAACGATATTCCTCGATCTGGATCGGCTGAGACAAGCACCTCCTCGTAAAAGGCGTTCAGACGTGCACGCCTTTTCCGTATCTCGGCAACGGGGAGGTGCGAGAGCCGAAGCATGAGCTTCTTTAGATCCAGTTCACCCACAGACCGAGAATGCGATAGTTCTGATTCTCGGACATTGACACGGCAGTCCTCTAGGATGCGGCCAACTGTAAAGTCGCCTTCATAAATGCGCATCTCAAACACACCGGAAAGTTCCTAGACACAAACCAGTTAACAGATCTTCATCGAGAAACAAACCATGGATCAATGGGCGGATGCAGCTTACCCCTAAAAGTCTTGGAAAAGCCTCTTTCGAAATGTACCCTGTTCCGTCCGGATCAAAGGTGGACCACGCCTGTTTGAAACGGCGGATCTCATCTCTGCTGATGGCATAGAGACCACTGCTTCGTTGATAGACGTAGGAAAAGCTCTCGAAAATAAGTGAGACAAAGAGGGAGACGAAGATATACATGCTTAGAATGTTCCATGAGATAAGCAGCGTTCGAGCCCATGCAGCACTGCCACAATCGCTCCTGTAGAAGTTCTCGCCCAGCGTACAGTATGGAGGCTCCATCGTTGCAAAGTCCTCCATAACTTGGTTCCACCCTTCACCACAGCTCATGCGGAATAGGAGGATAAGGGCTTTAGGCACGCTTCTGAAATTGATATTGCCCTTTTGAGTGCCCCCGAATTTGGTCAAGCCGAAGATCTGAGTTAAGGCAATGGCGTAGACAAGGAAAAGGATAAACCAGGTAGCCAACAAGTTACCGATTGACGTCAAACTGGCTGCGGCGGTCTTGAAAAGCTGGTCAAGCTGGTTGTTGCGTGGTATAATGAGTAATGCGATGGATACCAGGAATAGTTTGTGAAGTTGGGCAAAGACTGTGCTCTTGTCGTTGATCAGTGCAAGAAGTGTTGTGATAAAGGTCCCTGATACTGATAGTATGGAGTAGAGATCCCAGGAGCTGCGGCGGAATCGAGGCCAGGTTAGGCCGATAAGGCGAATGACAACATTTGCGATATAGAAGAGCGTTAGAAAGAGGAACAGGGCGTCTCTTGTTCGCTCCCACCAGTCAACTTCAGGGTAAAACTCCAGAACCAGGAGAACAAGGTGGATGAGGAGCAATCCAGTAATAAACCGGGCCCAGCGTCCATGCTTTTTAACTGCAACCCGATAACACCAAGCCTTCAGTTTGTTATTATCCTTATTGAGAGACCGCTTAGAAGGTGAGATCTGCTTCAGGAGTTTGCGCAATTCTAGCCACGATCGTTGTTCTGCCGTTAAGAAGGCCACTCCAGTTTGTTCCGTGTAGTTTCGCATGAAGACGGAAACGAACAGAGTAAGGACGAAGACTGCACCAAGCAAGTTGAACACCACGAAAAATAAGGCGTTTGCTTGGGATGTAAACGGTTGAGGCTGCTTGTCCACACCAGTGATGCTCATGGCACTCCATAACACATCGGTCCACCCTTCCTGAGATACAATTTGGAAAAGGATGAAAAGGGAACTTCCGAAGTTGTCGAAACTGTAGAATGGGTTATGTACCGCTCGAGGTGCTAGTACGTCCCATTGGTATGGAGAGCTTTTATATTCGCCAACACAATGTGCCAGGGAAACATAACCAAAATTACCGTCGTTGCACTGCTTCATTTGACCATTAAAAAGATTCAAGCCGTAAATGGCAAATGGAATGAGGAAACTCATGGAAACAAAGGCGGCCTATATTTATGTCAGCTTTACGTTGTGTCTAGGGAGTATGGACCACATACCGAGATGACTTTCCACCCACCCATTACTATCACAGAGTGGAATGTTTCTCTTGCGCTGTCACTAACATTCAGCAACCTCAGTGCTCTGAGTGCCCTAAACGCACCAACGACTCGTGAAACATCACCCGTCTTGTATAAAGCAGCCACAACATTCACCCATAGAGTGATGAGCACAATGCCGTCAATGAAACCCCAAGATCCACGGAAGTAGGCATTTGGAGTCCAGAAGAAGCCATCTGCTATAACTTTGATAACAGCCTCGGCACTGAAAAGAACGGCAAACCATAAATCCGTCCATACGAACCAGTTGTGGATGCCGGGGCCATGAGTCTCAAAGTACGTGCGTTGGTACAATGGAGTGCATATACAAGCGATCAGCACCATGGAAACGATGGCAGCGTAGATGAATGCTGAAAACAGATACCACACCGGCTTGTATGGATCCACTCCTTCAATACGGGTTTTCCCGCGACCCGGTCCTACCATTCGTTGACAAAGGCGGCGGATAGGGTTAGAGGGTGTGAAAATGTAAAGAGAAACATTGTACTTTGGATATCTCTGGAGGTATTGTCGTTGGGCCCGTTTCCTTTGCTCCGCGGCGGATAGGACTTCTTTCGCCATTGCTGCTGGGTCAAGTTCGTCATGGTCCCTTGAGAACTTGAGTTTTGAATAAAAGGGATTCGGCTCCCGGTTCAACACACGCTCTGCTAACTTATTGAAGATACGAGAAAAGAAACCTGGTTGCACTGCCTGTTGTTCCGGGGGGTGTTCCGTTGGCTGGGTTTCCATGGGCCTTAGCGGTGACGTTTCGTCTAAGAAATCCTGAACAACAGCTTCCTTTAGAAGCATTTCAAGTGCTGCAGGACCATAGTCAAGGGGATCTCTGTTTCTTTCGCGGTCACGGCCAAGCTTGAATATGCTGGACAAGGCAAGATTTCCATGGGATGATTCACTTAGCTGTTTCTGCTGGAGAAACGCTCTGACCTGGTAGAGCCGTTTCTCATCTTCAGAAATATCAAAACTCTCCTGGATAACAGCAATAAACATATTCAGGACAACAAAGTTAGCGAGCACAAACCACATCACAAAAAAGGCGGCTGAAATCCATGCTGTGCCCCTGGAGCTATTAGCTTCGGTAGCTGAATATAAAATCGAAGTCCAGTTCTCACTGGAGAGGATCTGATACATCCCTAGGAACGAGTTATATATATTGGAGAATGTAGTTCGAGTAGCCTCACCCCCTGAATCTGTGGCTGGTATCTGGTCACGGAACAGTTGGACGGCAAATATGGAAGTTAGAAAGGTGATCAAGAACACGAAGATAATGAGGTTAAAGAGACCGATGATATTGCTAAACACGGTCATAATCAGGGTTCTCGTCAGCGAGAAAGCAAGTACTATCCGATACACCCGTAGTACCTGGAATATGGACAATGCTGCGTAGACATCTCCAGAGGAGCGAATGGGGGGAATTTGCATCACCATTGTGACCACGGCAAGGACAAGATCAGCCCAGTTCTGTCGAGATTTGAAGAAGTTTCTCCAATCTACTCCAATGCGGAAACATATTTCGATAAAGAGGATGACGGTGACAGCAGACTCTGTGCTATCAATAAGATCTTTTCTGTTGTCGCTCATAGACGAACTCCTCAGGCATTGAACTATCAGACCGAGTGCAATTATGCCGATCCACAGGTAGTTTGTCCGGTTGAAGAGCCGCTTTAGTTTGCTGACTTTGCGAAACGAGGTATCCTCTGGTCCAACTTCATCAATCCTATCCGCGGTAAAAGCACTTCGTTTACTTTCTTCTCGGATAACTTGGAAGGAAGATGTGATAACTGCAACTAGCAAATTGACAAGCCATAAGCTAAGAAAGATGAAGCCTGCGATGAAGAAGAGAGATGCAGCAAGGTAATCGCTGTCCGTGGTGAAGTATAGGAGGTCGGAAAAGGTGTTTGAGCTCATCAGAACGAAAACCAGTTCTAGAGAGTGCAGCACGTCGTCGAAACTCATGGTACCTTCGTATGGGTTACTACCCTCGATGCATAAAGAGCCCTGGGGGCAGAGATGTCCTTTAGGGTTTGCCGTCCCATTTAGCCCATTGGCATGGATCCAGGGTTTTGCCAGACCGGTGATATTGTCTAGATGGCCTCCACAAAATTGAAGTTTATCCGGAGCTTCGTTTAAGGTGAAATTTTTAAGGCCCAAAGGATCCACCCAGACACAGGTCCGACGAAGGCTAGATTTAAAGCTCTGAACTCCAATGATTGCAAATAGAAGCCAAAAAAAGCCTATAAAAAAGGCACATTGACTAGAAGGGTGCTGCTTTTTTCAAACTTCGAAGAATGACCTAGAAAAACGTTAGCAGCAGTAGAAAATAGCCAAACAGGGTGGAAAGGGAACTAGAATTCATACAGTTGTACCGCTTGTCAATGCAAGAAGGGCGAGAATTCGGAGAACTGCTCAGCATTTT